CCCCCGGGCACCCCCGTCCTCCTCCGGCTCCTTCGTCCTCCAGGAACAGGCTGCTGCTGGTTATCGCACTCCTGCGGTTTCAAGTAACTCCTATTTTATTTTATTTTATTTTATTTTATTTTATTTTTTTCGGTTATTTCACTCCTGCCATTTCAGTTAACTTCCCTGTTCGTGAAGACGCACTTACCCGTGTTTTGTCACCTGTTTGTGAAGGCACTCTTACCCCTATCTTATCAAAACCATCGGAGTAAACTGGAAAACATCATAAATTCCAGTGTGGTTCCTGCTTTCTTTGGATTTTGACTGCTTTTTTTAGCATAACCTTTTCATCTCTCTTTTTATCTAAATATTGCATGCCTGGACCAGCCCCTACTCCAGCAGAGTAAGCCAGATCCTAACAGCATTACAAGTAGATCATAAAAGCATGGTGAAATTATTCTTCCTGTTGGCGTGAGTCATACGTTATGCATTCTGTGTTCTGCAGAAAGTTATGCCATTCCTTCCCTACAATTGTTAGCATTTGCTTTCTAATAGGACAGGAGTAGTCTTACACAGTTTGTTGAACACTTTACATTTGTAGACCCTGTTATTCGCCATTTAATTGCTTTTTTTGTTTGGATCCAGCCTTCATGGGACCATAATGTTTTCCTGTTTTGGCAAAGCTCTTTAGAAAACCAACAGCATGCATCAGAGAGCTTTCTGTTTATCAAAAAAAACAGGAGATAAAGCTATCCCTAAGTGAAAAAATTCCTACATGCCTATCAGACCTTAATTGTAGAAATTCCTTTCTTCCATGTACAGCTTTTAAAAGTTGTTGCTCACCCATTAAATCATAAAGGCTTATTAGGAGCTTTCAGTGTCTTGTGCACATTTTGTGCTAAGTGTAGTTGAAGCTGTCTTTAAAATTGCTTGGGAGAAGAAAGCCTGAGTACAGGAACCAAAGGAAAGTTTCATCTGCTTTAGAATTTGGTGTCTCAGCTATTCTTTTTTTTTTTTTTTCTTTTTTCAGAATTGTTGCAAATTAAGTTTTCTATTAAAAGCATGACACATATGTTAAAGAGGAATCTATTTAGTTGTAGGGTGCTTTGGGAGATACTACTTTACCAACACTCAGTAGGTTTCAGATGGCTTGACAAGGAAAGCTGCCTCAGTTGGATGTCAGCTCCACACTGTTGATTTTGCAAAGGTATCATATTGGGAGTTGCAGGAGCCAGGAGACCAGAGGCACACTTGAGTGCAGAGTCTTTGTACCAGTCATTTGCATCTGGAGGTAGTTATTTAGACTCCTTGCAAACTACCTGCTGAAGGAGACTTCATCTCTTCCCAAGCTAATTTGTTCCTGTGCTGTCACAATTCCCGTTGCTGCTGAAGGTTATTGCAATTGCTGACAGGTCTCCAAGATGGTTCCATTGATGTGTCTATCAGTACTGGTAAATTCCAAGTTAGGTTGAGGAGTAGTGAATCTATTTGTATCTGTTTTGTCACACCCCAGGCTGCATTTTTCCAATGGGAAGAATGATAAGTAGACTATATATTAATGAGTTAAAATCTGTCAGTGATTCAGGCTACAGACTAACAAGACTGAGCAAGTCTGCTTTATTTCCCATGTGGATGTTGAATTTTTTATAAGGGGAGACAGTATGCAGTAAAATGAAAAATTTCCTGCCCAGGTAACATCTGTAGCTCTTACAGACCATTTTGGGCCCAGTCATCCTCAACTTATGGCTTAGTATTATCCCCTACTTTATTTCACAGTGTGTCCCAATAATCAGATTCATCACAGAAATTAGAGCTATTGTTGTTAATAACGGCAAAGAATGACATTATTTCCTTCTATTTGGCATTTATGAGGCCATCTCAAAATTACTGTGTCCATTTTGGGGCTCAGAGTACAAAGACAACTGACAGACTGGAGTGAGTCCAGCAGAGAGATGCTGGGAGGCTTTGGAGGCTGGAGCATGTGTAGGACTCACTGAAGGAGCGGAGTTTCCTTAGCCTTGAGAAGAGAAAGGGAAGGACAGGTCTAACTGCCTAACTAATGGGAAGTTGCTGAGAAGGTAGAGCTACATTTTTTGTAGAGGTGTACAGCAAAAGGCCAAGTGGAAACGGGCACAAAAAGTAGCAAGGAAAACAAAGGAGATAAATATAAAAAGAAAAATGAATATATGAATATAGGGAGATTATAAGAAGGTATTCTCCTTATGTAAGAGAAAAATGAATATATATATGAGAAGAATATAAGGAGACAAAATCTTCACAGTGAAGGTGTTTAAGCACTGGAACAAATTACCCAAAGAAATTCTGTAATCTCCATCCTTGGAGTTCTTCAAGAATCACACAGTTGCTGTGTGATTCTGTGTTAGACTAGAGAAATGCTATTGCAAAATTATCTTAACTAGAAAGGAAAAAGTATTCAACTTACATCTCTGTAGTCCATATTCAAAATCACTGGCAGGGCAGCTTCTTGTTGTTACCTGCAATTCATGGGAACAGGACAGAAGGATTCCAGTTTGGAGCATGGTGACAAAATGTTACTTCTCTTAGGCTTAAAAAAAAAAGTCAGCAGTGATTCGTTCTCAAATGAAGAACTGTGGCATTCTAACGTATTCATATCTTTTCAGATTGGCAAATCTGAACCAAGCTATTCACCAGAACAATGGTTGTGATTGTCACTTCCCTTGTGGCATTTAGTAGTTGCTCGCTATTTCTCAGAGGTAGTGCTTTGCTTATTTCAGGGTGATGAATTATCTAGATATCTAAAAACCTTCCCTGGCTTCCTGTCTTCATTCCCTTTTTTGTTCAATTATTTTCACTTTTGGCAAGGATGTAGTTAAAATCTGTTATCATCATCGGGATTTTTTAAGTAAAATTGATAATGTGTTTTATACAACTGTTTTGATTCTCTTTTAATCTTTGTAACCAAGACATGGGTTTTTAAATGATTTTTATAAAGGTACTTAATTATTCATAAAACAGAATAAGTGCTTGGCATTAGTTGGTAATAATTACTGTGTGTAATTAATTTGTTAGTCATAGGCAGAACTTTCTGCATCAAACTTAAAGTCAAAATATTTCTTATAAATCAAGGACTGTGTTGTTTTTTTTTTCTTGAATAGTGTTTCATTTATTTTAATTTACTTCATATTATCTTTTGTTAGAGAATTCCAGAACTTTTCCCATGGAAACTGGTTTGATACCTACAATTGCATGTATCACCACAATTTATTATACAGTATTAAACTAGATTGTTAACAATCTGAATAGTGAAAAGCATTGTAGCTGTTGAAAAGATGTTTATATTCTGATGGTCATTTATTATATTGCTACTCTTTAGGATCACAGGGCCAAAGATAAATAAAATTGATCTAGGCTGTGTCATTAGTGAACTGGCAGTGTACGTGTCTGGAGGGAGATAGAGGCATTGAAATAAATGTCTAACTTAAGAGAATGCCTGAAGAGCAGGAAAGAGTCTGGATTTGCTTTCCAAATAGGAAGTAATTTAAACACATAGTCTAATATGTCATGACTTCCACAATACTTTCCCATGTATTTAATGTTGCATTTAAGTGGTATATGACAAATAGGGCAAATAGCTTTGTGTCCAACCCCAAAGATGTTTACAAAATCAGGAGTCCTGTGGGGACAGTTTTCATTGTGCTGATATAATTAAGACAGGAGTTTTGCCACTGAAGCTAACTGACAACCCTTGTATTAAATTGGTCTTAGAGCAGAGAGTCAATTGGCTTGACTTCAAAGACAGTTTTATTTACATTTTTTTCTAAAAAAGGGAATCCAAGATTTGGCTTTGTGTCTTAATGTTCATTTTGTATAATTCAAGAGAATAACAATCTATTGAAGAGTTACCAGAAATTTTAAAATAATCTGTCTTGGAAAAACCTTTTTTTTTTGTGTCCACTTACTTGCCGCTTACAGCTCTGTAACAAAGAGGTGTTCTATCATGTTTATTACAGCCAAAACACATAAAATTATTTTACTTTTTAGATAATAAATTTGATCAGATGATAAAAAAGGTCTGAACTTACAAAACCTATAAAGAAGCAGATTTTCCTAAGTCAGTTCTTGGAACAGTCCATTAGTTGCATGTGAATTAGGCCTAGGTTCTCAAAAATACTTAGATTTTTTTTTTTTAATGTTGTTTTTAGTGTTGTCCATATACTTTTGAGGATACTGGTATAATGGCAAGAAAGACTGCAGAAGCCTATACAATGAGCAATATAGGGGCCTCTCTGTGAAACACTTGTGCTCACAAGGAAAATATTGGGGCATGCTGCAGCTGGGGTGCTTGTCGTGAGTGTTGAGCCCTGAGTTGCAGTGCTGCACACAAGGCTCTTCTACGTTTTCCATGTGGCCTTTAGAAATGTGAAGAAAAATATATATATATTTGCGATGTTTTGATCCTTTAGAGAAATTCAGAGCTTCTCAAAACTACTGGATCTTACGTGCAGTTATTAAGTGTCTGTAGCTCTGTAGTATTAAATTGGAGGTTTTCTACTAGGAAGAGATTCTGGAGTGCATTCCTGGCCCTTCTGAAATCAGTAAGAGTTCTGTCCTTGGCCTTAGCAGGGACAGGTTATCCTGATTATCTCTCCTGCTAAGCAGTTTCAACTTCTGTTATGGAAGCAGTGGTAGAAGACTCTCTTTATCAGTATTCTGCAGAGTTCCAGAAGTGTAAAAAGTGGAAATGAAAAGTTGAAGATAGCTGTAGCCATAGCCTTGTTCCTGTTGTTTGGACTCGGGTGCCCTCTGTGCCTGAGTACTTTTAACCATCCTGCTGCTGAATGTTTACCTCTCCCTTCAACACAGAGGAGATTGCAGGTGATTCATGTCTTGGGAGATGTGACATAAAATCGGTCTCTTGGGACTGGGCTGTGCAAGTCAAACGGAGTTTCATCATGTCACAGTGTGAATATAAAAGCTGTAAAAGGAATGCTGGATAGAGCTATGTGATGCTTGAGGTGGCAGTTCTTCTAGGAAAGGAATTTGCTAAGACTTTGACACATCTATTTCAACTCCAGTCTAACTAAAGCCCTCCTGGGTTCTGGCAAAGGGAAAGGCTATGGTTGCTGAAGTCTGCTGGACTCATCAGTCAGGCTCTAGGTGGAGTAGAAACCACAAGGCTATTAGCACCTTTGATGCTTTTTGTTGCTTTGTTAGTATGGTTATCTTGTTACTTGTGCAGGAGGAAAGCCATAATATATCAGGACAGGCTTTTGTTTTAATACACCTTAGAAATAAACACTCGGAAATTGTTAAAGATATTGTGTGTTTTATGTCTTTAGATTAAATTGAACTTTTTGAGTGTGGTGTGTATTCCCTATGCTATAACCAGGTCCTAAAAACAAGAGGGTTTTTCATTCCTTATCTCTCTTTGTCCATTCTTCCTGAATTTCTCTGGAACTGCCTGGAGTCTGTGTGGTTGGGTTTTTATTTAATCTTTCTTAAATAGAGCAATATTATCTGTACTATCCCCTGGCATGCGTTTCTCATAAAAGAAACAAGTAAATAGAAACGTCTTCTTTCCTCAGAAGGCTTGTGCAGGAAAAGTTGGATGAATGATGAATCACTTCATGGTTCTGGCACTACTGCTCCCCCTGAGAACTTGCTACACTACATACTCACAGCAAGGTAAACGTCTGATCATTTGCTTTTTTATTTGGAAGCAATCTACATCAACTGAAGCTTTGGACTTGCTCATTTGTAAGTCTCCTGTGATTAAGCAGCATATTACACACTTAATCAAATGATTCTCTTTGGTAAGGTGATGAAGCAAGTTGTAATACCTGGGGCTTTTTAATCGCATCAGTCAAAATTGCCTGTTGAATCAATAACTTGAAATGAGGAAGCCAAAGTGGATTTATTTATCTACTCCCCCTCTCTCTCATATGTTTTTGATCTGTACTCTGCCATCTTCAGATAATGAATTTCATCTCAGACAACTTCTGTGCTTCTATGCTTCTTCCCCTTCCCTTTCTCTTTTTTTTTGTCTCTTCTATGAAAACTTTAGCACTTCTGTTGGCTCTTTTCTGATTGTGCCACAGGAAACCTGAACCAGAATTTTATTTCTAATATTTCACATATGTATCAAATAAAATAAAAAATATACAGATTCAGAGGGAACAAAGTTGAATATAAGGATAACTTTCCAGCAGGCTGTGTATTTTGAAGTAAAAGTACTGCTTGCAACACTTGCTGGTGGCAATAGCATTGAGCGTGACTCCATCAAAAGAAAAAAAAAGGAATGACTATTTTAAATTTACTTTTCTGTGACCGCTGTTAAGAAGCAGAACTAACCAGACTATACTCAGCAATTTACAGGAGTTGTATTGCCTTGATTATGTTGGTGAAAGAGGGAGAAGGGTTTCCATAAATGTACTTGTTATCGTACTGAAGGAAGTAATATATCTGTTAGACTTTTTTTTGCCTCTCTTCAACCTTGAAATCCACTCACCCAAGGTGGCAGTTTCTCAGTTTTGAGACTTTCTTACCAATGCCCTTAGAGTGGCAAAACTGCATAATGCAGGCAAGTCCAAACAGTTACTGCATTACAGTAACTCGGTCGTTTGTTTTCACATGCAGTTGTTCAGGAATAGAATAAGTCTCTGTTGTTAATCATAAAGCTTATTTATATGTCTTGAGTTAGCTTTCCAGTTAAAACAAGCCTTAAGATGCCTTGATTGTTTAACTTTGCCAGGAGGGGAAGATTATAACTGTGAATGCTACAAATGTTTCTACACGTGTAATTAATACTACAAAAGTTTTTAAGTCCCACATTGTAACTCAATGGTCTTCAAGATCTTGGGTATAATCTTAGCTATGTTGTTTCTTCTGTTTGTTGGTACTGGGTGTAAGCCCCAACAGTGACCTAGACTGTCTTATGCCAGGCTCTGAGGAAAACAAAATTGTGTGAGATCTGAAGTGGTATATCATCTAACTAAAAGGAAATAGTGGAGGGATGCTTGAACGGATGGAGAAAAAACAGAAACTAATGAGACTTTTGGGGTTTTTGTCAAGTTAATTAAATGTGGCAGCTGAAAATATTGTCTGTGGTGAGAAAAGGGATGAGATTTTAGCTTGGACAAAAAGAGGCAGATATAGAGAAGAGAGGCAAGCTCATCATCAGTGCAATAGGCATAGTAGTGAGAGCTGCAGTTGGAACTGGCTAGAGAAGGAGCAGAAAAGGGGATAGGGAAATTCAGAAGACGTGCGTGGATTTCTTTTAATGGTGCACCCTGAAAAAGTTTCTGCCAACTGGCTGGCTTTTCTTTCAGGCATACGTTTCCTTTCCCTGGGAGTCTTACTCTGTGCCTGTGTGCTTCATTGAGAGACTAACTGGTTCCCTTCCTTTAAGGAAGGGGCTGGGACCATCTCTCTACCCCAGTTGCTTCAGCCCTGCAGATATAGAACACAAGAATGGCAAGGGCCAGAGCTTTAGATCAGCCACCTGTTTGCATAAGTGACATGAAATCCTCTCAGAGGGTTGGTACGCGGTGATTCAGGTAAAAGGATGATGAACGTACAGATATCATTGACCAGAAGATGAGCAACTAAGGTTACATACTGGAGAGGAAGAACATTTTGAGGAAATGGCCTCAAGTTGCGCCAGGGGAGGTTCAGACTGGATATTAGGAAAAAATCTTACACTGAAAGGGTTATTAAGCATTGGAATGGGCTGCTCAGGGAAGTGATTGAGGCACCATCCCTGGAGGTATTTAGAAGATGGGTTGACATAGTGCTTAGTGACATGGTTTAGTGATGGTTTTTATCAGAGTTAAGTTGATGGTTGACTATAAAGGCCCCTTCCAACCTAGACAATTCTATAATTCTGTGATTCTAACATTATATTCCTTAGCATAAGTGGTATTTTAACAGTCTTTTTCTTGTTTTGAGGGTGAAAGTCTGTAGAACATGGGGAGATGAAGTGTGTCTTGTCCTACTTTAACAAAATAGCTTAAGATACTCTGCTTGCACAGTTATTTTATAGCTCACTTTGTTGCTTTGGTTGTTCTAGCTTCTTGCCTGGTCAGTCCTTGGCAGTGAAGCCAACATTATTTCTGTTTTAAAGTAAAGCCTAAAATTGCTGTTTCCTCATCATTTAGGCGAGTGAAATTTATCCCCAGGCCTTCCACTTTGTTTATTTAGTTCCAGACATCTACAAATTGTCATAGGTGCTGGGTCTCTTTATGGTAGTACAAAACTGATGGCTGTTATTTTTCAAAAGGGACTGTGAAGCAGCAGGTATGTTTTTTAAGGAATATGTCATTAACCATAGCCAAAAAGGAAATTTTATATCTGCACTTGAAACATTTTTCCATTTACCTTACAGAAGATACTAATACTGTCAACTTCTGCTTTCATGTAATTTACACGTGTTCATGCTTTTCCAGTGATTATATAGTAAAACTGCAGTGGGAGTTGATAGAAGGTATGTGTGCATATATGTGTGTATATACCTCTTGCTCAAAAACTGTTTTAGGATACCACAGTCCTGTTTCTGAGACCCAAGTGTTTGAACAATGGAACCTTGATTTCTCCATCCAAGCATATCTGAAGAAGCCTATGTAGTAGTTTCTTCTAGATTGAATCATATGTTTTTCATTTTGCTTTGGCTTCCAGTATGTTTCAAAATAGAATGGATTAAAAATATACCAACAGAGTTCGTAGATGGTTTGCTAAAAGAGAAACAATCTTTTTTCAGCACTTTTTTCTAAATTGTTACTGATGGTACAATATATACTTTCCTCCATTTATTCTTCTTCTTCATTATTCTAATTTTATATTAGACTTGTATAACAACTAAGTTGTCACAGTGTCTGTATTCTTATGACATATAAATACGTTTATAAAGTAGTATTTTCTTCCTTTGATTAATCAGGGGTGGTTATAGCTGCTGCTTCTCTTGAGCCTTTCATTTCCTATGGTTATTGTAAAGATCCATACGTAGGGAAACTGCTGCACAGAAGTTAGTGCGGAGCAGGCACCACAGGATAAATTGCAGAACGGTTTGGATATCTGATTGGTCCCAGAAATGTCTATCAAAATGTAGATTCTCGAACTAAATTTCCTTAATTCTGGTGGTTTTGCCTGTAATATTCCATAAAAGTCCCAAATAATCATTGGGTCAGTGGGTGAAGCACATTTGGGAGAAATGCCTGGAGGTGGCAGTTTTGTAAGAAGGAACTGCTGAGGTCTCTTAATCCAACATGTCGCTGAGGACTGTGGCTGTAGCAGGGCACAAATGCCCAGAATGAGTTCTGTTTTAGTAAAACATACAGTTATTTCCGTGATTTCTTTTCTGTGTACTGGTCCATATAAGCATTCTGACCCTGTTGTTCGTAACAAGCGTGAGCATCTTGGAAAGCAACTGTGGCAAAAGAAAAAGCCTAGTTGCCTGGCCATTTCAGTTCCCTGGTTCATCAACAACTGGATCAAGTTTAGAAGTTCGTTTATTTTTCAGGAGGAGAGAAGATACGCTTCAGTGAGTGCCATATTTAATCTCTTCCAAGAGTTACGGGTTTTGGGGGAGGGTTGACAGAACAAGCATCTAAAAAGAGGGACCATTCATAAAGTGATCTGTAGTTTTCAGCCTCTCCTTTCCTGACACCAAATGGGATTTCAGTCTGACTTTTAAACTTTGTTTTATTCTAGGCATTAACTCCAGACCCATGAAAAGATGGAGTTCTTGGGGATTTCTTGGGATTCCATCCGTGTTAATACATTATGTTGTTTCTTTTCATAAAACTATGAGGTTTTCCGGAGAAGTTGCGGATGCCTCATTGCTGGAAGTGTTCAAGGCCAGGCTGGATGGGGCTTTGAGCAACCTGCTCTAGTGGGAGGTGTCCCTGCCCATGGCAGGGGGGGTGGAACTTGATGATCTTTAAGGTCCTTTCCAACCCAACCCATTCTATCATGGGATGGATCAATATTCCCATAAAGTAGCTAGTAAATTGAGGGCATAAGAAAATTAAATAGCATACCCAATGTCCTTGTGGGGGACTATTGAGTAGGTTCAGGAACATCATTCTAGCCTGCTAATGTCTTAAGATGAAAGATTATCTTTGCTTTTGCTATCAACAGCATGAGTCTTAATCACTTTTTCTTTTTTCCTTAAGAACTGTCTGGTGTGGAACCTATCTTACCTCTAACCACTGCTATTTCAGATCTGCTTTGTAACTTAGCTAAACATTAGTATTTTTGTGTCCTTTTTGTGCTCCTAGAATCTGTTGTGTTTCCAGTAATGTACCTCAATGTTTCCAAGGATTTGGCTCTTCAGCGGTTGCTGGTGGAATGGGATGTTGGCAAGTCAGCGCATGATGCTGAGCTGGCAATGTCTTTTGAAATACAAGTCCGTCAAACAGATGAAACTGCTACTGTGTGGACAGTAAGTGTGTTTTTTAAAAAAGGCATATTAGTTCCTTGCAGGATGAAGAAAGCTAAAGGAAAATCAAATGTTCATATGCTGTATAGGTTTATAATTTACAACACAGTATTTACAAAACTGTACTATAAATACCTCCATATTTCAGTAGGTGCCAGCCTAATGTTATGGCTTGTTTTTGTGCAAAAAAAATTTAAAATAATAAATCTGACTCAGATGAAGAACTCATTTCCACCTGTGCAGAATGTAGATATGCCTTGAGTGCCCTTATTGAGGGATTGTGATGGGCAGACTTAGGAGATCTGATTTTTAAGGCCTCTGTTTTGCTTCCAAGGTGCATGGTCCTTAAGCTGCTACCCAGAAAAATCCAGTCTTTTTTGTAGCATGACTACTACCCTTCACAGGGCGCTAACTGAGCATGCGTCTTGCTGCTGCAACTCCTCTCGCCTGAGGAACCAAACAATAGTCTCAGTGTAAGCAAAGCCTTTTAAGGCCTGTGCTTGGCCCTGTTAGCAGTTACCTTATACCCACCTCATCCACCTAAGAAAAGAAGTAGCAGTGTCTCTTTTGCAAAGTCGCTGTCCTGCGACACCTAAACCACCCCAAACACCTAAACCAGCCAAATTTTCTGAAGAGGTGGAGATAACCCAAATCATAGGCTTAGGCCTGCTCCCGATGTTTTCCCCAGTTCGTGACTTCAGCGTGAGAACTTTTGTCTTCAAAGAAAATTACCTCTCCTTTGGATCTCACCAGAGCTTTTGGGAACTAAATGGATGTTTTAGGGATATTATAAACTATTATGAGTCATCTGCTGGTTGAACTATGGAAGAATATGAAATGCACATGTTGAAACTTAGTGAAACTGGAGAACTGCTGTAACTCCTTTGAAACTGCTATTTGTGAGAAAGCACATAAATCAGAGAAGGGGTTATTTTTCTGAAACCAGAAGTCACTAAAATAAGATGGGCATGTTAAGAATCACAACTTACTTTGATCAGCCAAGTTGGTAGTGTTTTATCTCTGAGTTTGAAGAACCACATCTTCGCTACAAATGAGCTCTATGCAGTTCAGAAAATTTTGACCACTTCGATACAAGGGGTAGGATTTTTAACAACCCATGAATAGATCTAACCCTGAAGTCAGGAACTGGGGCCGTGTCGCTACAAACAATTAAGTGATTTTTTGGAGTACCCTTCCAAAAAACTCCTACTAACTTGCCAGAAGAAAGAAAAAGTTTTTCAAATCCAAGAACACAGTCTGTTCTGTTTACTTAAAATATATATGGCAGGGAAAATAAACAGGATATTTTGGATGTTACTATCAGACAGAAATGTATTTGCTTCTGTGTTTTTCTCAATACTGTGTACCAATAAAGAAACTCTATGAGTCTGCTCTTACCCAAGCATGGACAGTCTGTATGACTTTCAAAGCAGTGACTACATTTCTCAGTGCTGTATCTGAGAAATTAGATCGTAAACTGATTGCAGAGTTTTCCTCAGAGTGGCAGCATTATGAAAGTGCAGGTGTTGCTGATGAAAAGCAGTGATGGAGAGCAGTTCTCTAGTTGTCAGTGTGAGCCAGGGCTCTGGCACAACTCGTATCAGCAGCACTCATCTATATGCTGAGTGAGAATCTAGTAGAGTTGCTTTCAGAAGTGCTGAAATGTAAGTTCTGTTCTAAAATGTATTCAAAATTACAGGTGGTTAATAGAATTTTTTGAGCTATTTTTTCCTGCTTCATATGGGCTTTAGTGCTTGGGGTACCTTTCCATCTGTCTGTCTGTGTGTCTACATGGTGCCCTGGTTAGTTTGAACTGATGTGTTGTGTATTGGGGCAGCTCATTTAGTGCCCAGGTGGGCCTTCGTAGGTACATGCAGAGATAAATTTGTAGGATATCTTTTCTTAGACAGCAGCAGAACATTCTATATCTTTTGCTGTGTCTCTGCATTTGTATTATTCAATATAAAAATGATAAAAATGTTTGCCAAATTACATAGCATTTAGCTCTCATGATTTTTGAACTCCATTTTTATATTTTAGGCTGTGTTTCTTATGTTACCTTCATGGAGCTCTAGCAGTTTTGGATGTATTTTTCCATGCTTCTTGTTTGTGCATATTACAGCAGTCAAGCATTTGGGGGAAATCAGCAGATATTTTCCTACTACTCTGCCTACCTCTGATGGTAGTACTGTCCTCAGATGCTGTACCTTAGAACTACAATGAGATATCATCTCCATAAATCCATAAATACGTGTCAGTGCAGATTCCTGCTGTAATTTGGAGCCAGGGATATGTAACCCAGAGCCTTAGACAAGGTGCAGTTGCAGGCAGCAACATCTGTGCAAGCTATTACTCATGTAAGAGCAGACACAAATAGCCCATTGAAAGTTTCTGAGAGTGAATCCATTTCATGAGAAGCAGGGCCTGACTCAAAACTATGTTGTCAGAATCAAGTAGTCTTGCCAGCGCATCACTTCACTGCTGCTAGGATGGATTTGTAAAGTGTTACTTAGCTTACTAGTTACTTGGTGTGAGATCATGTGTAGGAAGTGGAATTTCACAGATTCATTTTTCAAAAGCGTTTACCTCCGTTGAGTTTTCTCTCCCTTTCACTTTTGATTGTACTTCCAGAGTGTCTACATGTCACTGTGTTTTCAGTACTTTGCCTTACTGGCCTTTGTTTATAGGAGTTTCATAACGTCACACTTGATAAATCAGGAAAGCCTCTTCATTGGACATGGGATTCAGACTTACCTTTGGAGTGTGTGTCACACTCGGTGAGAATCAGGAGCAAAGCAGAAGCATCAAAAATCTGGAGTCCGTGGAGTCTATGGGAGACTGTCCTGGGTAAGCAAAACAAGACTTTGCAATATTGGTTTTAATTTTTCCAGTACAAAGCTAGACTGTAATCCACTGGTGAATGTAATGTTGAAGTCCAGTTCAAGAGAGATGGCATCAAATCAAGAATCCATTTTGAACTCTTTAAGCACTAACCAACACCTTTTTTTTTTTTTTTTTCCCCAGGCAATAATAGCAATGCTTGAGCTGTTGTTTTAGTTTGCAGACTGTGTTCCTAAGGTAGTATCCTGCATGGGCTCTAGCGCAGCCCATCGCCAGGTCAGACGCAGCCCTGGCCCAGACTAGGGTAGAGGAGGGGAAGAGCATAGCTATGGCTACATCATCTGATGTGTGTGTTGCTTTTGTCTGGAATTTCATAGCTTTGGTCAGTATTAAAGAAGCAGAGAGAGAGGAGCAAGTCAGCTCCTTATGTCACTTGAAATGAACTTCTGTGAATTATTCGGGAGTATACAAGGAGTGAATCAATAATGTAATTAACCTTTTTTTCCAGATTACAATGTCTGACTTGAACAGTTTGGTTTCCAGAGAATTTGATTTAAACAAAATATGTAACTGCTACTGTAGTGATGTACTAAAAGATTACTCTTGTTTGTAGCAGCAAGAGCTTTTAATTATGGGAGGCATCATGGGTGGTAGAAGCATCACAAGTCTGTATACTTGGATTGTGGCCACGTAAATTGCCCATTTCCCTCACCTTATATAATGTGAAATAGGATACAAGACTCCCTTTCTTTCTCACTAACCTCAATCTTGGAGATTTAATTTTTTCAACTGAAATTAGATAAGGATCAAAAATTTCTTTGTCAGAAACTGATGCTGCATTACAGACCTGATTTAGAGCCTTGTGAAAGATAGTCATGCTAGACTTCATCAGATTTTTGGATCAGATTCTGGAGAGTAGATTTTATCTTCAATCTATGCAGAAGCCTGGGAGTCGCTGAAATCCCACTAATTTTTGCATTGAGTCCAACATTGAAAGCCATATGCATCTTATTCCAAGTTGTGTTCCCCCTTACTGATCATGATGATTTTCTCTCTGCCTACTCATAATCTTCAAGAACAGGCGTTTTCGCCATAAGCACACAGGTTTTTTTTGCCCTGAATTGAGAGGCAGTGAGATGGATTCAGTGTCTCAGGTAGGTTGTAGAATAAACAAGGAGCAAACAAATAATGTAATTGATGATACCACAAAAACTTACATTATATATTTATGGGTTTAAGAGAAATAAAAATAAGATAACATGTGAAGTTGATCTCTGTATGGGGAAGAATACTAAATGAAAGTCCATGAATGGATAATATGTCATTAGCAGATTCCTGTATAAATGCTCAGTTATGTGTTCTGGTTGAAGACTGCTGCCTGGAGCAGATTTTGAAATGGTTCATTATGTATTAATTTGCAGGACTGGACACTTCAAGTAACAGTGGACCACAAATCTTTCCAAATGAAAAAATTATAGAGGAAGGCTCTGACCTCACTCTCTGCTGCATTGGAAGGAAAGGTCAAATCATTCAGGAATTCTTCATAGACCTAGATGGTCGTGTTTTCAATCACACAAGCAGTCAAGACAGACTTCTCACTCTGAAAAACGTGACACATGAAGTGCGTCACATCACTGCCTACTGTCGAGAGTCCTGCAATGAAAAGCAATGCTCCGATCAATCAGTTTTCATTGTGGGTAGTAAGTGAATGCATTATTACAGTTCTATTTTCCTGTTCTTATTTAGTCAAGAATGGCTGTGGAGAATGGGAGGAGGAAAAAAAAAAGAAGCTTGCGCTAAGTTGTCATTGTCCAGTCATGTCTAGCTGAACTCTGTTTAATGTCTGACAAGATCTGTACACTTGTGTATAGAAAGCATTAAAGAATAACATCAAAAGTGTTCAGATTAATCTCATTAATTGATCCTAGGACATGTGACTGATTTTTAATATACCTACCCATTTAGGAGCTCAGTTTCATTGTCTGTGTGCATGTGGTAAGAACTCAGCACAGTCCCCCTCTCAAAGGCTAGTAGCAATTTTTACAGATAGAAAACAGCACAAATTAAAGAATGTCTGAATATAATACAAAATAGTAATATACGGAAGTGTTTGGATTGCAATTAATTTGTGGTGTCATCCTGATTGTCTCTGCAGAGTGGTCATTGAATAAGTATAATTGAAATAATAACTGGTATTACTGCAGACTTTGTACATATCCATTATTTCTAGTTTGTTAATATATTAAAAAGGGTGGTGGCTTTTACATTGACTGCCATTCTGTTGGTGGTTTTTTTTCGTTTTACCTCTGACAAGAACCACCTGATACACCTCATGATTTTTCCTGCCAAACTCAAGACAAGAGAAGGGTAACATGTACTTGGAGCCAAGGAGGAGACACCTATCTTTATGGAAGTCACTCACCAAAATACACCGTTTCTGAAGAGTAAGTATCCTTGTTGTTGTATTAACTCTGGCCTGTGCTGTACAGAAGAGTCATGTTTTTTTTTCCTTTAAAGTCTGTGGAAATGGTTCTTGTCCTGACTGCAATTAGCTGCTTTTTTCCACCTCACTGAGTAGCTTACTTAAAAAGTTTTGAGCTGTGCAGAACTGCTCTGAATTAGACTGCTGTAACAAAGTTGTTGGTCCCTCAGACCAGGTTCTGCTCAATAAAGCTTGTTCTAACCATTCTTTTGGATTAACTTGTTTGAATATCTTTTGGTAGGTATGAAGACATCCTGCAGTCAGGATATAGGTAACTTAAAAGTATAACGTAATTATTGGGTAAGGCACAAAACAGAAAACTAGGATTTAATCAGCTGGGGGGGTTGAGTATTAAGTGAGTTCACAGTCCATTGACACTCAAAATGATAACTGATAACCCTCAATTAGTTAGCCTGATTAGCCTCCCTAGTTCTTTTCCTGTAGGATCTGATAACTTTACATGTTGGTGTTTTCCTTCTTGACTCCTTGAGGTACTGACAATCCTATCTCTCTGCAGACTTTCTCACAGCTCTTTCTCAGCAGTCTGAGTCAAGGCTGCACAGCTGTGGTCTGTTAGACCTGACCCTTAGCTCCTTGCTACACAGGCACCTAAAGAGAGAGGAGAGGGTCTTTGCAGCAGGGTCTGCAGAGAAAGGGGAACCCATAAAACAGGACGGATGCCTGATCATCACAACAAACTTTCATCAAAAGACCCCAGAGGAGGAGGTCATCATTGTGTATACCTTCATGGTCTCTGCATCATTCACTTCCATTAAGATACTATGATGATGATTTAAAGACGGAAGGTTAGAAAATGCACTTGAAATTACTGCTTCATTTAAAAACATAATGGTAGATGTGAATGGTTTAATTCTTGGCAAGTAAGTGCCTAGTTTAGAATTTCCATGAGGGAATCATGAAAAGCAATTTAGCTGCATCTTAAAAGGATAAAGTAAACTTAGCTGTGTCTTAAAAGGATAAAGTGAACTGAGCTGTATCTTAAAAGGATAGCAATTTATCTGTGTCTTAAAAGGATAAAGTACAGTTAGACTTTGAAGAAAACCTTCTTGTAATTGTAAGAATACCTATGTTCATCCTGCTTCAGGTTAGGGGAAATAACTGGGTGGCTTCTTACAGTCCCCCTCAGCCTTATTTTTCGCATGATGCTGTATTCTAGTTGGGCATCAAAAATTTCAATGTCTAGGTCAATTGTACATTATGGAAAAATGTCTTTCTCTCTTTCTCCCTCCTTGCCTTCTTTGATAGGTTTTCCCAAAAAATTGTTCCGTGCACAGTAAGTTGTTCTGAGCGGTGCTCGTGTTCTTGGGATATAGGCCAGCAGACGATCTACAATATCACGGTGGCTGTGGAAAACCCACTGGGAAGGAAAACTGCTACGGATGTTTTTGATGTAACTCACAGAAGTAAGGTCTTTTCTATGTCTTTGTTGAGGGTTTTTCATTGCAGGCCTTGTCCTTCTCCTGATCTTGAGTACCCCAGTTTAAAGTATGGAAGTCTTTGCAGTTTTTATTAGTTATCTGTCCTTCTGCTGTAGTTATGAGCTGTCTCTTCAGTTTTAGCTTTGCAAAGTTGTGTTAACGGTAGAAAACAGCTTCACTCCAAAGATCTGATTTGATTATTGAAATGACTCCTTAATACTTCAAAATCTGGTGCCCTGCTGAAGCTGCTTCGTAGTGTAGGAAGTAGCATGATACAAGGATAGAAAATGGGGAGTTCAAGAAAAACAAATGTGTAGGTTTCTCGGGAATTCAGTCCTTTCTCCAAAATGTTATTGTTGATGTTGCTGTCTTTCCAAAATAAAATGAAGCTGCATGTTTTAAAAAATAAGGCTAAAATAGGTTACATTCAATGTGCTAAATACATTAAAGTTTTACGACAATTTTTCCAGCTCTAGTGAGTGTTACAAGTTAAAGAAATTATATATAGTATTTATGATGAGTTAACCTTTTAAATAGTGATTGATGCGAAGTCCTGTACGTATTCTCTGATGCTGGACATATTTACATGGAATTTTCCTTGATTAACATATGTGAGCAAGTGAAGAAAAACTGAAGTCCATAATTTCCAGTTCTGCATGTGATTGCTGGGACTTTATCAAACACAAACTCCTTTGAGTCTGGAAGTTGTTATGTTGTAATTCATGGTCCATGAAGTTCTAGAATAAGGGCCAAAGCTGTAAACCTACCACTCATTCGAGTTGCCCTGTCTTACTCCTTACAATTCACTGATAATAAGGGAGATTTTGGGATCTGCTGCTCTTGCTGAATACTGCTTGCATAGCAGTAAAGTATGTCAGAAATCTTCTGGAAATTGTGGCATTGGCACTGTTTACTAGAGGGTAGCTTCTGGCAGGAGTCAACATAAGAGTTGTGAATAGAATTTCTGCTGAAGAGGCTGGATTCTGGGGTGTAGAATGTGTCAAACAGAACTCACTGTGCTGTATGAGGAGCCTTTGCCAGGCCCTGGACTAGAGAAATTTACTGGCTTTGCAATAAAAGTCTGTGACTCTTTCTTTCGGTCATGATGTTCTAAAATATTTCCAAGTCACTACAAGGGAATTTTTTTCACCTTGCATAACACTTACTTACATTTACATTCTGAAATTAATTTTTACTAATTTATATCTGCTTCTCCTAGACTGGCAGAAAAATCTGTATTTCTTACTTGCTTTCACCTCTTAGCTAAAATACCTTAAAATACTGCCTATATTTTATGTTTTACAAGAGCTAATTCAGATTTTCCATTGGCAGTTTATCCCGCTGCACCTTTCCAGCTGTGGGAAAAATGCACAGATACAGAAATCAATTTGTATTGGAAGCATCAAAACAAAGAAATTGAACTGTTTTGTCAGACTGAAGTGCTCCACCCCGATGGGAAAGTACAACTGGTATGAAACCCAAATTTCATACAAAAAAGCATAATGTGTATCTTTTTGACATGAGATTAAAAAATAATTCCCCAGGAATATGAATGCACTCTAAATCTTGTGAGTGTGCTGATGTGTCTTCTGCGTTTGTTTCTCCTAAGCTGCACACAGGTGATGTGGTCCATGTGGGCAGCCATTGCTGGTCCTAGTTCATACTCCCAATGCTTCCTATAGCGCTGGCCGAAGTGTGTGGTGTGACTGGCCTGCATGTGTGGCTGTGTCCTCTGCTGGATGGTTTCTGAGATTTGTTGAAGTAACTGAGGACACTTTCTGACCTTACAGTTGTTTCTGGCATTGCTAATCTCGATTTGTCATGTTTGTATTACTCATGTATCATCTTACACAAATAGTGGTGAGGTGTGTTGAAGGCTTTTTTTGTATTAGTCCAGGAGCTTTCTTCTTACTATTGACTGTGCTTGATGGTAGTGTGTCTGTTTTATATGAGGGAGTTTTTCTTCCTATCCTATTCCGTCTCCTGGAAGATAATATTTGAGTGGACTCCTTGTCTTGTTCCACCAGAAGCTGACTGACTGTTTGTGTGCCTGCTGTGGTTTCCCGGTAGCCATTTTCTTAAGAAGGCAGTTTGCCTCTAGCATGTTACAAAGGCGTTATGAAGATCAGGACCAAGCTGCATTCTGTCTTAAGTGTTGCTTGAGAGCTGTTAGATCAAATGGCTGCTGCAGTTGACCCTTGCGGGAGACAGTTTAGAAGAGAGGCTTAAAAGCATGCCCACTTTTTGACTCTTAGCAGAACTCACCCTGTCTCTTAGGAAGGAGCGAGGGGAAAAAGCTGGGGAAAAAAATGGAAGGAAAAAGTAGCTGTAGAGGATGTGCATAGATCTGGAACAGCATCCTACCTACATGAACTGCATAAGAGCCTCAGACTCTGTGAGGATAAGATCTCGGTAAATTCCCTCCTTGAGGTAGTCATTTGACAGGTTGTGAGTGACTCCTACTCAGACAGTCACACAGAGAGGGCTTGCAGACCTCTTTTCTCTCCCAGTCTTCTGATCTTTTTTTTTTTTTTGGACTATTGTTCCGTGATTATCTTTCCTAAATCAAGCCTAACTGTCTGTCGTAGGATCTAGAGGAAGAACTATTGTTTTCAGACCAAAACCTCTTGCTAATGAAGCTGAGCTGAGCTCTGGCTGTCCTGTATTTCTGTCTTGCAGCACAATAGTTCAGAAACACGGCAGAATTATGCCAGCATCACGCTGGGTGGACTGCGGCCCTACACCGAGTACACAGCCAGAGTACGCTGTGGGGCTGCTGAGCATTTCTGGAGGTGGAGTGAATGGAGCGAAGCCCGAACCATCAGAACAATGGAATCCGGTATGTCCAGCCCCTTGAGAAGGGGAGCTTGAAAGGATGTTCCTCGCTTGCACCTCTGCAATTTGTTGCTACTCTTCTGCTGGGTGGCTAAAGCAGAGGCCTGCTGCATGCACAGAAGCGCACTAAGCGAGCTTGAGGAAGGTGTGCTTCTTAAACTTCTCTCATCTTGCCTGCCAGTCTCTGCCATCTCATTCAGTGCAGGCAGTGGGCAATGCAGATGAGGGGGAGGATGGACAGGCTGAGTTACAGTGTTCTACAAGGGCTGCAGGAATGGTGCAGAGGTGGGAACAAGCATCTGGGAATTGCAAGTAAAGGAAGATTTTCTAGGGGAATGAACCAGGCATTCATTCAGAAAAAAAGACTGAAAGGAGGAGAAAGAAGTTAAGAGATAAAGTCTTGGCAAGACCTGGGAGTGATGGGGAAAAAGAGGTTTCAGGGGTGGAATTTCTTCAAATTGGAGGAATCAATTAAACAGTTTGTCCTTTCTGCACCTAAAGCATCTTTGTTTTGCTGTATGTATTGCAGCTCCATCAGGGGAACTGGACATCTGGAGAGAAATTACACCAGTTCTGGGCGGGCGGAATGTGACCTTGTTCTGGAAGGTGAGACATTGAAACAGAAAAAAAAAACCCTCCATAATGTCTTTGGAAACTTCTCCCGTGAACTTTTACAAGTCTGTGTGCACTTAGTAGCAATTCAGTATGAATATGTCTTTTAAGAATCTAAGACAAATATTATATAAAACATATTTCAGAACTTATGTAGCTGTGTTATGGTATGCTGTCTTTGTATTTCAGACATATACTTCTGTTTTTCTAAGAAAAAAAAATTCTATTTCTTTTATAATAGGATAAAGCTCACTACTGGTTTCTGCATTTCCATTTCAACCAATATATGTATGCATGTATGGAAACAAGTGTTTATTTTCTTACAGACGTAATACATCCTATTAGGTATTTAAAGTTCTGAATGCTCCTCTTGTAAATTTTTTGGTAAGATTTACTAAGTAGTTGGTGTCTACTCCCATAACTTTTTGCCCAGCAAACACCAAGTTTTCGAGCAAATGGAAGAAATATTTCATACGAAGTAACCTGGGAAAAAGTAGAAGATGGCTCTGAGCCTGAAAGCATCTCCTTTTCATCAGTCTACAACAGCACAAGGATTTCCATTGATAACCATTCCTACAGAATCAGTATCATGGCAAAGAACAATGTTAATTATTCACTTCCTTCAGTATTGATCATCCCTAGAGCTACAGGTAAGAAACAGTGGGGGTATTTTCAGTTAGATTTCCATCATGAGAGTTTTCTTTCTACATATTTTAAGGGAAGTGATAATTTATCTTCTTGAGGCCATAAATTAACCTGGCTTCTAACTCACATCACTGTTATCTGGACCTTATTACTGTATTTTTGTGATAATGGTATATACATTAAGCTTAAGTGCCTTGATCCATCCCTTAAAAAGAGGAAGTCTGTTTTGCACAGGGAGTCTCCACAGAGCAAAACACATTTAGCCTTAAACTAGGGCCTCAGACCTGCGGCAGGTGCCCTGCAGGGAGGTCTTGTGTGTGATCAGCTTCTTGTGACTTTCTGTTTATGACTCCAGGTTTCCGCAGTCAAACTTTCAACTTGTCAGCTTTCAGCATACAAAGAGATTGGCTCTCAGCATATGAAAGGTTCCATATATAAGATAGCTAAGGAATGCAACTATTTTATTCTTGTTAAAAAACAATAGCAACGATGCTGATTTTCATTTATGAATCTGACGTCTCACGCAGGGAAATAACAGAGACTCTGTTTTGTTCATTCCTAGACACCGAAGAGCTTAAAGAAGAACAAGTTAGTGGTACAGATGATGGCATTTTTATTTCTTGGGAGCCCAGACAAATATACAACAGCTACATCATTGATTGGTGTAACTTTCCAATGTTACAGCCTTGTGATTTGCAGTGGAAGAGATTTGGGCCCAACACTTCCAGTGCTCTGATCAACTCAGGTGAAAGCCGGACAATTTTTCTTTCTGATGTCAGTGCAGCAATCTTTCGTGCTGTGGGTATTAATTGAATTTAGGAAACAAATCCTGTGGAATATTGAAGTCTGTGCAGTGCAGGTGTCATTCTTCAAAGGCATGTAGCATCATGTTTTGCCTAGTAAATGAGTTAGACACCACAAATGTGCCAGCACCATTAAGCCTTGGAAGTCAGCACAGTATTTTAGGAAAAAGCCTCCTCAGAGAAGCTTATAGTAACATCTTGAAGGAGGATGGTGAGGTTAATGAAGGAGTTAAAAATCTTTTAGCAGGAGAGATGCAAAATAGAGCACTGCCTTAGACTTGGGTGATTTAACACCCATTGTGTAGTGAGAGGTTTAGTGGTGTCAGTGTGACACAAATAGGGTGTCTCAGCACCAGTCCTTGGGGTTTTTATCCCAGTGGTGGCCACTAGACCTAAATCCTTCTTGGCTGTGTGGAAGTTGCTCTGATATACTTCCCCAGCTGCAAGAATACAGCCTTCCTGGAATCCCTTGAGCTGAGAGTTCTCTTTGGAATGAAACATGTTTCAACAAACCTTGACTGAACACATTTCCATATGCAATAAAGGAAATGCATTTCAGTTCATACAAACATACTGGAGCCTGCATCCTGGCTGAAGGAGAGAGTGGTAACATATGGAAAAAATGTTGTCTGGTTCTTCAGTGGGTTGCACTTGGTTGATCCGAATGGGAATGGATGTCAGTGAGGATAACATGCAATCCTAATGCATGGGTAGTGTCTGCGTTAAATGGTCCAAAACATGACCTTTGCCTGTGCCAAAAACAGAAAGGAAATTATCTTGCCCTTTGATGCATTTGGAGTACATTGTTGTGCACTCATCTTGAATACTCCATGGCAGCAAAAATGTATTACACTTCCTCACCCCAGTGCTCTCTTTCAGACAGAGTAAATGTATTCAATTCACATTATGCACACTAAAAATTGGTTTACCCTATGTCTCTTTCAGTTGCTTTAATAGCACACAAAGATTTCTAATGGATTATAAACCTCTGTAGAAAGCAGTTAAGTAAAAGCAAAACAAAAGACAAGCCATAACCTATTATTGTAATCAGTTCCACTGTTTTCTAGGTGCTTTCGTTCCGGGGGTGAGATACAACTTCCACATCTACGGGTCTGTTGCCAATAGAGCTTCCTTATTGGAGAAGAAGACTGGTTATCTCAAGGAGCTACGTAAGTTGGCAACATCTTTAGGGTTTGTGTATTTGCTGAAGTCATCTGTCACAAACAGAATTCCACAGACTTCCTCCTGCAACTACCTAAAAATGAATGTGCTGTGTTATTTTTATATCATCAGTGAAGCACTTAAAATAAAACAACATTTGAGGCCCTACATAGAGGATATTTGACTAGTGCAGTGACCCGGCAGTTAATTAGAACATTAATTAGAATAGCTGAACAAAGCTGTGATTAGCAGTCACTGCTTTGTGCGTGAAGGCTCTGTGAAGTTCACAGTTTTTGCGGGGTGCTTTGGCGTCGCTCAGCTTTTAAACACAAGTGATACATAAACAGAAACACCACATGGGAATTCAGACATTTTTTCGTGTGAGAAGATAAATATTCTTGAAGAATAATGGCAAGTTTAACTTGAATTTCCTTTCTTCCAGCTCCTCTGCATGACCCTACAGTGAGAAAAGTTGAACTGAGTCCCAATGCAGTAACACTGTTTTGGGATTATAATCTCACAAATGAGTCAGGTTTTGTAAGAGGCTACCATGTTTATGTGTCGCCTGTACAAGGGGACTGCAGTTTGAAAGGATCCGAAAAATACACTGTTCCAGGTAAATGAGCTCTGGGATTTAGGGAGTTGTGTCATTGATACAGGGGAAAGACTTTGTGGCTGTTGTTGATTTTGCAGCCTCTTGGAAGGCAGATTGGCTCATTAAGCAATTCAGAGGTTTCAACACTTGCTGCTTTTGATTCCACTCTAATGCTTGAGACACTAATGGGTGGAAGTTTGTTCTGGCTTTATACACATTTATAGCCCCTGTCCTGTTGTCCATAACTCCTTTGAACTCCAGTGTCACCTCCAGAAAAGATTCTTGCAGTACTGTAGGAACAGTCAAGTTTTTGCCTCTTGTGATCCAAGTTCTGGCTGAATTTTGAAAACATCTGCTTGTGGTCTACTTGGATGAGAGTCATAGGAAGCGTGTTAGTTTTACTATGATTTGGGGTATTTTAGAAACAGATGGGATAAAATTTATTTCCTTCAGAATTGGAACACTGTGTAAATTCCCCATTTAAATTCTTTTATAGTGAAAGTATTTGTGGCTGTGCTCTACAGTGGAGTTCCTTCAGCAGAACTGAGCTGTGGGGTGGCACAAAGCCACGTTTAAACTTTTATATCTGATCTTCCTGCTCCACACTCAAAACTGCTCCAGATTACTTTACTCCATTATAACTTTCAGATGTTTCCAATGTGTTCAAGGATATATATTTTTTCCCCTTGACTCTTCTTCCAGTTGTGTCACGTCCTCTGTCAGATTCTTCTGCTGATTAGACTAATACCAGGCTGAAAAGCTTAGTTTGAAGTGAAGGAGGCTTATGTAGGAGTTCCTGTCAAAACTAAGCTAACCATGAAAGTACCGTAATTCTTCAAGTAATCCCAATTAGACTTTAAGAAGTTCACATCGAAGATTTCCTGCTTCCCAGTTTTTCTAAGCTAGCAGACAAAGGGTGTGACTGGGAAGAGTCACAAAATAAGCTAACCCTTTTCTCCCTAGGGTCTGGCAGTTGTACAATAAGAGAGGCAAAAGAGGTTTTTTCAAGCAGCAATTTTTTTTGCTTTCAATTATCTCCAAAGAACTTGACCTGAGCTTAAGGGCTACAGGATTCTAGTGAAAAAGGAAATGGGAAAACCCAACTCATTCTGTTAAAAATCTCTAGTAAAATAAACAGTGTCAGCTTTTGACAGCAAGTTATTAGGTAGTCTGCCAGAGGAAGGGCAATGCTGTGGACAGTCCAGTTAGAAGGGATGTGAGTTCAGCCTAGTGGCAATGAGTCAGGATGCATCATCCTTCTCAGAAGAAAGTGAGCAAATGACAAAGAAGGCGGGTTGCAAAGGTCGTGTTATTTCAGTTGGCTAGCCACTTTTTTTGGTGTTTTGTAACATTTTGAGGAGATGTTATTGCAACCTTTCAATACTTAGAGGGCTTATAAGAAAGATGGATTGAGACTTTTTATCAGGACCTGTAGTGGTAGGAAAGGGATAACAGCTTTAAATTGAAAGAGGGTAGCTTTAGATTAGATATAAAGAAGAAATTCTTAACTGTGAGGGTGTGTTACTGGAACAGGTTGCCCAGAGAAGCTGTGGATGCCCCATCCCTGTAAGTGTTCAAGGCCAGGCTGGATGGGGCTTTGAGTAACCTGGTGGGAGGTGTCCCTGCCCATGGCAGGGGGGTGGGAACTCAATCCAACCCAAACCATCCTGTGATTCTGTAATTGTGATTCTATCTTATCTGTTTCGTTTTAGATTATTCAGTGTTATGTAAATACACAATTGAAAACCCAGAAGAAAAGACGTACACCGTGAAACACCTCTTGCCCAACACAAAATACAAACTAGTGGTTAAAGCCTATACAGGTGGAGGAGAGACTCCCATTGTTAACTTTAGATACATAGACACACCATTTAACTGTGAGTATTGGCTGTGGAAAACTTGTCTTCTAGCAGAAGGATGGGATGATTTAAAAGGCTAGAATAATCTTCCTTTCTCAAGGGAAAACAATTAATTCAATGTAACATGCACTTGAGAAAGTATCCAACTGAGAAAGAAAACTTGCATACCAACATGGTATTTCAATACTTTTAAGTAGCTATGCTGTTTATTTTAGAATGAAAATAATTTTACATCCTTGTCTAAGTCTAATATTTTTCTGGGAAATAGCTTAATATATGCACATTTGCATGACTAGTGATTCCTGTTTGCTGGAATGCGTTGAAGAACTGCATTTGGATTTAACTAGTTTTCTAATATGGGAAAAAACAGACCTGTGTGCAAACAGGTAATTTCTGTGTGGACTCTTAAACTTCTAATGCTGATTCTTACTCTCTTCAGTCTTTAAATCCATTGCTGAATTAACTGCTTCATAAGTCAGTAAGAAAGGGTTGTTGGCTGGAGCCCTGTGGTTTGCTAACTGGGCAGATCTGATCACCAAAGCAGAATGGGAAATCACTTGCCTGTGGTTCTGTTCCCTGGGAAATGCCACACAGCAGTCTTAGTGGTGAAACTTAACGATCCAAATCGGAGATGCCTGGTTTTGAAAGATCTGTTGGGGGTGGAGGTACAGGGGGAAAGGTAGGAAGGAGTGAGGCTTTGGCTTATACGAGGGGAGTTCGTATTTCAGACTAAGTAGAAGAGTGTCTAAGCCCTCGTGGTACCCTCTCAGAGGTGGCTCTGCCTCTTACTCCCACGTTCCAGCTCCCATTAGCAGACTTCTCTTGCATAGGTGCAGTCATTTGCACAGCCAGGCAGGGAGTCAAAATGAGGGCTTAATTAACCCAGAAAAGATAAAAGAAGAACGTAACACGTGTCCATTCCCTGCTGTGGCCTGTGGTAGGGACACAGAAACTCGCTGGTGCAGGGCAGGAGCTGACTGGCCAGGGCAGAGGGAGAGCGAGCACCAGCTTGGGCTTCCCCTCAGCCTGGCTGTTACAGCCTCAACTGCTTGGGACAACCATAGCCCAAGGCTGTGTCTTCCAGCTAGGAAAAAATACTGAGATTCTCACATCAGCATAAATCCTAGGAGAGCAAGACCACTTGCCTCGTGTCTTCTCTTGATACAGTCCATCCGTACTGGTGGTACAGATGTTGGCTCACTATCTCACGGTAAAAGTCTTTCGTCTTTGGGGATCTGAGAGAAAATCTAAAACAAATAGTTAAGTATCATTATCTTAACTTTTGGAAATTTACCTTACAGTTAAGATGTTAACGTGAGGGCAAATTAAAAGCAATCTAGTAGTAATTCAGTTTTAGTCCAAAAACTTGCAGCTGTATCCCAGGACTTCCAGCTAAACAATCTTGCAGCCATGGACCACACAGTTTAACTGCTGAATTAGTGGCAGGTATCCCATGTGAGCTCAATGTTATTTTTGTCCCAGAAACTTAGGCCGTATTGACTTTAACAGGTGAGAAGCTGAAAACAAATTTTTAAAGTATTTTTCTTTCACAGCAAACATGCTGTACCTTGTATTCCTGCTAGTGATAGTTCCATCACTGGTAGCAGCTCTATGCCGCTGGAAGATGAAGTGGTAAGTTTAATGCATTTTTTCTGTTGTAGACAGAGAACAAAACTAGTGTAATTCACAAACCACAGCTGAAACTTGTTGCTTCCAGCCCGTTGTTTGGCCTCATTCATTTTTTCCTCTGCCTGTCCAGCTGTGTGGATGTTCTAAGCACTTGGCTTGCAGCATTTCTGAGAGGCTCATCATCTGCTGTTGTTTCTGTACAAACGTACATGCTTTTTCTGTTGGTAGAATATGCTTTGATGAGAGAACAAAGATGTCTTTGTTTTTCTCTCCTATTCCCAGGGTGAAGGAGTGCTGCTGTCCTGTAATACCTAGTCCTAGCAAGAGCAAAGCACTGTCATTCAAAGAGTTTAAGGTAACGTCACTGAAAATCTAGTATTTTAATTTTTCCATTCTTTCATTAGTGAAGTTTCAGAAAAATATTTTCTTCTGTCAACTACATTTACAAATGAATGACACTCAATTGTCAGAAATTAACATAATTTAATATCACAATTTAGTAACTTAAAAAAGAAATCTCCAGATTACTCTGATAAATTCTACATAAAGTACAGCTTCAGTTGAACATTCTGTACATATATTTTCCTTAAAATTCTGATCATTTATTTGAACCCCCCCCCCCCCAAAAAAAAATTATAATACAATTTTGGAAGTGCTTGAGGTAATCACTCCCTTTCCTTTGCTCTGGGTGCCTTTCACTGAGCATTTTTTGTGTCCTATGATTCTCTTGTAGATCGGTTCTGAGAAGGTATTGAAAATAAGTGACTGCATTCCTGATGCGCTGGCAGTGGACAATAAGGCTGAAGCCCAGAACTTCCACCCATGGAGCCAGTTGTCTTCAACGTCAACAGCAGATCAGAGCGATGATGACAATTCTTCCTGGATTTACCCCACCGACCACGAAGAGAGAGACCCTGCACCCACACCGACACCTCAGACTCACACTTGGTTTGAAAATTTTGCTTATTCTTCTCATCTTGCAGTTGAATCCAATGTCTGTCAAACACCAGAGACACGAGCAGGAAGCAAACCGGACCCATCAGTGGTGCTGTACCAGCCACAATACTACTTTGATATTTTAAATGGAGGTGCTGGCTCAAGCCCCAGAGACACAGCTGGCAGAAAGACCAGTCTGAGGTACGTTTCACAGACAGCTGTGCACTGCCTGGGGAGGAGGCTTTGATCTGCTCCCCTCCATGGAGGCCATCTGGGCTTTGGTTACACAACAACACAAGTAAGAATTTCTAAAACCACAACAAATTCTCCTTTTGATGAAGGCTTTCACAAACCCAACTGCCCTACTTCTGGTAGGGCTTCTGCAAAGCTCTTGCTCCAGGACTAGTTTAAACACACTGATTTGTGCACAGCAGTGATGTGCACTGTGGTTTCGTCACAGGTTACAGGCACCACGTTAGACTTACAGGCTGTTATGTGGCCCTTTAAAATCCCAAACGAAATCCTCTTAACTAAACAAAGAAATGAGGGGAGCTAAGTGGGAAGGAGCTGTTTTTCCAGCAGGACAGGTGTTTGCAGAGGTGTTGCCATGGCGCTGCCTCTCTACTTGTGCACAGCCAACCCCTGCACTTACAGCAAGCCCCAAACAACAGGTGAGCAGACACGTTTGTGATGAATATAATGTTTCAGCTGCACATTGTATAGGTCTTCCAACACCATATTTGAATGTATTTAAAAAAAAAAAAAACACCAACAAACTATTGTTTTTTGCATCCTTACAGTAGGCAGGCATGAATCTGATCTTCCATTTTGATTTTAAAAAATTTTGGTACATTGGTAATGAAGCAGAATAGTTGGAATTATATCCTTAGTGCCCAGGGAACCCTTTAGTTTTGCCCAATGGTGATGCTGTCTGGAATCCTTAGGAAATAAAAGAATTTGACTTAAGAGCACAGAATAAGCTGTGCTCAAAAGGGAAAGAAAACGTTTTTTACAATTTGATCTTCAGCTCATTTGTTAAAAGGCAGCTACTTGTCTTCCCTATGCCTAGCTACCCCGTCACCCTTCATAAAAACCAAGCAGCTGCAGCCAGGGCTTTGATACTGAACCACATCCAGGTTTTATGCTGTTGCTTCAAGATCTTGCAACAGGAAGACCAAGGAGACCGTAAGTAGCTGGAACAAGCTTGGCTGGAACAAGCACTGACTGCCAACAGGGAGGAGCTTTTGGGGCAGGGATGGTGAGGTGGTCACCAGGGCTCGGGGCTCAGCACAGAAGGCGCTGTGCCCACACACAGCTTGTGCACAGATTCACCTGAGAAGTAGAAAAACAAGTACGGTGTGGTCCTTGCTTCCGGCCTTCAGACAGCGGGGCAAGGACACGGGGCTGGTCATACCCAGCTGAACTGCAGTTGGGCAGAGAAGATGGAAGGGAGGAGGCTGTTACTGGATGGAGACATCGCAGAGAAACTTCAGGCTCCCTTTGTGTTACCCTCCTTGGAGTTACTGTGAATTTCAAAAGTTTGATAGCACAGCATCTTTACAACTTAGCTCATTTCCTTCTCTAAAGTGTTTCATCACAGCGTATGTACTTGTGCAGTTTTGCTGGGAAAAAAGAAACTAAGCAGAAGGGAGCTCTTTTGCCACTACCAAAATACAACTTCCTACCAGTGCATTTCGAAAAAGGACTGTTTACAAAGATTTGGAAGGTACCCTAAGTCAAACCTAAGGAATTATGATAGAGGAGTCAGCCAAAAAAGTCAGATGACCCCACTCAACATTTTACATCTCAGCAGGCTGCAGTTCCTCCTGCCAGAGCCCAGCACAAAGAGAGGGCAAACTCCTGCTTTTGAGAAGGCTGCGGCCACTGGAGCTGGGCTGCAGGAGGCCAACCCCGGGGGCAGGTGGGGGTGATAGGCCCCACTGTGTCCTTCCTGGTGGTGGGGCAGGACACCTTGGCCTGTCCCGTTCCTGGTCTCTCCTGGGAGACCCTGCACTGAGGAAGCTTCACTGTCTGGAAGCCAGGACGCTCCTATGGCTCTTGTCCACAGACCCTTCTGCTGGCTGGGACTGGGGAGGGTGGGGGGTCAGAAAACCACCTGAGCCCAAAAGCACAGAAACAGGGGATAATGCCTTCGTGCCGGTTAAAGGCACAGCACAGGCATCACAACTAGAAATAAAGATAAGTATTTTTATGTGGGTGAGGAGGCATGTGTAATTTTTATATATTTTTTTAAGACATCTGTCTGGTATTAAAGTTTGAATGAGTTCAAAACTGTAAACTTCTGTCATTATTGTTGTTTATAATTCAACTTTCACAGCTGTTGTTGAAATCCTAACTCTTAAACCATCACATAATGGAAAAACATCAATTCTCAGTATCAGTACGCTACATTTTTAAAATAAAAATGGTGTACAAACGATTAAAGAGTGCCCTTCTATCGCTGTAAGACATCTTACAAACCAGTAATGTAAAATACATCTTTGACCAAAAAAATGTTTATTTGGAAAGCTTCAGGTTGCTCTAGTTAATTAGTAACTTACGCATATAAATAAAATTCCAACCCACTTCTAGTGCTGAGAGATACATGAGACCAAAACAACTGTAAGAAGTTTAAGTACATTTTATTAACAATGCATCCCTTTGATAAGATTACGCTTCAGGAGGCTTTTAATGCCCATTGACATGAACTGTACACACTATACAAAAAAAAACCCAGAAAAAAAAAACGCCAAAAAAAAAAATCAAGGTGGGCAATACCATTTTGGGACAAGCCTCTGTTTAAATTATACACAGCTCAATGCAATATTCTTACAGAAAATATATAAATACTTTTTCTTTCTATGTTACAGGTATACAATATAAATCAATTTCAATGTCTGTTCAGTGACCTACAAACACTAGAACCTCCAAATATGTAGCAGCGTATTACTAAATAAAAAGAAAGACCACATGGGACAGGGAGAATTAGTCATGAGATTTGCCTTGATCCCCTCCCTCCTCAGAGTGATTAATTTAGATAATCTCTTGTAATGCAGTTTTAGGGATGCTGACAGCCCAGTATTGGAACAATTTTTCAGTTAAATCTACAAAATGTCCGCCTTTTATGCTCTTAGACGTTTCCTATTGTGCTAAAACACCCTACTCAGTGGCAAAATGGCATGTTACTCTTTTTGGCATAAATTACATTTCTCAAACAAAATAGTGTATTTTACAAAGCAACTCAAGCAAAATGTGCAATTTCTGCATGCTGTGGCATTGCTACCTATCTATGTTACAAAAATAGACCAAAGAAAATCCACATTCTTTACTGAACACACAAATCTGTTGAAAGCAAAACTATCCAGGGAAGCAGAATGAGTTAAACCAAACCCAAGGAGATGGGAGGCTTCTAGCAAAATACAAACATGGTTTCCAGCATGTTCCCAAAGGTCTTTTACAGGTCTCAGATTTGACTCTGACCTAGTATACCTTTAATAAGCACATGATAACAGAAGTGTAACTTAAAAAAAACAAGCTATGGGTCCTGCTTTCAACTGGCTCCAGTGAAGCCCCAAGTACCAGGACTCCTGTGCTGCCCTGCCAGGAGGCAAGCAGAAGCCTCAGAGATGCTTCGAAGCCCAGCAGGAATCCTTCTGGTGCTGCCACTCAGCCTGAGCTCGGGCTCACTTACAAGGCAACACCAGTTTGCTGCAGTCCAAAAAGCCACGCACCAAGTCCAGGACACAGACTAAGTAGAAGAAACAACAACTCTTTCACCTCTCAGGAGGCTTTGATTACTGCCAAGCTCTCCAACAGCTGCCTTTCTCTTCAGGCACCCAGTAAAGGTGCTGTATGGTTTTTTTTCCAATCTCTCATTGCCAATTACAACTCCTGTTCAAAACCACTACGTGTTTCAAAACAAGATGATGAAAAGATGAGGAGGATTCTCACTGCTGCCTCTTTAAATGTTTAGGAGGGCAGCTAACCTCAGCATGCCCAGCCACTGTGCCCTACTCTACCAAATGCTTCTGGACTTCACTGCATCTTGGGGAAAAACAGACCCCAGTAAGAGGACATTTAGGGTACGTGTGTCAGGTCAAATTAAGAGCTGCCAGATGACAAAAAGTGACTGTTTCAAATACAGGATGCCAAGGGCCCAACGTACAGGTCAGGCACCTTGAAGCCTGACCATCTCCAGCTCCAAGGCAGCTGGGAGGACTCAGCATCTCCCCACCCAGAGGAGAGAGACCTGGAGGTGAAGAGGCAAACCCTTGCCCGCTGGCTGCAAAAGGAGACCGAAAATTAATCCAGCTGATGCAGCACACTAGATGTGACTGGTTTCACAGCTCCTTCCCACAGAGGCTGAGCAGGAGCTTCCTCTGCCACAGCAACCAGGCTGCATCGGTACAGAGTGTCAGTGACCTCTCCATGCTTCACCCCTTCCTCGACAGCGTCACCAACCCTTCGGACTGGCCACGTACAGAGAGGGTGGTCTGTCAGCGTCCCCTGCAAACCTGCCTCGGAGAAGCGGAGGGATGCTTTACTAGGGTTAATGTAAGCATGATTTTTATTTACTGCTGTTTTCTTTTGAAGTTTATTGCGAGACAAATAAAACCCCAAACTTTGAAAGGGATATTTTAAAACAGAAATCTACAGAATTAAAAATTCACAGTTTATAGCTAGGCCAATATCAAATTCCTTCAATAACAGTATCCCTTCATTTGCCAATTCAAATGAAACACTAATGTGAGCTTAATGTAAATATGTAAATTAACTCTAGAAATGTTGTATTATGTACAGTACAGACTTTACATCCTTGATGCATCCTTGTTGAAATCTACTGACACTCATACACTTTTAGAAAAAAAAAAATAATCACGTTTTACAACTGAATTTGCAGCCATAATTCATACGTCAAGCTTCTGTTGTCATGGATCCCCAAACAAGCGAGTACGTCAGAACATATAAGCATTTCAGGATGCAGATTGTTTCAAAAGTATATTGACATCGCTTTTGCTTACCTTTTTATAATCAGAGGCTTTCCTATGGCGCTTTCTACAATAAGTGCTATGGGTTAAACTGGTAACAAATGAACAAAGGTGGCTTTTTAAATACAGGTGATACAACTTGTTTATTTTGCTTAAACTGCAGAAAAATAACATGGAGTTGTTTGATATAACCCCATCTAGTTACTAAAACAAATCTCTTATACTCTAGCCTAACTGAGGTAGTGTTTGAAACTACTGTCTAAGATATGCTAGCCCCGTTTTTGGGAAAACTACATTATTTCCTTTGGAGTTTATACCACTATTTGGTCTACTGTGATTGACATTTTGGTTTTACAGAAGCGTTTATTTCTTATGACTAGAGAAGTCCAATAGTTACTGGTGTGGTATGTTTTCAGAGCATTTCAAACATGCCTTGACACTTAGAAATACTGTTTATGTCACTGACCACACAAGAGTTGAACGAGTTTCTTTTTGCTCTTTCTTTCAGTGGGAACTCATGAACAGATAATCTTAGAAACTAAATTTGACTATAAGCAGCAACTTACAATCTGCTTTACCGGAACCTGATGGTCTGCAGTGCATGAAAACTCAGTGAAGTGATAGCTGCAAAGCAGTGCTTATGTGGCAAGATGAAATTTCCAATAAGTACAAATAAATTCTACATTTCACTAGAGTTGTGTTTTACTGTTCACAGGACCACTTATGGAAATCCCCAGTAGCATAGCTAGTAAGAACAGAGTTATGAGCATCAGGATAAATTTCACTTATCTTAAGTATTAATCTGACAATTATAAAAAATGGTAAAAGTCAATGGATAAAAATACGTTCTACTTAGTACAGTCCAGCTGAATTATTCACCTATATCAAAATCAAAGGGTAATCCCTTCTATTACAGGCATTCTAACAAAGGTGGCCATGCTACTGTATGTACACATTTGCATATATTTATATTACCTTCGTATAAAGGCTTCTAAATCTTTAGATCCATGATAAAAGTGATGGGGATTCTTACTTTTTTTTTTTTAGGCTTGCACTCATTAATTTAGAAACCTCACTAGTAATGCGATAGAGGCAACTATTTCAGTCATTAACAGTCACTGTATTATTTAACTTTTGCACGTAGTCTTAAATACCAATATAAAGTTATAAGTACTGCTGCTCCACAATTTGGTACTTAAGGCTTTTCACTACAATTATTAGTACTGTCTGATGCTTGACCCATTGAATATTCAAATAAACCTTTGTTTTTATAAAAGGCTGTTTTCATGTAACTTGGAAACCACTTATTTCTTTTCACAAAAGCAGCAATGATTAAATGTCTTCAAGTTTAGTTTATGCAATATTTACTTATCGGATACAAATCATGCTTTTTAAAGGATTTTAGTTAAGAGTAAGACCAACATTTGTACTATATGAGCATGAGTGTAGGAACTGCAAACACATGCATATCATTCAGGGAAAACAATCTGATTTCAACATTTTATGTTTAAATGATTTGTTACTTTTAAAAATCAAACTGTAGTGAAAATCCTTAACTGGTTCAGATAAGGTACATCTACGTAAATGTAATGAAATTGGAGAGACTGCTAATAAAATGACTTAGAACTATAGCAACATTAAAATAACTTAAAGGAAACCTCAGATTCACAGAGGCTTTTCTTTCTGTCTGAAGTTACAAACCCCCAAGTAGTGTTATAAACAGTACAAAAAACCAACAGCGAAGGGCTGACATTAATCCCCTGGTATCCACATGTACAGTACAGCTCCCCACTGCTGGCCATGGAACGCACCCTCATCTCTCTGATTCCTGGTATCCAGGGATTAAAAAGCAAGGCATCGTTCTGCTTCACAATCGGCAGTCAATCAAAAAAGACGTCCTATTCGTTGTCCTATTTGTTTTAATTCATGGTAGAAAATGAAATGAAAACTTGTGGAGGTGTTCAGTGCTCGGCTCTTGCATATATGGGTAATTACTATTATTAAAACTATGGTAATGTTTAATAAATCCCCAAAGGGCTCAAAAGACTAGGGCAGTAATTGGTTGAGGAAGGAAAAGTTTTCAGTACAGTCTTCAGGTACCAGTAGCTTCTGGAACGGTCTAGAAGATGATGCTCCAAGCTTTTTATCCAGTCAGTCAGAGGTTGTCTGAGCATTTCAGAAAGTCTATAGGCAAAGCGCTGCGCGAGACAGAGGTCAGGACTCAGCCGACGCATCGATTACTGGCTGTTTGGTGGGTGTTGCTAAAATTGCCTCTGCTTCTTCATGCATCTAAAAAGAGTGAGACAGATGAAGTATTAGAGACCTTACTAGAGAAACATCATTAATGGTTTCCTTTAAGACATATCTGAAAGCATCTTTTAGTCAAAACAAGTAACCTGCCCCCAGCTGGCACATCTTGGTGTGTTCAACGCATTTGAACCCTCCACTTACTTGTAAGAACTGCACATCCTGAAACAGCTCCTGAATGAACCTTCGAGACGGGAGTCGAAACGTGCAATGTGCTAACAAGTAGGACACCTCGGAGTAAAGGCATATGTCATCAAATGCTTGGGGATACTTCTCCTTAATTCTGAAAAAACAGAAAAACCAAAATTTTCTAAATCTTGAACAGATTTCCATCATACTTTTTAAAAATGTTGAATTAGATTTTGATCGTCATCACTAAACAAAGCAGAACTCTTCAGTAATAGGCACAATAAATACTGGATCTGATGACAAGAAAATCAGGATGTTAATTTTGTACCAAACTGGAAGAAATACATATCAACAAGATGAAACAGAATATGTAACTTAACGTTGTACAGAAATGCTGAGATCACCTGATGTTAAAATAATAGATACAGAAAGAAAACCATTTATCATAAAATTGGCAGATACTTGTATGGTAGTAACAAAAAATATAGGAAACGTAGTTTAATTATCTGTAAGCATTTTTAAAACTGAGCATTTCTGCATTTTTTTTTAGCAATTGTATGTCAGCTTCCAATGTCATTAACCCAGAAACCTACAGGTTTTATTATAACATTTGGTCTCTGGATTTATATTCCTATATTTTAACATGATTTTTTCTATAAATTAATTCCAGTAGTTGTACTCTTGCTCAAAGCAGATGTGTGTTTCTCAAGAAGTTACTTTCAGTTTTTCATTCTGCTTACCTGATATATATTATTTGGAACAATTACTCAAAAAGAATTATTATTTCTTTTTTAAAGATGCAAGATAGAATGGGGTATGTAAAGAAATATCACTGCAGTTGAACTACTGATTTTATAAAGACTGAGGAAGGGTAAGGAATTAAAGACGGAGCAAAAACATAACAAGGAACATCTTTTGCTTAGCTTGTACATTACATTTAATCATTCTATCATATCTGCTGAACAATTTTTTAAGAAGTCAGAAGTAAGGTGAATCACTGTCCCAGAGATCTTAGACAACAGGTACAACTAAATGTTGCTAAAACTTTTGAGATATATTGAACTTACGTCAAGAGTCCAGTTTCGTGGCCCTTAGTTCCCACTGAACTACTCAAATTGATGACTAAACGTAAGACTTCCTTCCGCAGAAGTATTCTGCACACCGGCGTGTCATCTGGGATTGACTTTACTCCTGGAAAAACAAATTAAACAGTACGGAATTTAAACAGAATAGTCTTCAGCTGTGCTAATCATACACCATGTGAGTCTGTTTTAGCATTCCATAAACACCACATATGCATTTATGTATGTATTCTGAAGTACCAACAAATATTTCCCCTGAAATTAAAACCTAAATAAAATTTCCTATTTTCAGGAATTTTAACATACAAATATTTCAAAAAGGTAAACTCTTCCATAAATGGAAAAACCTGTAAGATCCAATTCAGCTCTGTCTCTACCACAAAATCATGCTGCAAACTGGGCAAGTGGTCACCTGGTCTCCTATCAGATGTTGGAGAAGTTAGCAACCAGCTACCTCATACAAAATTACGACTATCCAAAATGTAAAACACAAGCCTAAACATGAAATGTCTTTCTCTTTAGAGAAATTCAGTAATTTTTTTCTTTTTAAACTAACACTAGTGTGGAAAAAAAAAAGTAATCCGTTTGCTTGCAATGTTGGATACAGAACTATTGGATAACCTGCAGAAATGCTGCACAGCAAAAGGAGAAGAGTTTAAAAGTATGTTCTCCCATCTGCCATAACCATGGACAATGCAACTACTTTTCTGGGTAACAATTAAATCATCCAAAGGGGTTTTTTTGGTTGTTGTTTCTATTCTTGTTCTTTTGTCAGTTTTTGTTTGGTTTTGTTTTTTAAATAATGAGCATTACTGTCTGGCAGTGTGTAAAAATGAAATACTATTTTTCCACAACACATAAAAAACACTTTAAGAGTTTTAGTCTCTAATAATCATAATGCTTTCAAACTTACCTAGCACAAGCTCTGTACTCTTGGTGCTGCTAGCTGAACCATGGGATACCGCATCACTACAGCCTGAAATTCCAGAAAACTTGGAGGAATGCACATCTAAGTGATTGTGTATGGTCTGCCCACACCAGTCAGTATATGGAATGTCTGAAAAATCTGACACAAACGAAATGTTTCATCTTTGTTATTCACACTTTTCCTCACTTCAACTGCTTTTCTTGTGTTTCAACAATGGTAAGCACCAGCACACTAAGTACTGTGCATATAAACCAGCTGGAAACTAGATGTTGGATTTTGGACAAATCATACTTAAAATATCTAAAAATCACCTTTTTCAAATCTTAAGATACTAAAGTGAAAATTATAAACTCATTTATGGCTGGATTCGATGGGTGGACTGTTCAGTGGATAAGGAACTGGCTAGATGGTCGCATCCAGAGGGTGGTACTCAATGGCTCAAAGTCCAGATGGAGAGCAGTGACAAGTGGTGTTCCTCAAGGGTCCGTGCTGGGGCCAATACTGTTTTACATTTTTATCAATGATATAGACAGGGGGATTAAAGGCACCGTCAGCAAGTTTGCGGATGACACCAAGCTGTGTGGTGTTGTCGATACACCAGAGGGATGGGATGTCATCCAGAAGGACCTGGACAGGCTGGAGAGGTGGGCCCAGGTGAACCTCATGAGGTTCAACAAGAGCAAATGCAGGGTTCTGCACCTGGGCCGGAACAATCCTCGCCACCAATACAAACTAGGGGGTGAGGTGTTGGAAAGCAGCCCTGAGGAAAGGGACTTGGGGGTGCTGGTGGACGAGAAGCTGGACATGAGCAGGCAGTGTGCATTTGCAGCCCAGAAGGCCAATCACATCCTGGGCTGCATCAAAAGAAGTGTTGCCAGCAGGTCCAGAGAGGTGATTCTGCCACTTTACTCTGCTCTGGTCTGTACTCTGCACTCACCTGGAGTATTGTGTGCAGGTCTGGAGCCCTCAATATAAGGACATGGACCTGATGGAGCAGGTCCAGAGGAGGGCCACGAGGATGATCAGGGGGATGGAGCACCTCTGCTACAAGGACAGGCTGAGGGAGCTGGGGTTGTTCAGCCTGAAGAAGAGGAGGCTCCGGGGAGACCTAATAGCAGCCTTCCAGTACTTGAGGGGGCCTACAGGAGAGCTGGGGAGAGTCTGTTTACAAAGGCCTGCAGTGACAGGATGAGGGGCAATGGCTTCAAGCTGGAGGGGAACAGATTTAGACTGGAGATTAGGAGAGGGTTCTTCACTGTGAGGGTGGTGGAGCACTGGAACAGGTTGCCCAGGGAGGTGGTTGAGGCCCCTTCCCTGGAGATATTCAAGGTGAGGCTCGACGAGGCCCTGGGCAACCTGGTCTAGTTGGGGGTGTCCCTGCTGACTGCGGGGAGGTCGGACTAGATGACCTTGGGAGGTCCCTTCCGGCCTGGACCATTCTATGATTCTATGATTTAGACAGTGATGGCAACAAAAAAACCTGTAATCACACAGAGAGCTCTTATTGGTAGGTATGTACTCTATTTTACGGAACACAACAAAGATGCTCTTGCATATGCACAGATTTTTTTGCTCACACAATTATCACAGGTGTTGCAGAAAGGGCTCTGACTTCATTAACAGAAAGATATGACAAATAAGATTTTTCTTGGAGGTTTCACTAGTCACAGCCTTCAGCATTTTGAATGTAAAAACATGAATATAAAATCCAAGCTTTTAATGGTTGCACAGTTAATAGAAACACAGAAAACCATAGGTCTGAAGGGACTTTCGGAGATCACCCTTGCTCAGAGAAGCGTTCACCTCAAAATGAGATGAGGTTACGCTGTAAAGAGTTTCCCCTTATGTTCAAATGGAATTTATTTCTATTCCTACAACATATGTTGGCGGCCTCCTGTCCCTTGGCTTTATGCCTCTGACAAAAGCCTGTGTCTGCTGCACTTATAACACCCTTATGCTTATTTGAAGACTACAACTGGGATTTTATTTGCCACCCCTTCTCAATACCAAACTCAAGCTCAAACTCAGCTCTCTTGGCCATTCCTCACATTTTGTCCATCATCCTCCTCGCCAACAGTACTATTTATGTGTTACTACCTGAACATGTAACACCATTGTATAACAGTGAGGATTCCTACTAAGCATCCACTACTGGATTATCTTTTTATAACAGACATTGCAGAAAGGCATGCAATTGCAAGCTCTGGTGAGGAGGTCAGGAAAAAATAATTCTGACCTGAATCTCAAAATACGAAGATAGATAACTAAATACCAGAAATTACAGCTCAACTTCAGACTCTGCAGATTTCTTTAATTTTGTTTTATGGTATAGACTTGAAGTCAGACTTCTAATTGGTTTGACAGCAAATATCATTTTTCAGGACATGGATTTTAAGTACTAAATAAGGCTTCAAATTTTGTATTTTGCTAAGCTCTTAGAAATATTTAAAAAAAACATGCAGGCACCTAGTCACACTACCACCACTAGAAATCAAAAAGATGGAAATAACCATAGAAATACCACTGGTTCCACAGTGAGGTCATTAAGGAGAATTAATTTCAAGGTCAACAGTCAGTGATGAAAAAGCCTTACGGATCAATCAATTTTGAAGACGAACAAAACTCATTATTTTCATTCAGTTTTATCACCCTTCCCCACACAGAACACTAACCTGCACGACTATACGAAGAATTCACTTTGTTGTTAGGCTGATAACCCAGTATTTGAATGCAGACACAGTAAAGGCAGTTCTCATCTGTGTGCTCCTGTAGCCCCGTATCCTCTGTGTTTTCTAAAAACTGAGAGGCATCTGAACGGCTGGTATTCATTATTTCTGTGAGACTGATCTGCTGTCGGAGCATCTGAAAAGGGCTTTTGACAACATCACTTGTACCTGATGGAAGACCTGTAGATAAGCAATTAGACATCAGAAAAAAAAACAACAAAATAAAACCAAGCAACCAACATTATTGCAACTAGATTTCCCCTGTCAAGGCTGGGAAAGTAGTGTGTGTGAAGATCTAGAAACTTTTTCTTGAGGGGTTAAGCTCCCAAGATTGTTAGTATTTGGGAAACAGCACATTTTAGTCCCAGCTTATCATATACAATAAAACATTGCAAAGGACAGAACTCGATCTCTAAACACACATACTGTAAGAGGACTGGTAAATCCTGACATTATATCAACATTAGTAACAGTAATAGCCACACAACACTAATATATTACAAATTTTCATAGTATCAAACAAAATTAGTACAACAATATACCAGATGTTTAAATGACACATGCACCAATGAACACAGAAACACAATTTAAAAAACCCCTATGACTTAGTGCCTGAAATAGGAATAAACTAGAGTTGACAATACAGCAATAAGCCAAAGATGCTTTAGTGACATGCTCTTCCCTACGTGGAACATATCAACAAACAGAATTTTGAGCAGGAGTTATTTAGACAGAAATTTAGCAACTTCAGAAACAGTTTCAGGGAAATCAGCTTTATATACTACATTACCACCACAAAAGAAGGAAAAAATAAAATCACTAAGGTGTGTGTCTTTGGATGTTCAAAGTGCTTTTAATAACGTTGCAGTTAACCGGGAGGCAAGACAACAGCTACCCCATACTGCTTCAGGGCCAGCTCCAGGGCTTCCTTTTCAGTCGACATACTGAAAAGACACATATTGGTGCCCCACAGATTTCTGACTACTCTGGAGTAAAAAAAGAAGTGCTCTCTCTTGTACCACGTCCCACCACAACCACTGATCAACTGTCGCAGAAACACCACAGAAAGATAAAATTTACTCTCTGAAATACATACCTAACACCTTTATAGTTTCCTATAAATTCATGTGTAATCAAAGGGAAGTCAAAATGTGTATGTGGCAAACGTACACTATTTCAGCTAAAGTGTAGTGATACTGCATTTAAGAAAGTAATAATCTGGCTTTGATTAGAATAAGCTTGTATTACAACCAAAGATATGTATGTAGGCCTTCCTCCTTTGCTTATTAAAGTAAAACCACACTTACGTTGCTTCAAACCAACAACACATTCTCCAACTAAACAGAACAGGGAATTAAGGGCTACCCTCAATCCAGAACACAGGTCTCAAAACTGAACAGCCAGAAATACGCCTTTTCTGTACAGAAAACTCAACAACTAAACTAAGACCACCCCACCTCACCCTGCCCTCAGTGTACAAATAAACAACAGAAAGGTACAGGAGAGGAACAAAACCAGTACCTCCTGCATCAGGTACGAAGACCCTAGCTCCACGGTCATCAAATGGAGGTGTCGTTTTCTTCTGGAAATACGGAGTTTCCTTTACCTGGAATATTCATGTGAAAATTAAACTTAGCATAGATGAGATCATATACAAAGGAAAAACAGATTTCATGAGGAAATAAAATGTCCTTTTTTTACTTTAGGAAAAAGATCTAATTAGAAGAAGAAATTAAAAATGGGTCAGTACTAAAGGAAAGCCAATGAGAAAAACATACATTTGTAAATGAACATTTCTTAAGCAAGGCTCGTGAACAGTCAGTCAATGTTGAAATATAGTGGTGACAGGCTGTAAGGAAATCAGTGACCTGGAAGTGATTATTAATGATCTATCTGTCCATGATTGCTCTACACCACTGGAACTCAGAAGAGCAGTGCCATAACACCCAGGACATCTGTAATGTTGCCTGTAAGATGTAGAGTCAAGATGTGTTTTAACGCTACAAAAAGAGTTGAGAGAAGGAATGAGGCAATATAAATACAGCAAAAGACTCAAAAGGAGAAAGAAAAAGTAGCCATTTCACAATGAGGAAGTAGAACCAAGTATGATGAAAAATTTTGCCTTTGCTCTAGCTTTAGTAATTTTTTGAGATTAGTAAGAAAGTAATTTAGGTTTGAAAGGCAAAGACTAAGTAAACTGAAGATAAGAAAGCCACTGATTTACATTTGATATAGACCATGTCCTGTTTTTGATAATTAAGTAATGATATTAAACCCTGTGATACATCAGTATGTTAGAGAGGAATGTGTTTTAATGAAGCAGAAGGAGGAAGGCAATTGATAAAACACTTAAATATACACATCTGTGAGGTTAAACAAAGACAATATAACTTAATGCTATGACAATATATATGCAAATAAAGTAATATTTAATCCTGGTAGCAGGAAATTAACTCTGTGATTATGCACAAATGACCAATGAACATATCAACTAGTTGGCTAATAAGGTATTAACAAATGTCCACAGACTATGCTAGCTTTAGCAGAAAACGTAGCTGCCAACTAGAAATCTTATGACAGCATATTTATGCTGCTACCACTGTTTAACACTCTTCTAGCCTGGGTCATTATTTGCCTAATAATACAAAACAGACAAGCATTTCTCTGTGAACAGGGTTAAAAAAGAAACTCTTGTTCTCCAAAATGCATTCCTTGAAAGTACTACAACCTTTTTTCCTCATGTCTCTAGATGGAATATATACTGATGGACATGCAATAGTTGACTACCTTTCAGTATGAAAATGCAAATGAACCAATTCAGTTATCACATACATACCTGAAATATTTCATTGATATCCACTGGGAGAGCAAGGCCAATGTAATCATCAGAGCTACCATATGTAGCATTAGAAACCATGGAGCGAACAGAGGAGGATCGCTGAAGTGTGTTTTGGTTAATGGGACTTAATAAATCTTCTTTATCTAATGAAGCATAACTTAAAGCTTTCATGAACCTGTAACATTGAAATAATAAGTCACAATCTTGGTAAACTTCTCATTCTGGGAAGGTTCAGATTGGATATTAGGAAGAATTTCTTCACTGACAGGGTTAGCAACCGTTGGAACAGGCTGCCCAGGGAAGTGGCGGAGTCACCATCCCTGGAGGTACTTAATAGACAGGCAGACGTGGTGCTGAGGGAAATGATTCAGCGTTGGACTCGGCAGTATTTGATTGGTTAACTGTTGGACTTGGCAGTATTTGATTGGTTAACTGTTGGACTCTATGACCTTAAAATTGTCTTTTCCAGCCTAAATGGTTCTACAATTCTAAACCCCAAAAAGTTACCAATTGCATTAGTTATCTGATAATAAAGCATTATATAATTACTTCCAACATGAAATTAAACATAGAAGTATTAATCGTAAATGTTTGTCCCTGCTTTTCCTGGAAAAGCTAACATCAGTTAAGGACAATATTTAGCTGGAAGTAGTAACATACTCTGAAATTAAAAGGACCAGAATTATTTGGTGTAGACATCCAGCTGTAACCAGTAAGAAAAACACATACACTGGTTACATCATAGTCTTTCCAATCAATTATATTAGTAACCAACACAATCTGACAACATCTTTAATATGTATGTTTGCAATTTTTTAACCTTCTCAGAGACAGGGGCACTCCAGCCACTTCAGTTCAATGTTAAACAGGTCAGATCAAATTGTTGAGCCTAACCACTGACATAAGAGATCACAAACAGCTAAGCACCAGAGATACTGACTGTTAAAATTACATTACATGCAGAGTCTCAGGATGAAAGTCTACTGCAGCAAGGCTGCTTTGCATATCAAGGACATCACCGAAAGCAATGGTGCAACATTACTACAGCCACAACAGAACCTGTACTGCCACTGAAATGGCACTGATTTGTTCCTGCATTAGCAGAGGAAGCCAGTGACAGAGCAGGAACAGCACTTCTGTTTTCCAGGATAGTGCTGCTTAACTACTGAATCATCTTTAAATTAATCAGCACACTCAGTCTAGTTCTAACTTAACTGAACAAGGGGAAAAACTTACCTTTTATTGGCACCTTTGCAGAATCACACAAATATATCAACAAATGAATGTTGCTTTTAGTCAGGACAAAAGCACACAATAACCAGGCACCACATACACTCTTACTGGGTCTGCAGAGTGCAGTTCAGGGACTGGACATTTGCTGTTCTGTGCTGTAAGCAGATGACTACTATATTGGTAGCTTCTGCCCTTTCTCTCATCTGAGAGAGGATGTTTGGTAGTAACAGAGATAGAAAGTGTCTTTTTGCTTTCAATAGTAATGTGAAAATCTAACGCACCTAACTAAAAGGAAAAATTTGGTAAAAGATTGTAAGAGAAAGTTGTTAAGCATTCACTGTAGCTGCTGGGAACAGTGTCAATGTCATGAGCTAGATATCTTATGTAACGAACCAATTAGTCTCCAGAACATCTAATATTACTCAAAAATAAAGAGGTGACACTGCCATCTAAAAATAAACGCTATGAGTAAAATCTTTGCTCTGTTGTAGGTAAGCAGCCAAACTGAGTCTCCTGCCAGTGGTACCAGTATCTCATCACTGGTTTCAATGCCTCAGTGAACACGAAAATAGCATATTGGCAGGAGACCCTGTCCTAAAACCTCACCAAGTGACATTGAGAAAACTCTATTCCGAAACATAGCTCTGACTACATGGGCAATTTTGTGTTATTGCAGCTTTAGGAATGCTAACAGTGTAACTGCATTTAAATATTAAAGAAGTTAACAGGAAGCAAATGTGATAAAAAGAAACATTTTCCTTTCTTACTAACAGCATTAAAGGGGCTAAGCATAGCTATGAAATCCAGCCTTCTCCAACAGCACTTACACAGTTGAGAATTCTCTTTCTATTACGTAATTCTCCTCGTATCGATACTGTTTTCAGTGAAGTTGTGAATCATCCTGCAACAACTGTCACTTTTTAAGTGGTAAAAAATATTAGAAAGAGACTTTTCTTACTTAATTGCTCTTACAGCTTTGAAGTAAGGAATGGGCACACAGCAACCTCTCTCTTACCGGCTTGGGGTGAGCCGAGAATCCAGGCTGCCAGACTTCATGGTGATAGTGTCAGTAAAGAGCACGTCCTTTGCTGGAGATGCCAGGGCTTCCGAGTGGGACAGTGAAGGATGCATCCTCTGCTGCTGCAGGCGTTTTAGTGTAGCGTAGCCAAAGGCATCTCGAGAACTTGTGTAGCTGAAGTTATAGTCAGCAAGACTTTTTATTGTAGCAAGAGAAGGAGCTTTAAGAGACTGGGCTCTCCGGGGAAGTGTGTGAGAAGACCCTGGTGGCACTAGGGACACCGAGTTGGATTTGGAGAGAGGCAGGTGGTTAGACTGTGGTGTTGAACAGTGGCTTGGTTTAACTGTTTTTGTGCTTACCACAGTACTCAAACTTCCACAGTCAGTATCTACATTTGTAGTGTCCACACCTACAGTCTCCCTTGAAGGGCTGGAGCTCATTGAGCTTATGCCACTTGTTGTGGTATCTGTATTAAAACTTAAGCTACGACTCTTGAAATGTGTTTGTGTAGTACCATCTCCTATTAGCCTTTCTCTGCTTGTGTTTTCCCGGTGAATTTCATTTCCAAGACCTTTTGGCAGCTTCAGATCATTTTCTCCAATACTCGGTGTACTATCAGTATCTTCCATGTGCTTACTTCCAACAAAAGAAGTTTCTAATCGTAAAGTCTGGATTTTAGGAACTCTGAAAACAGGGTTGAATTCTTCCCCAGAAGGAAAGTCTATGCTACCAGAAGGTTCTGTTACCGTACGATTTCGCCTCAGGCCTGATTTACTGTCAGATGATGTCAGCTTTCCTCCTTTGGGATCACTGCTACTTCTGTGTTTTTTATTAGGTAGAGTAAGAGAATTTAGAATGCGGTTTTTCACAAGTTTACTAGAAGCAAAAAAAGGAAAGGGACTACGGTCTTTGTCCTTTGAAGGTCTGTCGTAAAATATCTGTTCTGCATCTTCAGTAATATCTAGGAAGAATGTACTGGTGGAAGTACTACCAAAACGGTCATCCTCCATGATGAACATACCTGAAATTATATGAAACTTTGTCACTGAAAGCCGACATTTCTTCAAAGTGTATAAACTATGTCGCAAAAAAGTAAGCAATTCTACAGAAGCCAAAGTGGGAAACTATGTGATTCACTGCAATTTTAGTTCAACGTTTTTTCTGCAGAACTTAATAGTGTAAATTCAGTATTTTGAGAAGTACCTGAGCAGAAGGTCTTACTGCTTCGAAAGAAAAGCCACACTATCTTATTTCAGTGCAAATACCCAGCTACTAGGATTACAACTGATGTGTTCCTTTAAAGATATCTAAATATGGTATGCTTCTGCATTTAAATTCAAATATCTTTAACAAAATTAAAATGTATTAGATACTCAAAATACACAAGACTTTAAATACAGCAATAATCTGTGAGTGTGTATATACACACAGAATATACATATTTATATTCTAGAATATGTCTTTGAGGACAACCAAATAAAGTGTATCTTTATACCTAAGCACGAAGATTTCTGCAGGGTATTACAAGCTGCTATGACTTGACATAAAAACTAGTAACTTACCCCACTGTTAAAATTTCTTACTTCTACACCAAATGTAAACCTCAGACACTGTTCTCTTCCCTCTGACCTGTCTACATCTCTCTGAACGGATATAACTGTCCCCTTGCTTGCACTCTTCTTTCTTGCAATAGCAACTTTACACCGTTTGTCTGAACCTCGCCCTGCCAAAATGTTGGTAAGAACACCAAAATGCCGTTTTGCGGTGGGTTTGGGGTTTTTTTGGTTGGTTTGTTTCGTTGTTGTTACTTACTTGAAGGAGCAGATTCGCTTTCACTGTTATGCCTAGAACTAGTGGACTCAGAGTTCAAGCTAAGAGTACTGGGTATAGAAGAAAGTTCATTGCAGAGCTGCTCCATGTCATCAGGCACCACCGGCCAAGGCTGTCTACGACTGTGTCTCACTGCATCCCAGTTGTGATGCTTCAAAATGTCACATCCTTGTTTAGTTTTGGCTATTAGACCAAGCACGTAGACACAGGTTCTGTATTTAATGTATATATAGAAAAAAGAGCAACAATAATAGCATCTAATTTTACTAAACTTATTTCTCTTTTGAAAGGAAACAGTTTCAAAATAATTCAGCAGAAACTTCACAAAACTGCCAAATAGCTTTTTGTTAATTTTTATGTGTAAATCAATGGAAGCTCAAGAAACACACTAAAATATCTGAGATACGCTATTCAAAAATAATAAAAAAATACAAGAGCCTGATAACAGAGTAGAAAAATACCTTTTTTCTTCAAAGGAAAAAAAAAGGACAAATAACTCAGTAGCAGTATCAGGCTAAAGACCATCTATTTATACTTTTAAAGACTTAGAAAATATATGAAAAAAATGATGGAATAATAAATTGATTCCAGAGATACAAGTAGCAAATATTATTGTTTTTTTAAAAAGCAGAAAAGTAGTATGTATCTTTTTTCATAGGTTTCACTTGCTTACTGCATGTTCTTTCAGGCTTGTTATGCAGTTCTGTGATTGTATAGGACTGAGATTGATACTCAGTCATCAATGATCTTTAACAACTGATTTCCAAGTAAGTGCAAAAAACCATTCCCGTAAATTAGATAAGACTATTTGAAAACCTGTGACAACTACCATCTGTAGATTTTACATATAAATCAGATACACATACCCTCTAACAGAGAGAACCTCACAATGTTGAGCAAGTGCCATTATATCAGGAATTACATTCTCCTCTTGAAGCAAGTTAAGACCCCAATTTGATGATCCAATATTGCCCTGGAAAAAAAGTTTGTCAAGTAAGTTAAGTTTTAATTTTGATGTGATCTGCAGCACCAACTGTAAACCTTTTGACTTTTTTGTTTTTTAGTAATTTCAAGGTACATCTTCTCAAAGCAATTAGAGATTTGATCATCCTTTCCGACATTTTCTAGTTGTGGAAACCCCAAATTTTTGGCTCACTATGCATAATACGTAAAACTGCTCACAGTTAACTACTGTCTATTCCTCACTGTAGCATTTCTACTACAGCCAGCAGTGCCACCTCAGTTTACTCATTCTACATTCCCCTTACACAGGCATTTTATCACATACCTACAACATCTTTCAGTAACAGTCACCTTGGACAAATGTTCCAAAATAAACTTTGGGGAAGACAAGAAAGGAGCAAGCAGTTGAGTTGGCAAAGCAAATTTAGAAGTGTAGGTTAGACAGCCACAGACACTAGGTGTTTGCCTATTCAGGGGCACCAGGGGTCTTGTAACCATACATGTTCACACACATCAATAGGGGCAGCCAACTTTCTTCTAGAAACACTGCATTTTGGACCACTGCAGTAAATACATTAGAAGCAGACCACAGCAAGTTGTAACTACTGGCTCTGTACTTATAATATTTTTGCTACATGTGGCAAGCCGTTATTTTTATTTGTTAAAAAAGAAAAGAGACAAAGTGACTATTAAAAAACTCAGAACAAAAAAGATGCAGTGAACCATTTTCAACTGCAAGTCCAGTTAGGATACAGAACACCAACTTGGAAAAATCACAGACATTTTATGACAAAAACCCTAATTAATGATTTTATGGGATTTTGCATAGTTATTTCAGAAACAAGAGTCATAACAGAACTCAAACAACTGCAAAAATTTTGTAAATCTATTACTAACCAAGGCCCAAAGGGCTGCTTTCAGCTGCTTAATTCCTTCCCATTTATCCAGCATTGGGGAACGAACAGTGTAACTCAGATCTGTAACAATACTCTGAAGGAGAAAAACAAGAAAAAAAGACAACCTCAGTTGAAAATAAAGAGGGGACCTCCATCAAACAGGTTCTCTTGCATTTTTAATAAACGGTAAAGCACTAATTTGAAGTATGCACCCTAAAATGAGCAGTGATACATCTGGAATAAGCATGAATTAACAGCAGGGGCGATGCACTGATTACCTCAAGTTAATTCAGATTTTATAAAGGTAACAGATTAACCAGACTAACACAGTGCAAATTATAAGATGTCTCTTGAACCCTTCAACTATCATATTCAATTCATTACATGATCTTGCAAACCCACATTTAAAGTGAATTCATCCAGCAACTATGAACTGACTTAGGGTTTATTTTCTTAACTTTTCAGGATATTAGAAAGAAGATTTTACCCCCTAATCTCCACATTTTTGTATGCATAAAAGGATAGGCAGAGTTTTACTTGTCAATATACAATTCACTCAGACTGAAAAATTATTTCTATTAGTGAGTTGTTTTCGATTCTAAGATATTGCTAGCCATTTTATGAAAAATGGTGCCAGGTATTTCTCTGATATTTCAGTGTCATGAAAGAGCTTCACATGAGACTAGATTGCAAAGACTGTCTCTACGTGTTTTTTGCCCTATATAACTTCAGACTTTTATAATCAAGTTACTTTGCAATGACTGTTTAAATGTCATTTCTTTTAAAACAAATTTTAAAAGGCTTACAAGTAATCTTTAAAATCTTTCAAATTATTAATAGTTATTATCCTCACCTGAGACTCCAATAAATGGCAGCCCGTTTTATGGTGCACCAGTTGGCCATAAAGGTGAACTGGCAGGTAGACGTGTGGTCGCTGTAATCTGGCAGAAAGAGAAATCATATGCTTTCCCAGCAATTTTGACTGTTTTAAAAAATAAATTACACTGCAGTGTAATCCAAGGAGTTACTCTTAAGTTTTTTCAGGCGAAAAGGATTCTTTTGAAGAATTTAGATTAAACTATAATACTTCAGTTGGAAGGGACCTACAACGATCATCTAGTCCAACTGCCTGACCAATTCAGGGCTAACCAAAAGTTACAGCATGTTATTGAGGCCATTGTCCAAATGCTTCTGAACACTGACAGGGTTGGGGCATCAACCACCTCTCTAGGAAGCCTGTTCCAGTGTGTGATCCCACTCTCAATAAAGAAATGCTTCCTAACGCCCAGTCTAAACCTCCCCTGGTGCAGCTTTGAACCATTCTCACTCATCCTGTCAGTGGTTACCAGGGAGAAGAGCTCAGCACCTCCCTCTCCACATCTCCTTCTCAGGAAGCTGTATAGAGAGAAACAAGGTCACCCCGCAGCCTCCTTTTCTCCAAACTAGACAAGCCCAGGGTCCTCAGCTGCTCCTCACAGGACATTCCTTCCAGCCCTCTCACCAGCTTTGCTGCCCTCCTCTGGTCACACTCAAGTTCCTCTACATCCTTAAATGGTGGGGCCTAGAACTGCACACAGTGCTCAAGATGGGGCCACACAAATGCTGAACACAGTGGGACAGTCCCCTTTTTTGACTGGCTGGTTGTGCTGTGCTTTGTGCACTCCAGGATGGGGTTTTCCCTCTTAGCTGCCAAGGCTCACAGGTGACTCACAGGTACCTGCTGCCCACCAGCATCCTCAGATCCCTTCCCGCAGGGCTTCTCTCCAGCTGCTCCTCTCCTAATTTACACTTGTGCCCAGCATTACTCTGTCCCAGGTGCAGAATCTGGTATTTGGACTTGTTGAATTTCATTCCATTAATCACTGTCCAATTCTCCAATCTATCTAGGTCCCTCCACAAAGCCTCCTGCCCCTCAAGAGTCAACAGCAGTTCCCAGTATGGTATCACCAGCAAACTTGCCAACAGCGCATTCAACTCTTGCACAAGATGATTGATAAATATATTGAACAGAACTGGCCCTAGAATTTATCCCTGAGGAACACCACTGGTGACCGGTCGCCACATGTAGCCCCATTCACTACAACCCTTTGAGTCCTGTCCTTCAGCCAGTTCTTCACCTAGTGCACCGTGAACCTGCTTATCCCACAGCTAGACAACTTTTCCAGAAGGATGCTGTGAGGGACCAGAAAAAACTACATCCACCACCTTCCACTTCCTTTCATCCACTAGATGAATGACCTTTTCATAGGATCATAGAATGATTTGGTTGGAAGGGACCTTAAAGATCACCTAGTTCCAACCCCCTCTCTGCCCCCCTGTCATGGGCAGAGACACCTCCCACCAGACCAGGTTCCTCAAGCCCCATTCAGCCTGGCCTTGAAATCATACCAGGATAATCACATTGGTTAAACAGAACTTGCCCTTTGTGAACCCATGCTGACTGTGTCTGCTGACAGAATTGTTCTTTCAGTAGTACCCAGCTGGTCTTCTGCTTGACTTAGGACACAATGGGATTGCCTGCTCCTGTGCTTTCAAAAAGTAGTTCTTAAGAACTGACAAACACTCATGGACTCCTATGCCCTCAAAAGCCAATTCTCAGGGTACTCTGCTGAATAGTTCCCTGAATAGCTTAAAGTTTGTTCTCCTGAATTTCAGGGCAGCAACTCTCATGGCCTTTTTTTCCTCATACTGAAAATATTCAACTCAACCATTTCATGGCCACCGTGGCTAATACAGCCACCTACCATCACATTTCCCATGCATCCTTCTCAGTTCACAAATAGCAAGTCTAGGAAGCCACCTTCCCTAGTTGGCTCACTGAGTGAGTACTTGTGACAAGAAGTTATCGCCTACAAACTTCAAGAATTTACACGACCTGTTCATCACAGCAGTATTACTACCCAGTCAATGTCTGGGAAGATAAAATCTCCCAATCCAGAAACTTCTCCTAATTGCCTACAGAACAATTCATCAGTGTTAACATGCTGGCGCAGTGACCGGTGGTAGACACCCAGTACAACATCTCCTTTGTTTCCCATTCCCCTAACCCTCACCCAGAGGGCTGAACCCAACCTAGAGGCTCTCACCTACATCACCACTAACTGTAAGGGTTGTACAATCAAAGCTTTCCCTTACCTACAGAGCAACATCTCACCTGCCCCACCTACGCCTCCCGAATAGCCTGTTGCACTCCAACCCAGCACTCCAATTTTGAGACTCATTCCACTAAGTGTTGCTAGTATCAAAAATACTGTAGCTCTGGGAATGACCAACGGTTCCAATTAATCCTGTTTGTTTCCTCATACTGCGTGCACTGGTGTACAAGCATTTCAGATATGCTCCTGAGCCCTCCATGCTCCCAGGAGCAGTGTAACTGTTCCCACTGGCATTGCCACACTCAGGCAGCGCCACACCAACCCTTGGCTTACCTACTGCAATCCTGTTGGTATCGCCTTCCCTCACTGATTCTAGTTCAAAGGTCTCTCAATCAGTCCCACTGGTTTATGTCCAAAAACGCATTTTCCCAAATTTACCTTTGGTTGCTCCGACGAACATAGTTATCACCATCAACAGGTTTGCGGTATGTTGTAAGTGCTTCATTGAGTTGTTCTTCAATCAGTTCAACATACTTTAAGTTATATTCCTAAAAGATGACAGACAAATGTTGACACAATACATTTAGTGGTTTATGTTTTTATATAAGTATTTTTAAAAGGAAGGAACAATTGAAGTACTCCTTAAGGAAGGCTGAATTTCTTTATGATCTAAAGGTGGGGCTCACCAAAATTACTGCCCCTCATGCACACAATGAGTTTGCAGAGTTGACAATTGATTCCGTAATTATTTCAGCGGTTTTGTTAAAAAAGGAAAGAAGGAAATACTTCACATCTGATTTTAATCCAAATAACATCAACAGACCATCATGCATTTCAGTATTCCTTGAGAAGTAACATTTTATCAGTTAGTAAAAAAAACCTGCCAACAGGAATGAGACCAAGCACTTATAATCAATTACGAAAACAAAGTAATGTATGAAGAGTTTTATTCTAGTCACGACAACAATGCATTCTTCTTAATGGTCTTGCCTTCCTATTTACTTCCTAACAGCATTAAATTAATTTAATTCTACCTTCATTAGGTCTAGATTTAACTTTAATTAGCAACAACCAGAGGTAACAGGTATCTTGAAACATAGTATTCCTTTACACACCTCTCTAGATAAGAACTTCCTCAACAACCTATTTTAGAAAGCACTACACTCCTGAAATACTTGCTAAAATATCAAAATTACATAAAAGGCCTGGGTAAATCAAAAGCAGGCATGCATGCACAGAAGAGCTATGGAACTGTAAGTCCCTGACAACCTTTTCAGCAAATCTTGTCACTGAGGCAATAAATGTATTGGCACTAGCAATACATGTATATGAATATGCAGTATTTTTAAAGAATCTTTGACCTTCGAAACCTGCATATTCACACCCTTTGTCCTCCTATTATCAAGCACACTTTTCATTCTTAGCATTACCTTTTGCCACTTTTCCATTTGTTTTGTTACATAACCTCTTTCATTAAGATATGAAAACCCCTTTGGGATGGACAGAAATCTGTAAAGTAACATCAGAAAGTTAGTACTCCTCTTAAAACAAATCATGTAACTTGAATAAAAACACACATTTGTTTCCACAGTGTAAAGTCAAACAGCACATTCAACATTTACCTTAGGAGTAGAAGTAAACCCTTGTCTCCAAGATGAGAAAGAGCTGGTTTCATTTGGATAAGGGCATGGAGATTGGCCTAAAAAAAATTAAAAATGCATAAGAAGCGTCTGAGCACTATATAGTTCTGAAAACTACAACAATTACAACAGTCTGCCAGCAATGAAGCAGCAAGTTTTTCACAAAAGGAAGTATCAAACAGCACTAACCTCATCCTAATATTACCCGCCTTACGTACCTTCTATCATTAAACATGCATTAATTCACAAAAATAGTAATCAAAATAGCTGAGTGAGTCTGAATTAGTATTTAAAAGTAGGCATAATCCAGAAGTCTACATATTTTGTCATTAATACTGCAGTATTTGCAGAAGTGACTCTATAAACTATTATGAAGTCCATCAATGACAACGAAGAAAGGTAATCATCAGTAGCCTCTTCTATACTTTTACTTTGCTACTGGGAGAGGAGGTGGAGAACAGCTTACAGAATAGCACACCAAAAAGAGGCTGAAAAGGGAAAGGATGCTCACCTTGTCTTCACATGCCTCATCTAAAATATCAAGTGCCTCAGAAGAAATAGTTTTATTTTTATCATGTAACTGGGTCACCAGTAACTCAATCCCCCAGTTGCTGAAGAACTCCACATTTGCTCTCAGTAATACTCGTAAGTGTTTTGTTGCATACAACCTGCAGCTCTGCAAAAGTAAGGAAAATGCTTTTTTTGAATGGAAGAAAAATAGCTAATGCAATTAATGATGATTTATCACTTAAAAAAAATACATTTCAATTACCATATTTTACAGAAAGTAGTTGTGATGCACACCTTGTGTATTGAAAGTACAGTCCATTAGAGTGTTATTTCTATATTTTCAAGTGGGAAACTGGAGTCTGAGATCACAAGTAATCTGGTCACTGCAAGTCTCCTTGGAAAGCCCTTACCAGTCATTCGCTGTGGTAACAGCACACAGTCATCAGGGTTAGCAGGAAAAACACCTTGTAAATGGCTAGTGCAACTGCATGTACTTTCCTGTTTGCAACGTTTTGCAAAAAACTTTAACAAGTACTAGGACCTCTGGGGAATTAATTTTAATAAATTTTAAATTGTTTTCCAAAAGTATCTGATCTTCAAAACAACTCAGAAAACCTTCTAAATCAAAAAATGTTATTTTTTGTAATAAAACGATTTCCTAACACTTGGTTTACTACCATGAATTTCTCCAAATGACAGCAGAAAGAAGTAAACACCCTGTCGTTTTCTGTACTGCTGTTCAAAACTTGCTGAATAAACAGCATAAACTCATTAACACCATTTTCTATTAGAAAAAATACACAGAAAATAGAAGCAAACAAGCTTAATCTACAAGAATCTGCAGTGTTTTGGAGTAAGCACCAACCAACCGTAACAATGTATGCTTACTAGGGAAGGTGTTGTCTATACTTAGACAAGCATAGCTGGAAAAGACAAAATCAGACGCCCAAACCTTCCTCCAGGTCTTCAGTCCCTACACCTTTAGGGCTACATGGTGTGCCTTCTACGTGGAATAGATGACTAGCAGCCTATTTATTAAAAAAGAGAGCAAGATCTTATCTAGAACATCTTGATCTAGACGTTAGAGCCTACAGAGTAACTCAATATTATGGAAGTCGAATTCAGTGTCATGTAGTTCAAGTGTTAATATCTGTCTATAAAGAAATGTTGTTACTGCTACAAATACACTGAGTGTGATACACAGAACAAAAGATAATGATGTTCACCTCCTGAATATGAATTAATCTATCCAGAGAGCTAGTACAGAATTAGAACCATTTTTATTTTCTGTTTGGAGAAGGAAAAGATAAGAAGGAACTAATGAATGATGGGACAATAAAATGGCAAATAAAATTTACTGAAGATAATTTTGAAGCAATGAGCTAAAGTGAAACAATAATCCCAGCTTTACACACACACCAGGCTCCGAACCAGCTTCTCCCCAGGGAGGAGATCATGGGGCTAATACTAGTTAGTTCTGTGGAAGCATTAGATAGAAGTTCAATGGCAACCAAAACCACTGCAAGTAAACAGAAGAAAATGTGTCAGCATTGTCACTAGGTAAGTCCACTGAGTGTTGACATCCTGGACCCTGTGTAAGGTTCTAATTTTCCTACCATCATCAGAAAGAAAAAGAAGAACAAGTTAAAAAAGTGTAGAAAACAGCAGAATGGGGTTTAAGTAACTGAACATATGAAAAAGGGTCTTTACAACAAGGAATGACTCAACAGGCTGAAGTGTTCAAACGTCAGACCTGGGGTGCAAGCCACTGCACGCATTGTCAACAGCCCTAAAGTCTTCAAGCAGGACCACCACCTTTGTACCTCAAGATCACCTGTATGCACTTCCCAGATCAGAGGGGGAAAGCTCAGCACAGCTTTTCCAGATGAAGCAAAATCCTGGAATGTTTTTGCTTTTGGCGAACTGCTAAGCAAATCAGTGCAGAGGACATCTGGGGAAACGGACATTCCCCTCTTTCCCTCATACATGAACCAGATGAAAAACACAGACAAAGCCCTGTACTAAATCTGTCAGAAGAGTCTTACTTTTACTGTTAAAGGGGTTTGAAATCCTTAGAAGTGAAGAAGTAACTCAGAGGTCACTACGCTAAGCTGATTACATGGCGCAGCATAGACGCCAATAGATACAGGATTACTCTGCCCCTTAGCCTCCTATAAAGTAAAATTCTTGGTCATGAAGTGCACCACTTGAGGACACACTGGCTGCTGAGGACACACTGGCTGCTCTGCTGTTTCTACCATGAACTGGCAGGAAGGCAGCTAAGGCAGTATGAGGAAGTAGGTTAAGGTGTACTTCTGCTTAACTGATCTGCAAGGATATTGTTCTGCAAATGTTTTTGCTGTATACAGTCACCCCAAAATGCTACTCTCCGTTTTTAACACTACGCTGGGCTACAGAAGTACTTTTCCTTGTTCAGAGATGCATTGATTTCTGTTTTCTTGCTCAGATTAGAGACGCAAGACTTTCTCCAATAACTCTGGAGAAAGGATATCAGTCATCACTTCACTGAAAGACTGCTTAATAATTATTCAGTAGGGAACTTCACCCTTTTCTTTCAATCAGCCATTCCTTCAGCCCCAACTACCTTCATTACATTCAGACTCCACTCTTTAACCATAAAAACCATCACATCTTTGACAATATTTCTCCGAGACTGTCAATTTCATTCCTTCCCTCTCCTCTTCTAAAATACAGAGAGACATTTAAAGTTAGCATCTACCTTATTCCCTTGTGTCCACTCTAGAATGTGTTCTGCCTTGTCCGGGTGACAGAGGAACAGCTCTCCCTGAAGCAATGACAGTTCTTTCCTAGTTAGATTCCCACTTATTGTCATTTCCCTGACATCAATGCTTGCTTGGCTGTGATGTTACATCCGATTGATTTCCCTTTTCTTCGAAGTCAAAGAGTTTCCTCTCCCTCATCTACTTAACTCTGTGTTTTATTTCCACTCACCTTCTAGGGTTCAGAAGTAGAAATCCCAATGCCTTTTTATGAACCACCCTCTCATTTCAGGAGCTTCTATTCAATTCCACCACAGTAACCTTACCATTATCAAAACAGTATCTACCACTGGAAGGTTAACCTGCTTATTACTGCTAGAAATACACATTTCTCTTTGTGAAAACACTGCCCTCACGATTGATTTAGGAGCTCCGTTGACCTAGACAACAACATTACACTTGGTTTAGGCATTCAAAGACTTTAACCCCCTTCATACGTGAGAGAAGCCTCTATTTGAATGACTTAATTTCTTGAGCAGAAATACAAAATATACTGTGAAGTTAACAGCAAATTCAAAAGCTTCATGAGTAGGAGTTTCATTACCCTGAATACAAAAAGAAAGACCTTTCTGGATATATAATAGCTTAAAAATAATACACCTTGAATAGAACAAATATTTAGTGGCAAACAACAATGGAGCGTAAGTTGAACTGAACTTACATCAGTAGCTGCTGTCAGGATTTTAGAAAGGATGACTCTTGCTAATCCATCTCTGCTGTAATCCAAACTAGAAACAGTCAATTTTAACAAGTGATCCTGGTTCTTCAAAGAGCAAAGATTAAGAAGACTGAGGGATAAAGGGGAGGGAAAGAAAGACAAAAATTATTATTTGAACCCACTCAAACCCATTTATTTATTCAATCAATAATTTAAACCTAAGTGCTTTGAATTTGACTTCCATTTCTATAAACACTGTATACAAAGTAAGTCCTCATATGAAATGGAGGAACTTTGAACTGTTACAGCTTTTACAGTTAAATCAGGACCAAATAACGCACTTAAGTACAAGGGGAAAAACCTGAAATCAACACTTTTTATAACTGCTCTGTAAAAATTTTGCCAGCATACTTTAATTAGTGATTATGAGCACAGAAATTAATATTTGTGAAGCCCTGTGAACATTTCCTCATTGTAAAACATTCTGTGTATAAAGCTTGCCATAAGGTTAGTCCTATTAACTGTCTAGATTTTATTATAAACTAAGTTTTTTGAAGCCAGTAAAAACCATGCATTCTACTAATCAATGAAAACAATTGAAAAGAACAGAGTACATCAAACCACCTGAATTTTTGCCTAAAATTTACCATATAAAATAAAATGGTATTAGCCACTAGCCAATTTACTCCCAAAGGAAGCTATGTTTATTTGAACCTAAACAGAAATTTGAACTTCACAGCTTCACTCAAGTATACTGGACTGAAGTTCAGGTACAACATACATCATTACATTTCATAAACAGTATGGTATCTGTCAGGCTTTGGAAGTTTCTGTGTTTGTTTTGTTTTCTTTGGGTGGCATTTTGCTTTTGGGTAGGTTTTTTTTTTCCCCTCTCTTCTGTCTTTTCAGTTCACTATTACCTTTCTTGATACGATTTCTGTCAGATAGGTGTGGACAGCAAAAAGTAAGCTATTTTGTGACCTATTAGTAATGACAAACTAAAAGACCCCTAAAAAAAAAAAAACCAAACCAAAAAAGGTCAACAAAAGAACATGGAAAGCCCCCACAACTGGGGGTATTTACTTGGAAGTAACTCAAAATAACTTTAAGGTTTTCAGGTTTACAGACTGTGGTCCACGCACAGAGTTACAATTTTAGTAAGCATTATACCTGTATGCACAAACAGAATAAAAACACTCACCACTGAAACACATTGCATTTTTCAAGCATTTTCACTCCATGAGGGTGACAAGAGAGAGTACCAAAAAACAGAAAGTAGTGCTGACTAAGGGTATTTAGCAACCCATTGTTTTGAAGACTACGTTCAGGTTTCATTCCTGATGAAGAATTGAGCCAATGTACAATATCTTTAACCAATTCCTCCAGGTAACCTTGTCCATCCTAACAAAACAAAGAGAAATAGCATTTACAAGTAAAGAACTGGGTCTCTCTTCCTTACAGAAATCCATAATTTTAAATTTCTTAAAATGTACAAACGTAATACAGATACAAAACAGAAATGCTGGCTGGCAAACACAACTCAGACTAAAGACAAAGGTTCAAAGCAAATAATAGGAGCTTAGCTTGGAGACATCTTAGAACCGATTCCATTTTTCCAGAAAAGGATTATGCAATGACATTTTCTTCTTGCCTGAGGCATGAAAGTCTTTAGCATAATAGAAGAAAGGACGTAAAGAAAGGAAGGATATACATATTAAAAAAACCTCCAAACCCCAAGTTGCATTTAATAAAGCTGTATTTAATAAAATTTCGACTTAAACATAGTTGTCTTCTTCAGTGTCTCATTCAGACAAGTCAAGGCTTTAAGTTCTATTTCTTAATTACATTGATCATTTTATATTTAACTCCCAAAGTTTACAGAAGTCTTTTCTAAAATGAAGGTTTTTTTCTATACGTGGCACACAGCTCCAGTCTTGTAGCTGAAAACTTCTTACCTCTTCTGATTCAAGAAGAAATTCAGTAAACTGACAACCCACCACAGTGAGCTGCTTAGCCTTGGCATAGTCCAGATCCAGGTTGGCATACAGTTTACTGCTAGGCTTGTAAAAATATAGCAATCTCCTTACAAACCTATGAAAAGTAAAAAACACTTTGCTGTTCATCAGTATGACAAGGACAGTCTCACAGTACAAAGTTATGTTGATAGAAAAGATATTATATCATTAAATTAACTTAATGGAAATAAATCTTCAAAAGTTATTAAATCCCTATGCTCTTGGAAGCCATAGCTTCCTTCTCATTTCCATGTTTATAATTTATTCTGATGTAATTTATTCTGTGGCAAGTTTCAAACACTATACTATCCAGACTTACAAAGAGCTAAAAAAGAACGTGACATGAGTTTTCTTCAGCTATAATAGTAAATGCCACTATGAAAAATACATTTTTGTGTTCTGCCAGAATGCTGTATTTATTCAGGAACAGTATTTTCATTCACCCCACTCCAGCATTTCTGAAGCATAACACAGTCACTGCAAACACAGACATTCACTCAGACTTTCTGAAATCACAGTGAGCAATACAGCTTGAGTTCTGCATTGCAGGAATAAATCTTCAGCAAAGAATTTCCCTTTGCCAATTCTTCGTCAAAAATGAACACAGGTTTGTGCTTTAAAATAACACAGAATGTTCTGTCTGAAGGTAGATATGAGAGGCACTAAGACAACTTAACTAAAGCATTGTGCCTTTAGTTAAAAAAGTGAGAGCAAGCCACTATCCCCAACTCTAAAGACACAACTAATTATAAAGGAAATCTGCCTTAAATTTTGGCAAAAGAAATGTATTTTATTCTGGGTTATTAGCAATAAATATATACATTAACACACACATTTTTATGTGTGTATATATGTGTGCTTAGGTGTGTAAGTATGTATATACACATACATGTGTATACACACTGTATCTCTAAGAAGTGAAGGAACCTGTATCACAAATATTCTGAATTTCACTGTAACAGCTGTAACACCATCACAAGAACACTCACAGTACAAAAAAAAAAAAGTATCAACTTATGGAAGGACAAGTAAATTTACTTTACACTTCAAAATCAAAATGGCTGAAAATTTTTTATAATCAGCAGTGAAACTAAAGAGATTTGGGGCTTAGTTAGTTACAATTAAACAAGAGCAACAGCATTTTAAAGCCATTAAAGCATCTAACCCACAATCCTGCAGAAAGCATCAATGAACTGTAGAATTTTTACACTAATTCAATCCTAGATTATCTCAGTATTTTTGGGATTAAATTACTTTGGCACTGAACAATGCTTTAGTGCAGCAGGAAACCAGGGGTGGGTGTGGGTGTCACAGCTGGGACTGCAGACATTGCTTTAAAGAAGCAACATTATAACCATCAGATTTGGAACACAGTCCTTTACCACAAGGTTCAGACTAGCAATTAATGTTTAGGGAAAAAAAAAAAAAAGGCAAAATCGTATTTGCTTATACTGAGAATATTATATAAAAATAGCATGATTACTACTTAGTAAAAATTTAAAATGGAGCAGTGTGAGCCTTTCAGCATATGTTTTTCCTCAACTTCATGTTGAGGTAGCTTTCCATGCCTACAAATACAGAACTACTCTTCAAAATGATTTAATCTAATCAATTTCTAAAATGCATGTTAAAAGGCTCATCCAAGAATTAGTTAGTAAAGGTATTACACCACACATGCACAGAAGTAATGAAAATGTCTTAATGTCAAACAGACAGGAAAGGAACCAGAGATGAACTGGTTTTTTTGGTTGTTGGTTGGTTGTTTTTTTCTTCTTCAAATCACACATGCTTCCCTTGCCATTAATAGCAACTAGAAATAACTTCCTCCTGGTTTTTGATGAAAACTAACTATATAACTGAACAACTCTAGACAAGTCGTCAAGTAATCACATCAAACATCAAAGAGGTAATACTTTAAGGTTTTAAATGAAATAGAATGTTTGCAAAATTGGTAGGATTCTCATTAATGGAACAGGTATATAAAGTATCTGTGCATAGGAAAGAAACCACTAAAGTTTAAAGACCTGTTTATTTAAAGCAAATATTGCAACCTAATATCTACATTTTCATTTCTGCTGCTTATATATAGATTAAGTTTTAGAAGCGTGACATATCTAAGGAAGAGTTTTTTGCAGTATTAAAAACCAGCTTTTCCAAATTTATTTCATCAAAGGAACTCTACATAATTTTTACATACCTGTGCAATTGTTCATCTTTATAGTTCCTCAGATTTATATTTGGCCACTAGAAAAACAGCAAATACAGCATTATATGAAACTTGTACATCAGTCCTTCATTAGTCACCAAAGTTTACTCGTTTCTATTATAGTCATATTTACTTAATAACTAGAAGTGTAAGTTTTCATGCGTCTAATACTACCTATAGAAAACAGTTATTTTATTACAAAGCCTACATTTCCCCGGAAAAAAAATCTAACCATTCTTGGACCAAGGACAGGGAACATTGGTTGCATGCTGTGTACCAGGACACAAGTCGAATGAAAAGAGCAAATTATGAAAAGCTAATGAAAAAGAAACAATTTTTCTCAGTTTCTTCTCTGCAAGTAAAAAAAAGCATATTAGGGAAATAATTTTTTTTTGTTGTTTTCACTACTAATCAGATTTGTTTTAAAAATAATCATTCTGGTATAGTTCACTTAAATGCTGCTTATTAAAATGCTGCTTATTATTAAGGAGTTACTTAAACTCCTTAAACTCCTCTGTTGATACTTCTAAGATGTTTCAAAGAAGGATCACATGAAGTCATAATACCCTCTTCTGAAGCTATCCTTTCTTTCTATTAAATGTTCCTCTGTTTTTACAGCCCTCTGTTGTCTCTATGATTTATTTTTGTTGCTACTAGTAAGTATATTTTGGAAGGGATGGAAAAAAGCGCATCAAACACTCTTTTCTCCTACCTAAGTGGTAAGTTTTGCATTTCCGGTTGGTATACTAGTATTAAGACATATAGTGCACTAGTTAATGATTAGTAAAACTGACTGCACCAGTAACACTGCCAGAGACAGTATGAAGCTCTCCTGTCAATGAGAAAGCTGCAATTCCTCCATCCTGACCACTGCCACTTCAGCAGCTTAGAAAACAGGCAGAGCAAGTGAAAAAGGCAGTAAGGGACACATGAGATGCAAGTGATTAGGTGGTTAGAAAGATGATGCTCCACAGCCATAAGGCAGTAAGAGAGAGAAAGGGGAGGCAAGTAGGCCACATGAGATAGCAAGGTCCAAACACTAGAATCTGGATCCTGCTCATTCAAAGACTAAAGATGCACCACGCTGATAACACTATTTTAGTTTATGCTGGCGGTGTGCGGTTTAACAGGAACAACAGTGGTTAGAATTAAACAAGAAAACATACAGACTTCTCATTCCGAAAGACATAAGTCCCTGATTTTGAGACATTAACAACTGTTTGATAGGACACCAGAAAATATACTGTTGGGGAGGTCTGAGATAGCAGGGAAATTGACAGGTAAAATTTCAGGTAAAAAGCCCACCAAGTTAGTAGTCAACTACAGAAAACTTCCACTGTCAAAGTATGACACAGACTAATAAAAAGTGAGATTTTGAAGAACAGTTTCTTGATAACATCACTAATACTGAATCAAAGGTAACAAAATCTGTGATTAACAGCCATAGATATCTACCAATCCTGTAAATCTAATAACTGCACTAAAAAGCTTGTAAAAAGTGAAAAGGAGCAAAGCTACTGTCATATACATATTCAGGTCTTTTTGCCAGACAGACTCCTGCTCTCTCAAGTCAGTCCCTGAAAAAAATGCACAGAAATATTTAGTATTTTTTTAATATAATCTTGATTACACTTGTCACCATTAATCCTTTTTTTTACTTCCACCATCTTTATAACCACACAGTAGAGAAGAAAATTTTAACTTGGGGTAACAACAGAAGGATGGCTTTGATGCACAGAATGACAGGAGCTATTTTGTTTCAAAGACTATACTGAGTACTCACTCAGTTTTCTTACTCAAAGAAACCGAGTTTTCTGCTTAAAAAAAAAGAGGCCGTCTCTTAAAAGCTTGCATTAATAAATATTTAAGATAACGCCCTCCCTGTCAAGAAATGTTTCCTTCATTTTGTAAAAATAAATTAATTTTGTTATGAACTCGATGCTACAAGAGTATTTGTATAAGTTCAATACATACAATGACACTGCATACTACTGGAGTTTTCATGTGGCTCAATCTAAGCATCTGAAGTTTGATCTATAATCCACCTCCAGCCTTAACCTTCAGCTCACATTATACAAAAAAAACCTGCTACAAAGCTGAACAAGGCTTCAATAACAAGGCTAGTTTGTTGGGACCAAAGACGAAAACTGTGTAGTTTGGACTGATGTCTGAAGTATTAGCAGCTTTAAAGTCATTACTGCTAATTCTGTGAAGCATTTCTATACAAATGAAGTTGCATGAAATTTAATACATTCTCGTTAGTAAATTTGTGAATTTAACTATAGTATACTTTTGCTTAAAGGCTCTACACAAAAACACTGTCTCACCACTGATTAAACCCAAGAGATGGTAATTTTCTGAAATAAAGCAGATTATGGGATTTACTACAGAACTAATATTAGAAAGTCAAAGTTCACATGTGAAATAGAGACTTTTCCCCAGACAGTTTCACAGAAATAATATCACACTCTTTTTAAGCTCACTTTCAGTATGGTCCCTATTAGATTCCAATTCCAGTCAAGGTTCTCCTTATGATTGAGAACTTGGCTGTCTCGAAGATTCATTACAAGTGCTTCTTCTGTATCCTGGAATACAGACATGAAAAACTAAAGTAAGTTTCCTTGCATCATTCTTTTCAGTCTTGTCACAATATATACTTACTGGTCATGTAACAATTATTAAAAGGGCTATGCTCCACAGAAATTTGCATTTGAAAGTAAATTGCATGGTTACAGTACTGCATTAAGAATGTAATTGTAACAGATCACAATAGGTCCTAAAAAGTACTAAAAACTATTGCAATTTCACAACTCAATTTCTAGAAACGCAATATAGTCTGCACAAGTATCTACAAGACAAATTAAATGACAAAAAAAATACTACAAAGAAATCACAAATGTCTCTGAATTACATGAGAGAGTGAAGTTTGGGGGGCAGTCTCCAAAATACAAAGTAAAATTCAGATCTGAAACATGAATAATGGTAATACCTTTAAAATAAAGATGTCTTTCTGCACACGGTACTGATCCCTTTTTTGGTGCGTTGAGATCGCTTTCTGAATAATATGATCTAAATGGAGGCTGTAAGGTTTAGGTCCTCTCTTCTTCATTTCGTGAAAACGTTTTAAGCAGTTTAGTGCAGCACTTGCTCGTCTAATAGAAAAAAATACAACCAGTATTTGGAAACTGTTATGCAACTGTAGAGCACCACTGCTATATCTTGAGAAAACAGACATAGCTCAAGAAAGAACTGACCAACAACTGCAAAGCAACTAAAAAGAAAATAATTTTCTTGATACAAATTTTCATATATCCATAGGCCTCAGTCTGAAATGTCTATAATTTCTGCAACTGAAATTATACAGAAAATTATCTTTCAGAATTTTTAGTATTGAAGAATGAACCTTATTGAAACCTCCTCTTCTACTCTGCAATCAGTGGGGTCTGTCACAGTTCACAGAAGACACTGAAAGGTTAAAGTTGATAAAGTATTGCGAGATGTCACAGCAGATCAACGTTCTGCTGTGAAGTTGAGAGCTGAGGGCTCTAGCTTCACCTTTGACTAACAAAGTATTTCCTGTAAATTGTCTCTTTTTTTTTTCCCCAGAAGGTGGCAGGAGTATCAGTAGGATGTTTCCTGCTCTTCTGCTCTTTATATCAAAATGGTTCAGCAACAGCATGTAGGAAGTTTTCCAGGAAAAGAAAGAAGTAATAGAAATGACAGCTGTCAACAGCAGAAATAGTCAATTACAAAACAGTGGTAGCAGAAAAAATGCCCCCACTTGCTGAACAAATAAAATAAGGAAGTCTAAAAATGAGGAGGTAAATTTACCTTTCTTCCTTATAAATAAAAATTCTCACAGGAGAGTGAGAATGAATTCTGATATATTCTCGTAGGATAATGTTTTTATTTTATATTATCCTCAAACAAATACCTTTTGATTTGATCACTTATCTAAATAAGATAAATTTGATCTGTAACAGGGCTTACAGTTTTTCAGAGTATGAAACAATGTACACTGTTGACCAAAACTAAGATCCCCAAATGAAAAAAAATCCTACTACTAAATAATTTTCTTCCACAAAAATGGGATTTTTTACTACTCTATCAGGTAGATCTGCACACGCCAAAAAGCAAAAAACCTGTAGGTAATCCACAAAAGTATCCATTCTGCTTTTAATCCTTCCTCTCATCCCACAGCTTTGACCGAGTAAAATATTCCATGATGGAGGTTCAGATAAGCTGTTTTTGAAAAATCACTGTATTTTCACCTGCCAAAATATTCTCTACTGACATGCAAGAAAACTTCAAAACTAAAATGCAGAAGGGCACAATTCTTTCAGCCTGGAGAAGAGAAGGCTCTGGGGGAACTTATACAGCCTTCCAGTATCTGTAGGGGGCCTACAGGAGAGATGGGGAGGGACTCTTTGTCAGCAAGTGCAGTGACAGGACAAGGGTAATGGTTTTAAATTGAAAGAGGGGAGATTTAGATTAGATACTAGAAAGACATTCTTTACTGTGAAGGTGGTGAGACACTGTAAGGGGTTCCCCGGAGAAGTTGTGGATGCCCCATCCCTGGAAGTGTTCAAGAGCAGGCTGGATGGGGCTTTGAGCAACCTGGTCTGGTGGGAGGTGTCCCCGCCCAGGGCAGGGGGGTTGGAACTTGAACTTTAAGGTCCTGTCCAATTCTAAACATTCGATGATTCTTTGTTTCTTGGAAGCGCTCTATAAGCAGCATTTATTATTTCACAGTAGCAGTTCGGGAAGGTTCTTTAATTTATCACTGACAATATAATGAAAGACAGAATACAAAGCCATGATATATTTATCAGAATAGCGATCCGACAAGGCAGATCAGGAATGGCAAGAGTAGTAAACAAAAACACTTTCTATTAGAAAAAAATCCAACACACTCAATTTGAATGGTCTTAATGGTCTTCTACAAAGAAATGGAAGTAAGAACACTGAGTTACAGAAGATGTTTTAAAGACACGTAAATCTACCAAATTGACTTTTTTACTCAGGAGGTTTAAACTATGTGAAGTACCCAGGAGATGGTATTTTATGACAGAGAACTTAAGAGCTTAAATTGCAAGATTAGGACATGTAGAGAGAAATTCTAAAAAGTAACTAAAATAAAAAGCCCATAGGTTTTTAAAATCCCAAAATTCATGTATTTTTAGTTCAAAGACGAATAAAAAGCTTCTATAAACAGGGTTTTTTTTTGAGTCAGATGCCTAAATATACCTCATTTGATTGCCACCATGACTGCCAAACAGTTCTCTTATACTGCTTAAGTACATGCCACCGAAGATCCCTGCACTAAATATAAAATTTCTGTTCATACATTCTTATATCTACATGGAACTGAAAGGAACTGAAAAAATTACCACTGCAAACTTCAAATAAAAGCACCCAGAAGTTTTAACATAATTACTATTGTTACGGTCACCATTTTCTTCTGAAGAAAAAAATTATTAAAAAACAACAACAAAAACCCAGCTTCATGCCAATATTACATTCTTTGCTCTTACTTAACACTAATAATGACTTACCAATTTGGTCTACTACTATTTAATTAGCTATAGATAAACAATAACAGAACGAAAAAGTTGGTATGGCCTTTTTTAGTTTTGAAAGATGAATTGCATAAAAAAGCTGAAAAAGAAATATGGAACAATGGAGAGGTCAAACACACAGAACACGTCTCAGATGTTGCTTGGCCAAACCGTGCCTTAGAGTTCATTTTAAAAAAATTTCATGTAAAAATCCTGCAATCTATGCAAAATTGTTCTACAATCTACTATAAAAACTTTCCAAATTCCTAAAATGTTACTATAAATGCTTTTGGAATGAGGTACTCCAGTACTTCTGGAATACTGTGTTCACTTTTGGGCTCCCCAGTTCAAGAAGGTCAGGCAACTGCTGGAGAGGGTATAGCAGAGGATTACAAAGATGATTAGGGGAGTGGAGCATCTCTCTTAGGAGGAAAGGCTGAGGGACTTGGGTCTTTTCAGTCTGGAGAAGAGAAAACTGAAGGGGGATCTGATCAACGCCAATAAATACTTAAAGGGTGGGTGTCAAAAGGAAGGGGCCAGTCTTTTTTCTGTGGTGCCCAGTGACAGGACAAGAGGAAACAGGCACAAACTTGAACATAAGTTCCATCTCAACATGAGGATGAACTTTCTTTACTTTGAGGGTGACAGAGCACTGGAACAGGCCACCCAGAGAGGTGGTGGAGTCTCCATCTTTGGAGACATTCAAAACCCGCCTGCACAACCTGCGCTGGGTGGACCTGCTGTAGCATGGGGGCTGGACTAGATGATCTTCAGAGGTTCCTTCCAACCCCATAACATTCTGTGATTCTGTGATGCACTGAAAACTATTTCCCTAGTAAGTGTGGCAGAGCATTTCTATATGCATGTGTGTGCTTGCAGTTAAATAGACAGACATGGTTTCAGCCACCACAAAACTTGCAATGTAGGTTTTCACTCAACTCTAGAGGGAAACGGAGATGGAAATGTTTTTGCTTTTAAGTGTAACTTAGAATTCTTACAGTCTTTTCTCTTTCATGATGTCAAAAGATGCTGCCATGTTCATTAGCGTTGGTAAGCAGTGCAGGTGATGGCTGTGAGAATGAGGAAGAATTGTGTTTGCCTAAAAAAAAAATGAAGGACCAGTTAGAGTAACTTATTGCAACATTTCTAGCCATCTCTTTAGGACCAACATTTGAAGAATTCACTACTTTTCACAAAAACATGACAACAAAACTACTTTTTGCATAATGCCAGAGCAATGATTACACATCCCATTTTGAATATTTGATCTAGCTAATCAATCTGAAATACAACTGGAAGATTTCAGAACCTTCTAACCTGTACTGTTTCCATTAGTCTTTAAGTGGTAGCATGCAAAAACGTGCTAAGCATCAGATACCCTTATGTCATGTGTATAGAATTACTAAAAAAATCTAAAATCAGAAATACCATTTAAGCTGATGATTTCTATTAAAAATTTTCTGCACACACAAAAATTCTGATTAATTAACACAACTTTCTAAGTTACTAGGCATTTAATTGCTTTTATTTTGGGACATAGAGGTATTTCTGCAAATGCTTTTGGAAACTAAAATAATAATGAAGATAAAGAAATTATCTCTTAAAACTAAATAGAAGTACAAATATCTGCTCAGTGCTTTGATAAACAGTCATCTCTGACTAATAAATCAGCTCTTCAGGAAAACAAAAAATACCTATGCTTTGCAGTATACTCAAATGTCAGTAACAGTCACTCCTATTCAGAACTATTCCAGAAACCAGAAAAATAGCATATTACAGATTCCTCTTTTTAAACTACATGGCTGACTAAATACTCAAGAATTTAAAGAAGTTGTTTAAAGAAATATATCACTGAAGAGACGAAGTTTGTTGTGGTTGTGACCCATGCCAATGATCTGAAATGTTGAAATCACTGTAGTAATAAGGAATCTTATCTCTGAAGATTGTGATCTTGTTTTTTGGAGCATTAAGCACCACTGAAATGAGTTGATAGTCTGAAGATGCAGGCTATTTCTGCTAACTCATATTCAAATTCTTGTAAAACAAAGTTGCATTTCACAGCTTTACCATACCTTATAAAGTAGTTTATTTGGAAAAAAGATTAATAAAAACCAAAAGAAAAGGCATCAAGAAGTGCTCTGCTGTACATGCTAATTTTATCATCAAGAGATATGAAAAATTAAATAACTGATTTGCAAGACAGGTAAAATCGTATCACTTCACATATGACAAACAGCTCCTTGGGAGGGTGAGAGGCAGCACTGGAGTGCAGATGAAAACAGCATCATCATCTCCATACCAAAATAGTTTAGGTTAAGAGAGAGAGAAGCAACTGTAAAAGATAGGTTAGGTAGAGAGACGCAGAATGAAGCAAGGTTCCCTCAGCTTCTTTGTAGCAGGGGCTACCCACAGAAGTGCTAAGAGCATGCCACCAAGTCGGAGTTGTCTGAAGGAACCATATCAAGTGCCACAGCCACATCCAGCTCAACATGAAAAAAAATTACATCTGCCTGGCCTGTGAGGCAGAAAGCCAAACATGTTGCCAGAGGGCTACCATTGTTTCAAGAAAAGCAAAAATCAGCAATGGTCCTTTCCCAAACACAGTAACTGGTGAGTGAGCTTGCAGGACTCCAGCCTAAAAATACAACTGTCTACAGAGGCGAGGGAACGTATTGGTGAGAGTTTGAGAGCTGAGGATTATCCTTGGAGCAGAACCCCTAGCACTTTCAATACTTTCCAAACAGCCTTCCTATTGATTCATACTGTTTCTAATATATGATTTGCCAAAAAGATGTAATGTATATTAACCCATTATTCTGATGAAAAGTAGATGTTCTAAGTTTGTAACACAAATTCAAAGATATAATAGGAAATACCTATTCACAGTTAGTTACTAATACTATTTATACACAGCAAAAAGCTTTACTTACCATGTGCAAAAGTTCTCCTAAAAGGATAGTTGCTCTAACAGATACATGGTCATCACTACTTGTGATCACTTCAACCAGACCCTTCAAAAAGTTAAAAAATTATTACAACATTCAATGTAAAAAATCTCATTTTAATGTTTATAGGAAAAAAGTAGCAAGCGCCTCTTAAAATGTAAAGTTATTAGTTACCTCTAGAAGTCCATTGGTAATAAAAGCTGAAAGGACTAAAGCCAAATAATTATCCATGAGATCAGGCCTATGGAGCAAAAAAGTACGGAAAGAGTTTAGAAAGTTCATTTCTTATTATGTCTGCAAGAAAACAGCAAATATTTTGTCAACACTATCAAAAAACAAAAACAAGGGTTTAGACTAAGTTCCAAAAATGCTCACCTTGACCTGGCTCGATGCGGTAATATAGTTTTAGCTTCAGCAGCTACAAACCCATCAGAAAGTCTCCAGCAGTCCTGAAACCTACTTGGATCTAGAACAAGACCATAAGGACAATGGTAATAACACTGGATTTCATAGTGTTATTTTAATGGTTGTCGGTAGGTAAATAATAGTTCTTGCCAATATCTTATTTCATTTTTGAAATGATAGAGTATTTTGTTAAAAGAGATCTCTTAAAAACCACCTAATCTAGACTCCTGAACAAAGGCAAGACTAACTTCAAAGCTAGGACAAAGATTGTATCCAAGTATTGACCAAAATAATGATATTTCCATTTCATAAACACATTGTTTAACAGAAAATATTGTAATAACTAAAATTTAAAAATGTACATCCATAAGTCACGAAGTAGCAATTTCGCAACAAAGAGTGATTTATTTACTTATAAGGGTGGAACACGGATTAAGCTTTTATAATCAACTGCACAACAAAACATTTATAAGCACAGTTTGGAGAATTGCTGGAACATTAAAGGCTGAAACTTGCTTCCTTGGGCCTCATACTTTTGTACTGTGGGACAAAGCAGAGGGTACCCTTGTGTTTACACATGTTTGATTCTAAAGGTAAAAGACTAACTCCACTAAATATAAAGACATGAGAGAGCATACACTTGCCCTAGCAAGAGTAAAAGTCTGCTAAAGCTGAGTGCAGATAGCTAGAAGATACAGAATATATAGAAATATATAGATACACAATATATAGAAAAGACTCTGTTTAGTACCTTTTCTGTAACTTTCACTACCACTTCTACATTACTAATGCTTCTAATACTTCAAAGAAGTCTAATTTGTACTAAAGTGTTTGCACACTCTTTTCTGCAAATGCTCTGCTATGCTCCACTGCTCATTTCTTCCCAAACTGACACCACTTAACAGTTAATAAAGAATTTTATCCAGGACTTCAGAGCATCCAATGAATACAGTAATGAGACAGTGAATATTGATCTAATTTACAATGTAGAGGAGACAGTGAAAGGTTTAAATTTGTAGAAGAGCTCAACAGACAGACTTCATGTGCCCCGGTTCTAAATACTTACCTACACTGAGAAGTGCCTCAATAAATTCTTCTGCAATAACAGGGAGAGGAAGACGAAATATATCATAGAGAACTTCAAGCAGACCTCGCTAGCAAAAAAAAAAAAAATTGTCTTTAGTTCACTATTAATATTGAAGTTCAGATTTCTATAGAGTGCTAAAATTGGTGTATTTGTTCCAGTATTTCTTTTTTTGATAACATGCTTATTTGCATAAACTGAAATAATTTGGAGAAGGGAAGGGGCTTGTTTACTTTAGAACTGTGCCTCATTGCCACTGTGAATTCTACAGAAGCTCAGGTTACCTGGATTACAGATTTTTAGAACAGGTACTGCTGCCACCATCAATTTCTTGATTTAACTGGTAACTGAGAAGAAATATTTCTTATTTAACTCTGATTCAACTCTGTTTATTATGCATAAAGCTTGTAACTGCATCTTACTGTGAACTTGCTTTGACTCGTGACCAAAGAAAAAATTAATTTACGACTTTTCTCTCCTCCATTCCCTCATCTCAGACATATAGGGTGAACTTCCATTCTCACAGGAATTTTATAATGGAATTACAGACTTGAACTTGGGGGTCAAATAAACTTGAGGATAGGGGTCTTGTAACTGGAGTTTGTGTTTAAACCACAAAATTGTTAGCATGTTAAGAATATATGAATTAAAACATTCACTATTATTCTATAGCAGTACTAAATATTTACCACCTACCCGTATCTCCATATTTGGTATACAGAGTACCCCAATAAGAGACTGAATCCCAGAATTTCCAGGTTTGCACAGGCTGATAATACCTAGAAAACATTAAATACATTATAATATTCCCTCACCAAGCAAAAGAAGCACTAGACACATTGTTAAATTTGATTTCCAGTTTGAAACACAGATGACAAAAATTACTAATCATAAATATTTTCAGCTTTGTAATGTCATCTTTTATATATTTTTACGACATTTTATAGTGTCATCTAATTTCCAGTCCATAATATTTAACAAAAGTTTCTAATAACAAAACTTTGATTCCTCATTTAAAATTATAGCTCTTTCTAATGTGTTTAATATTTCAATATTAATAGAGAAAACCTTCAAATTGTTTCTTCAGGTTACAGAATACCACTTGAAGCTTACACTGATTTTCAGCCTCACTTTATATACAGTGTCTTCATTAAAAATGTAGCTGCAAAGACAGCTTATTCCTTGCTTATTTCCTTGACCATTTCCCTTCACACTTCACAAATTAAAACTAACAGAAACACACCATCCAGAAAACAATCAAGTTTCTAAAAAATGCAACTTGAAATTAAGAAGAATAATTCAGGTTTGTACATCTTTGTCTTACATATCATAAATACACCCAATCCATTATTTAAAAAAAAAGTATTCTAGAAGATGAAAAATATCCTCTACTCATCCTCACTTACAAAACCTCCATATCACAAAAACTTATGACATGTACATGTGGCCACAGACACACTAAGGGCATATAAATATGTTCCACAGTGCACCTCAGAGACCTTTCCCAAGAGCATATAGCGACCACATTCTAACTGCAATGCAGGAATAGATTTGGGTGCATGCAGCCATTACTGCACATGAGGATAAAGGGCATAGTAGCCATCAGCTCTGAAGAATAACCCAGCCTGCAAAATAAGGAGAGCAGAATGGCAGAACACAACAGATAATACAGACAGGCAAAAAACCCAACCGAAAAGTCAAGAGAACACCAAGAATAATACCCTCAAGCCTGGTTTAGCTACATGTCCTTTGGGAAGACTGACAGCCTAAGAACATTTTTGTACTAAAAACATTTAAAATTCTAGTCTCCAACGTAACAAGCAATATAAAAAGGGATGAATGTGTAAAAGTGAAAGTGCCACGGAAAGTAACATATTCCAAGACTCGAACTTTCAGGCATACGCTATTAGCTCTAAGCGTCTGAGTAAGAGAAGATGCAGCAATACTCCTATCAGAAACTGCTTCTTAGTTTTCTCCACAAACAAGTGCGAACATATGAGAAACTTTTGAAGGATACCTGGACATTGAATTAAGCTTAGTGATCACTTTTAGAACATTAAAAATAAAGCAAATAAGTCTTACAAAGCAAAAAGGCCTTCTGGACATCTGAATCTTTCCTACGTACAGCCTGTAAAAATCCTACTTAAAAGTTTGCTAAATGGTCATATCAAGTGATTTAGTTTATTTGCAAGACTCGATCTTGACTAAAGAATAACAGTCCCTGATGCAGTATTTTCATGTTAGATATTGTAATATTATAGAGAGAGGATTCAGAAAAATACAAAACCCCTGTTTCTTCATTTAATTTTTTTTTCTACATGAAAAATCCCAAACTATGTCCATCTGCAACTTCTCTTTGGCTTTGGCACCTGGTAAAAGCAGGTGCTAATGAAACTATTCTGTTGGCATCTCTTCACACAGACAAAAAGTCTTCTTATTTACAGTGGCAAAACCATCTCAAAGAAAAATTCTTATAATGCTATTTTCAATATCCTCTCACCTATCAAATGTCAAGTACCACCACCAAGGCACAACTTATAAGGTATTCTCTACAGGGCAGGAAAAAAGCAGCTGCATCTTGTCAGTAGAGTTAGTCAAAGAAAACTATGTATGTCTTCTCCACTTTTACAATATCAAAGCGCATCATAGTAGCATTGTAGGAAGGTATTAATAGAAATTAAGACACAAATAAGACAGATTCTGTGTTTAAACAAACCGCTCTTTCGTACTACAAGGTAAAATTCCCCTTCCAATCATGCAGCTTCAAACAAACAAAAAAATCTTACCTGCCCATGATCGAAATGCTGCCACTATTCCCATTTTACTAGCTAGGAATCGTGCTTCTCTGTCCTCCCTGCCATTAGAATAACAAATGTCACAATATAGTTAAGTACTATAAAACAGTGTTACTAATATAGCAAGTAAAAAGTAGTTAACTGAAATTTTAGATGGGGGACAAAATCCAGGCTAAGAGTAATCTTTTACATATGCATATATGTGTGTATACTTATTTATGCATTGTGTATACACACAACGTAAGGAATTTTTAAGTATTGTTAGTTTTCTTTTTTTCAGGGGAGTTTCCATGGTAGGATGATAACATCATAAAGTAAACACCTAGATGTCAGATGAATCACTCTGCATCTCCATCAACAGTGAGTCTGAAGCAGGGACCTATTTAGTTACCCAGACCTAAGCATCTAATGCCACTTGGTAATTTAAAAAAACTGAATAATTCAAGTTGGAAGCAATCTCAGGAGGTCTCTAGTCCAAACTCCTGCACAAATAAGTAGTCAGCTATCAGACCACATGGCTACTCAAGGCTTTATCCAGCTGGACCTTAGAAACCCTCAAGGATGAAGGCCCTACTACCTCTCTGGACAGCGTGTTCATCCCCACCACTGCCCTTATATAAAGTTGAAACTTCTCATTTCAATTTCACGCTGCTGCTTCTTATCCTCCCACCTCTCACCACTACTCAGGGCCCTGGCTACATCTTCTTCATAAAATCTTCATCGGTATTAGAAAGACTGCTATTTGGGGAAGGGTGTCCCCCAACATTCCCTTCTCCAGGCTTAGCAAGTCCTTTTAAATCTGAAGTGCTTAACAGTATTTTAGGAAGTTGCATTCTAACCTACTGTATTCAAGTTCAAGTAACTTAGTATGAGGTCACTGTTATTATTTTCACTTTGGAAAGAAAAATAGATTAATTCCAATACCATGAACACAACTGGTAGCACAAGTAGCAGCACTAACTTACTTGAGTTGTCCTTCTGCTGTGTCTGGATTATGCCTGTAGTGAAAATCTGTGTAAGGAGCTAAAATTCGCTAAACAAAAGAAAGACATGCATTACTTTCACATGAGAATACAGCCAAATGGATCTTGCCCTTTCCTCAGTCCCACTCCAGTCTACCATTTTATTCCTGCTTTATAAATCATTATGTTCTTAGTCTAAAATGTTACATTTTAAACATTTTGCACTAACAGAGGGTGAAATCTGAGATGAAAGTTAAACATTTTCATTAGTAATACAATGTTTAATTTCTGTCACTAAACAAGTAAAATTGAACCCACCTCTAATTCTACATCTGCTCGCACATACTGTCGGGTCTTTGGATGATTAATGAGGTGCAAAACTGTAGTTATCAGAGCCTCATTTATTCGGCTTAGCTGACAATCAATCACATTTTTCAAGATGGTACTTAAACCACCCCGAAGAGCCACCACCTCAGGATTCTGAAGTGCTAAATAAAGAAAAACGTGTCACTTTGGCCAGTGATAGGAAAGAAAACATTTCACTGCTTCCAATATGACAAAATTCTCATCTCTGTAGTACACATCTTTTTCTTCCTGAGCACTGCTAAGGTACATGTAAAGCTTTTAATGGAACTGACTGACATTAGCAATGAATTGAGATTTTGGACTAATTTACCATGAAGAAAAATACTGGTTAGTCAGTCACCAATGGGCAGCAATTTCACTACTTATTTCCAACAAAGTTTCCATACAGTGGTTTCTGGACTTCCCCACAAAAAGGTTTTGTGCTTCAGTGGACTGACAGGGATAAAATATTTATGCTAGAATATCCAAGAGTAACAGACTGTTTATTTCTTGAAAACATAAGCTTGTATCTTGAAAACATTGCTGAAGTTATTTCTGATTGATTTTGAAAAAAAAAAAAAACACACCAAAACTTTAGAAATCAGCCTCCACATACAAGTATATGGAGTTAGCATAAACCGCTATCCAGATAGCCTTTACATGCATACAGGTACTGACTTCCAGAAGCCAGCTAACCACTGAACACACTGTAAAAAATTTTAAAGGAAGATGTTTTGTAGTTCTCTGAACTCTTGTTCATTTGTCAGCATCACAGGTATGGAATTCTCCCTATTTCCACTGTATTACTTTTAAAAACATCAACCACAGCAGGGAAAAAAAATTTAAGGTAAATGAAAAATTGCAAGTCTTAAAGGAAAGAACAGCACTTGAAATCTTCAGGTACTTCACTTGAAGAGATTCTGATTTTAAGTTAAAGTGATTTTGGTTTACATCAAACTAGTGACTAAAATCCATGAAACTGACATAAAGAACATGTAAGTTCTAATCCATTATTAAACAAATACCCTTAATTATTTGAATAAAATCTATTTAATATGAACCCAGAGACAATAATCTCAGAAAACTATAGACAACCATGTGAACATTTGTCTAAATTAGCTTTCAGTTATCTTACCTAGTTCACAGATAATGGCTATACATGCTCGAACCATTCTGTCTCTTTCTTGAAGACCATCGTTTCCAACTGCTATCAAAGAATTAGTAATAGAACTGGGGAACAATGAAGCATTCACAGTGATCATCTGCCAAAAATGAAAGAAAAAGCCCTTCAGTTTCTTCATAATATTTCTCTAAATATACTCACAGATTCATCAGGATTCTGTTTCCCAGATACAACCAGACAGACCACTCCATATAAATACTTGGTTCTAACTGGCGAATCCTCAAAACTATTTCTTTTTTCTTGAAATTCTTTGTTTCTCAATTAATCATTCTCTTCCTGCTTCAGTTTTTTATTTTTATATTATTTAATCATAATAGAAAAGGGTTAAAAGTGGCTGTTCCAGAGAGGACTATGACCATCTTTTTCAAATTTTTTAAATGTCTTTACTGACAAAGAATGCTATCCAATGACATGGAATAGATTAAAGACTCTTCCAGAAGATTCATTTGTACTGCTGCAGGTTCTTCAATATCTATTCAACTGTTTAAGACTAAAACCTCCTGTTTCGCAGAGAAATCCTTAGATTGAAGTGAACAAAGAAGCTGCTGTAGTATTTGGAAGGCAACTGTCACTAATACCCTTATATCCTCTTGCATAGAATCTGATCTTCCTAGAATTGCAGCGTAATTCAACTTCATCATAAGTTATATAGCTATGGCACAAAACACACACAGAGAGCCCTTAAAACACATTAAAAGTAGAAAGCAAAGATGACAATAAGACCTGTGTCCATTAATCAAGTCATTATTTAACTAAAAAAAACCCTGTCAGAATAGATGAACAGATTTCAATAGCCAACACTCACACTACTGAAAAGGTCCTGCACCATGGAAATCCTCAGCTGCTAGTTCAGGACAATCAGAATTTACACCAGATTAAGAAGCAACACCCTGTACACACACTAAAGACAAAAAACCCCACCCTAAAACAACCAACCAGTACCACCACTCCTCATCTTCCCCAAAATGAGGCTTTGACTACAGAGGCTGAGTAGCTGTTCACATTTTTTCACAATTCATGAAAATTAAATATACATATCCTCTATACAACAGAACAAGAACATCACTAAACAGATGTATTACTAAAGAGGAAGTAGGGTTTTTGTCTGACTGCTTAAAAAAAGAACAATGCAATGTATTATAGCCCACTCACCCATGTCAAATATTTTTCTACTAATATATAAGAGTGAGATGTAAAAAAAAAAACAACAGAGAAAGGGCATTATTTCACCTTCTTTGCAGAGGATGTTAAAATGAGACAGGATCAACCATTATGACAAATATATTGGAACACTTAAACAAGTTGATTTTTAATACATGTTTTTGAGAAACTTCTTGTCATACAGAATGTTGTCACCCACAAAACAGGAAGCTTTAAGACAGAACTCTAGAGAAAAAACAAACTCTTCCCCACCCACACACTCTTTCACTTTTACAATAGCATGAAGTAAAAAGAATTAGCAATAGAATGGGTGTATCAAGCCACTCTACAAAATTACAACCTTTTTTCTACTGATATTGGCATGTACCTAATGCAAAGATAAGAAGCAGCCTCTCAAGGCTGTCTGCTTCATTGTTTTCTTTAGCTTTAAGACATAAGAAGTAAAGGTTTTTTTCTTTTAATATTCAATCCCAAGTACATTAGTAGAATAAATACAAGCTTTTGCATTTGCTTTCATTTTGCTCTAAGTATTGAAACGACTGAGGACAGGTGATGCAAGGCTACTTACAAGCAGCTACAATGAAGTAAGTAAAGACTAAGAATTTGGTCTTTAAAGATTCCTTTAAAAAAAGAGGAAGAAAGAAGGTGGTTCATAGTGTACCTAACCTTGACTTCTGCTTTGAAAATATCTTCCCTATGAAATTATTAATAAAAAAAAAGGTCTTATTAACTTCTATGTCATGGAAAAATGCTTTCTGAAGCAACATTATGCCATCCTTTTCACGGCTGAAGACACTGCTAAATTGCAAAGCTCTTGCTAGGAAATGTAGAGGTGATTACAGTCAAAACAGACAGGGAGCACTCAAAGCCTTCACAATCAATCAGAAACCAAGATTAAAAACTTTTTCTTCTTTCTTCCTACACTACTTCAACCTGCACATTTTTAAAAGAAGTTTCTAATTTTTTAATAAAATGCCTTTTATAAGTTTATAAAACAGGATTAATATTTCAAATTTTGTTCTCCTACTCTATGAAAAGAGAGGAAGGTGACAGAATGTTTTAACTTTAAAGTTTTATATATGTGCTGTTCTTACATAGGCATTTTTGCTATTAAAGATAAGGTCAAAGAATTGCATCCAGAGTTTGAAATGCAAAACAATTGTTCTTTGATGCTTGTGGAACTCAGTTCAGCTCTTCCATGGCTCAGAGTAAATTATCTCCTGCATAAATTATTTAACTCTCATTGTTTTATTTGCCATTCATTCTCCTCTTCTAGACCTTTATACATTCTTTTATGAATCCTGATGTCAAACCACTAAGTCTGAGATACTGAGGGAGACTAAGAGATACGGGAAAAGGGCAAGAGCAGAGTAACAAAAAGACAGCATGAAAACACAGCATGTAACATTCAGGACCTGTGTCACGGAGAGCTTCTCAAGTACTGACTGCTCTATGCCAATCCATGCTTAGCTGCTCTAGCCCAGACAGGATATGAAGGTGTTAACTTTACTGGTAGCCAGGTTGGGTGGCTTTTTGTTTGTCTGACATTGTCTTTTAAGAAAAAAGGATGTTCTAGGTAACAAAAGACATTGGAAAGCTTCTTCCATCAACACAGTTCTCAGCATCAAAGAGCCATCAGCACCCCTGTACAGCACGGTACATTCCATGCACAACATCTTTGTACAATCATGGAGACAAAAAAGCACTGGTGGTCAGCTGTGTGGTTTTTTAATGCTTATCTTTCAGGATCATTTATCAAACCAAATGAATGGGTTTATTCTTCTTGCTTCCCCTTGTTTCTTTCAAGCAAGACAGAAGTTATACTCAACTAGCAAACACTGAAAAAGTCCAAAATAACGAGGACAAATATCTGACTCAAACAAAACAATTCATTCTAAATGTGTTTCCATTCCACCTGCTGATTTAAGTTATGCTGGCTCTACATTGAAGCTCTTTTTTAAAGCTGATTAGCAAAGAACTTTAATACATTGCAACTTTCTCAAGGATCCATTCCTTTATGGTTATGGTTTTTGTTTGTTTGAGTTTGGGGGTGCTGGTGGCATTTAGGCTTTAAAACTCTCTTTTGGTGCAACTGTTATTCAAGCATATGTCTTTTCTGTAAGACAGCAACCAAGTGAGCTCATCATAAGAAAAGAAAATGCATATCAAGCTTCCATATTTTCAACCTAAACATACACATATATGTGTGTGTGTGTGTGAGTGTGTAAAAATACACATACACACAAAAAAGATAAAACACACACAGTGCTCCCGAGGAACTATTCTTCCAACTACTTCAAACTTTACTCAAGTCTCTGGTAGTTTTTCTTAAGATGGTCAGTAGGAGAACATAAGCTCGATAAAGAATACTGAAGTCCAGTACAAAGGCAGACTACCATGTTGCCTGAAAAAAACACCTTCAGTAGCTGTATATGCCAATCTCCCTAGGATTCCCTAGCTGGAATATGCAGCTACCACAGCTTCAGACGTCATAACCATGGGTACACCATATGGTAACCAGCAAAGAATATCTATGTCTTAGTGTGTGTATCTGAGAAAGGAAATATGGACAACATCAAGGATAAAGCAGTAGAAGCACCCCTTCAACTGATTATTCCAGCAATTCATTTCTCAAATGGCAGAAAATCTCCCATCCTTGATTCACAGATGGTTGAAACACACTACAGAATAAAGTTAAATTATTAGATGCAATTTAATAATACGGTTATCGTACCCTTGCATTCGTCATTTGATAAGTTTTTCCTGAATCTGGTCCAGTATGATCTCTATCGAAGGAAAATCAGCAGGATTTTTCAAGCCCACTCGAGATTTCAGTGGCAAGAGGTTAAAAATCAAAACATGCCTCAGCACTACCCTTTCTTCTCTCATTTGAGTTATCATCTGTAATTTCTTCTCACATGAAAAAGTACGATAAGGTTTTATAGACTGTGTTGAAAAAACCTGCTGATGGAGAAGACCAACTAACTGGCATAGCTGGTAAGACCACATATAGTTAGATTTTACCTTTCTGACTAATCGAAGTGCTTGTGTTCTTTCTACTTCATTACTCTGCTGTATGTCAATGCACCTAAAATAGGTTAAAAAACACATTTTGTTCAAACAACATTAACTTTTACCTTAACTGTTAACATCTCACATTAGTATTTATTCAGTTGAATAAACAGAAGGAAAATAGTATTATGACTGATTGTTTAAAAGTTCTGCCTTCCAGCAAGAGCATACTCATTATGACTGGTCAATTAGCTTCAATTTCTATTTTTTTCAGTTGTTTTCATTATAATTAAATCACTTGAATGTTCTCAAATATACAACATCAAGTCATAACAGCTTCAACAAATATTTTCTGAGCTAGCTGCATTTGTCATTTCAAAAGCTACTAAACAAAGTATTTGCAATGTTTCACATCAACATATTTTGTGTGTGTTCTCAGATCAGAAAAGTTCTATTAACAAAATTAAACAGCACACTAAAGCTGATTATGTGTGTATATTTATGAAGAGAAACACACACATCTATATCAGTATATCAAATCCAACAAGATTTTATCACAGGAAGCACTAGAAATGCTAATATTTACATCTACTCATAATGCTGATCTTATTATCTCATTGTTGGTTTGCCCTTTGGTATTATTCTGTTGTATCATGGGTTATACTTAGATTACAAATTCTTGGGCAGGAACTTCTTTTTAGCCCTGACTTTGTACTAGAGGCTCCAAAGCATTATGTTAATAAAAAGAATCAAAACAACTCCCTTAAAACATCTTAGGACATTAAAATAACTGTTGTTTCAACCTTCTAATAACACCACATATTAATTTATGATTAACGGCATTTATGACTGAAAAACATAGACTTTTTTAGATTAGTCATAGTATATCATATAATAGGACTGCATTTTATTTGGATTAGCTGGTGTCCTGTATTATTCTTCTATTCTTAAAGGATGTTCAAACTGAAGAAAAAAGGCTTTTATAAAACTGCATATCAAGAATATCAGAAGATATGAAAGCACCTTTTCTCAACCATGAAAAAATAAATTATTTACAATTGAACAATTTACAACAAGGAAGAGAAAAATTACCTGGCTATCAAGTAATCCACTTTCAACTTTAGCACCTTCTGGAGAATACTGGAGTCTCGAATGAGATAGCGGAGGGCTCGCAATCCTGCTGCTCGCACCTCTTTTGCTTCATTTAGTAAAGCTAACCTCAGACTACAATGAAGAAAACAAGGGGAACAAACAATTATTTAGCAGCAGATAGACTTTATAATCTGACATGTAGCTCCTACCTCCTCATTTAAAATAAAAAGTTTGATTTTTAGAAAGAAATTATCTGCGGTAGCTTTTTTTTTGCCTAGAAGGCAAATTGTCAACCTGCCAGCAGACATAGAAAATACATTAGTCTGACAAAGAGACAAAACAATTTTTTCCCCAAAAAAGCAGCTTGTACATTTGTGAAATGATACACGTCCAAGACCTGCATATAACTTGTTATTTGACAAGAGAGCTAAGCACAATATCGGTCCAAGAAAATTAACAGGAATGTTTCCTCTTCTGCCAGGCTGCCAACCTGTAAACATGAGTCCTCAAAACACTATCTTGACACTGAATAGAGACAAATTTGCACATTAGGTACAAATAGAGACAAATTTGCAGTAAGGACGTTATGGCACCAGGTTATGTTTACACGAAGTGTGACAGACTCATAACTTAAACAGCCCCACACAGCACAGATTTCTACTGATTTAGCTGATTTAGAACTGATCTACAGTAGATCTAGAAATCTACTGATTTAGAACCAAAACGTATTTCTCTTTAGACAGACTTTTGCTCATATGGAGGTGAGCTTTCCTAAACGTAAATGTCATCATAATATAAGTTCCTAAATTCACTATCTAGGCAAAAAGTAATGTGATACTGAAAGCCTAGGCCTAAGTGACACACTGTCTTTCTGGAGGGCCTCAGAAGATTACCACTTTTCTTTGACTACATAATGGGGGGAAACCCTCAACCTCCCAGTGGCATATTTTACTAGGATTTTTTCGGTGCACATCTAAGAATGCAAATACTTCAGTCAGTGATACTGAATCGCTACCTGTACAAATGGCTTATTTTTTTCTTTCCTTATTCTAGGATTGTCATGCACAGTAATCAGTTACTCCAAGGCCAAAAATCTGTTGAATCTTTCTGGAGATTAATTGGCCTGTGTAAAAGTTGTAACCACAGGAACCTAATTCCAGGTGATATCTAGACAAAGTGGAAAGGCTGCAATAGTATCTGATATGATCACACACTGTATGATCCGATCACTAATTTCAGCACCAAGCAGGGAATTGCCTCAGGAAGACCATCTTTGTTGTAGCATCAAATATGATTCTTCTCATAAAAAGAGTGCCACTAATTGCCTTTACTTACTTAAGCTGAGCTAGAAGCAAGTAAGAAACGCATTTTCAACAATGTGAGGTTAAGAAAAAAAATCTTCCTCTAAAAAAAGCTGTACTAGAGGAGAGATTTATTACCAAAAACATGCAAGAAAAGCAGACAAGTAACTCTTCAATTGTACTGTGCAGATAATGTGTATTCTTTAGATCATGAATCATGCTTTGTTTCCAGTTTTGCAGAGATGGAAATCTGAGGGATGAGCATGTAAGACTCAGCTCTACTTGGTGGTATTTTTCCTATTTGGACTTTTACCTCACAGTTTACAATTGGTTTGGATATTCCAGTTTAGACACTTCAGCAGACTTTTCTTTTAGGGCAAAGGTTATCCATTACCCATCCAAATGGTGCTGTTGCTATCCATGACATTTCTTACTAGGACAGCCAAATACTGAATCTATGTATCTAGACCAAAACAATCTTTAGACAAATAGTTTCTCAAAAGCAGTCAAAGCTTTGAAAGCTTGTTTTACAACACAAAAGAGGATAATATTCCTAATTTGTAGACAGAAGTAAATTGAAAATTCTCAACAGTGAAACCACTATAAAGGACAACACTACCATGAGATTCAACGTCCAAAAGTAGAAGGCAGCAAAAAGGGACTTATCACTATCTTCAAAGAGCAAGAATGCAATGAGAATATATAGCCATCTAAAATAAAGGCCATAAAAATCCAAAAAGGTCCAGTGAAAGCAATGACATATAGAAGTATACAAGGCTCAACAAAAATCTATTAGAAACAAAAACTAGACAAAAAAACCTCACCAGTCAATGAGCAAACTGCAAAAACCTGAGAGAAACCTGACCTTGCGATGACAATGAAGATACACTACAGGAGGCAGAAAAAAAATAAGTAGGAAAACCTATATGCATGTGTCTGTACATGTCCAAGTGTTCTGACTTCTCAGCTCTACCACAAGGAGAAAACTTCAACAGTTAAATGGGACACACTGGAAAACCCAAAAGGAAAAGTAGAAGGAATGAAGCAAATAAGAGACTGACAGGGGTATGACAGAAACAATAATTTTCTTCATACTAAGTCATTGCTTTAGAGATCTGCATCAAGATTCCCATCTCAAAGCCTTTTATTTTTTTCATACAAAATACGAGTGAGACTAAGACGTGAAAATGATGGAATAACTGGAGGAAGTCTACCCATAAGTATTGTCAGTGGCCCACCATGCTTCAAATATGTGTTTGGAAACAACATTAACATGAACTATCTGCACATATTTCCTGTATTTTTAATGGTAGTGGCCAAGGTGGAGAAAAGGTGGTAAACAGATCTATACAAAAAGGATTCCAAGGGGCATCAAGAGGACTGTTCATGATTTTAAAATAAAATCACCTTAAAATAAAACTTGCTAGCCATGCGAACCTGCAGAGGCTACGCAAACTATATTCTTATCTTTTGAAAGACTTGAAAGGAGTTATTACAATAGCGTATAGAACAGCCTAAGGTATTGCTGAAGGCTGTATTAAGGAAAATAAAAATATTATCAAGTGATGTAACTCAGAGTAATAAATCTATAATACAGAGTTTCACAAATCAAAATCTCTAAATATTAATTGAAAGAGTGGAGGTGAATGGATGATCTTTATCCTGACAATTTTTTGTCCTGATTTTTATTCAGGTTCACAATCTCCTTTTGCAGAAAGTATTTAGAATACACTTCTTGGTTTGTGGGAAGTGGGGTTGGGGGCAGAAATACAGAGGGCAACATAGTTTATATTACTACGAATAGGACAGGGTTATGAGAAACATCAAGGGAACTTAAAAATTATCTGCATACACAGCTCACAACATGAAGAAATTCAAGACTGTTGTGGTTTTTAACTGTGTTACAAACCCACACTACATGATTCTAAAATAGCCATCAGATCAAGAAAATTATTTTGATATGCACACTGCATGCATCTGTGGCTCAAGTGCCAAAAAGGCACCATGATTGTGTAAGAGAAAAAATTAAGTGCAATACTACTTTCCCCAGTATTTTAAGTGTCACTGCAGAAATCAAAGTAACTTCCTAAGACAGCATTAAGGCTCATAAAGACTGACAAAAAGTCTGGAAGAACTAACAAAGGATAGAATAAGAAAGGATTTTCACTACTTATTATAGGATCACTCTCGCACTTTTTTCTAAAGCATCTCATCCACTCACTACAGAAAAATAACCATGGTTTTGACAGATTCTCTTTTGATCAAATTAGGTAATTGTGAATATTCTGAACTTTGCTTTTATGCCTAAAGCCTCTTGGCGCATTACTAAGAGATCTCAGCTGTTTCCAAGGCCCACCAACACCCCATTTTGTTCATGGTTCAAGGCTTCCTCTCAACTGTCAATGGTATGGTGCTCTGGGAACCGGGAGGACCCATCTACACTGGGAACGACAACAAAATGTGTCATTGTTATTTCCACATGCACGTAGTTACTCTAGGTAACCAGGCATCTCAACTAACAAAATTCTAAAAAGAGTGTGAGTTCTAAAAACCTGATCTCTAACTTGATAATAACTGCAGTTATTGCAGACTGCAACCGTCTCTGGTTTGGGTAACCATTCTATCAAGGTTACTGACCCCAAAACCTAAAACTTTATAGGAAATCTGCAATTATTCCTGAAATCATTGATTCCCTTTTAGTTTAATGCTTTAGATTAGCCATTCATACTTCACAAATGCAGAAAACTTCCAAAGTATTTCTTGCATCCAAATAACTTTTTGTGTTTTCAAAGAAAAACAAGTTTGTTCTGTAGAATAAAAAGGTTTCCCTATGGAAGTCGAAGGCAATGTTGGGAACATCAGCAGAGCGAGTTACAGAATTTCACTGAATTTCACTGAATTTTTAGAGTTGGAAGGGACCATAGAGATCATCTAGTCCAACTCCCCTACTAAAGCAGGATTGCGTAGAGCTTGACAGAAGTTGCATGGTATTTCCAAGGGAATACATGTAATTGGTCTACGTGAAGGTCAGTTCCAAAATTGATTAAGGAAGTCAGTATTTGTAAATTACTCAGAATGGCTGTATGTTGTATAGCAAAATAATCTGCACACAGAGTACTACTGCAGAATGGTTGTAACTCTGTAGAGCAAAATTTTAAAATTTGCCTGGACCGTCTGTATTTCATGAAAACAATTAATCCTATAAATATTTCTGAAGAACCACCAACCAGCACAATTATGGTTATGAAAATGTATTGGAGTGATATCCCTGAATTTGATAATTATCATTATAGCAGAATAACCTCCATATATGCATAAAAAAATGGTTTGTTTCTCATGTACATACACAGAGGAACCACTGGACTGACGAAAATAGCAACACTAACCAAGATAATTTTCCTGCTATACGTCTTTAGTTTTTGAGAAGTATTTTTAGCATTTTTTCAAGCAGTGTGCTATTTTTCTTCATGTGTCTGCTGAGAACAACATTTTAATCTCTTCCTTATCAATATCCGTAATTGTGTTTGGATTAGCAGATCTTTCTGCAAACTTCTTCCTATAAAAACAAACACTAGTATTTGCATAACCTTTTAAGACTATAATTTAAAAATATTTGGTTAAGAACAATTTTGAAGTTATATTCTTAAGTCACATTCAGTGCCATCACGAAAGCACTATAATAGATCACATAAATAAGATCAGAAGATGATAATCTATTAAAGCTTACAGCGAAATACGCATTCACAAAAGTTTGTGAAGTTAGTCCTAGTAAGGAAATTTGTTAGTTCTAGTAAGGAAAATCAGTTCTGTTTAAGAAAACAACTTACAGTATTTTCAAGAGAAATTACACAAGTCTTCCCAACATTTACTAGCTTTTCTAAAATTGTTTTCCTAAGTTAGATAACTAAATTGAAAGAACACAAAATCATACTAAATACTAGATCTTAGTTGTTTCTGCCACCAACACCAAGCCTTAGGACAGATTTACCAATGTCTATGTAAATAACAGAAGTTCTGGAAATAAGCACATAGTTACTCTAGGCTGTCAGGAATGCCAACAAAATATAGGAAAATTCCACTTGAAAGTACATACACAGGGTATTTTAGCAGAAGGGAAAGCAATGCTACAAAGACATATATATACACCAAATAAACATAAAATGTTGATCTTTAAATCCTGATTCTACACCAAGAGGATGCTCTAAATTCTGTGTATCTTTACTAAAAGTGCTTTCTGCAAGTACTGAGATATTTAGAGGTATTTTTACATCTATGAGGAATATAAGAAAGAAATTCACACTTAACTTGGACTTTTTTCCCCTCTTAGCCTAAAAGCAAATAACTTATCTCTGATTTTACTCATTATTTATAAGATACATATTTGCACTATGGAATTTCAAACACATCAGAAATACAAAATATGAATAAAGTTTATTTAATTACACCTAGAATAATTAAAGTACTCTAATAGTGCTCTAGAGTGTCTTACTACTTACCATATTATGATGCTGTCATATGTAAAACCTAGCTTTTCTTCAGCATGGCCAGTATTACAAAGAAGCTGAAAAAAAAAACCAGAAAACACCTATTATTTACAATTCTTTTAAAATGATTATGTAAAACTGCATATTTCTGGTCATGCTTTCAAAGAAACCTGAGAAATTTCATTCATGGCAAGGGGACGCATATGAACTTCAGACTTCCCTGAGAATTTCTGCTGTCAGTATTCTGTTCCTATATACACCAGACACACACAAATCTGTGGCCTCTTATCCTACAGAAAAACTTGCACAATTGTGTACATTGCCTGTTCAAATCCAGACAGGTCTTCCTGCTGCCTTTAAGCTCTTTCCAGAAGCACCACTAGCTGGGCAATTGGTAACCTGAGCAGAGATGACAAAGACTGAAGTCAAAGCACACCACATTCAAAAAGAGGACTCCATTGAGAGTTCTGAAGCAAAGACTGACACTTAAGGTCCATGGTCATATTTTGCCACAGCAGAACAAGTGTAGGAAAACAAAACCAGAAGGTGTTGTCATGCTAAGTGTCCCATAACTGACATTCAGCCTGGGCTGCCATCAACTCTATAGAACTCGTACCTTTGAAAAAAAAAATCAGTGCAAAGGTTGAATTTATGCACATAAAAATACACCTATAAACGGTCACAAATCCTGAACATTTCAACCATATCTAGCTATTTTGAACGCAAGAATGAGGATTCACAAGTGCAGTTTTTACATCCAAATTAAATCTCAAAAGGAGCAATCCAGTGGGTGCTAAATGTTTTAGCTTCTTAAGGAAAGGAAAACAGTCTCTTCTGTAAAAACAGTAGATGCTGTTCCCCCTTGCAAGAGCCGCAAAGAAATTCCTAGTAATCTCATTTAACTATCCCTAGCTAAAATGCTAAAATACTTTATTATCACAACCAAATCCCAAAGCACTTTTCCGAGCACTTCCAAAAACTCAAGTGACTAATACTGATTGCAACAGTTTTGCACTTTGTCCTCTCTTTTCAAAACAGGCATGTGTTCAGTTCTGAGCCAGCGCGGTATTAACAGTTTCTCCTCAGTGAGGAATTCAGGAAGTGTTTGTGCCAACTAGTGAATACCTCTGCTCTGAAAGTATTAAAATATATGAAGCCCTGTGACACATTCTTTATATGCATTTACCGCTAATGATAAAATATTAATAATTAATGAACAGTTAAATTAAGGCTACTGTAAATTGGAATATTTAACACATTCCATGCTCCCATTTTACTGTTCACCTTCACCTGAAAAAACAGCATATTGCACAGAAATTCTACTTTTAAGTAAACCCATTTTATTAGCATGATGGCTTAAATTCAAACAATGCTTCAGTTTATGCTCAACAACTACAAATTCTTCCAAGGATCATGTTACATTTTTAAGAAATTATTTTTCATGTTGTGAGAAAATTACATAGTGACAATGCTGAAATCCAAGCGTCCAAATCTCAAACTGTTAATGAGACAGAGTATTAAACTGGCCTGGATCAGCTCTGTATTTGGGCTCGAATAATCCAAGTTAATTGAAATCTTTTGGATTTTGCATTTTTCTTAATAGAGGCTATAACCAAAGACTATTATAAAACATAAGGAAAATTATTATATAACCTCCTTTCCCCACCTTTCAGATTTAAGCTATAATAAAACTAGACAATTGGTGCATTAACTGGTTATGACAGTATGTCACTTCCTAGCATCAATCTATTTTTATGCCATGTTGTTGGACTGCCTAAGGCCACTACTGCTGTTTTAGCATTTCTATTGACATCTTATGAACTGTAAAAATTGGCTGGCAGAGTGTAAGCAAAACAGTGTGAGAAGATAGCAAGTAAAACCAGTTCATTGTTCAGTTTCAGACAAGTACATCACTAGTTATTTAGGCTGATCATTTATACACCTAAACTTCTTCCCATCATTCTACCCCAGACACAAATGAGAAATCCTAATCTAACATACCAGATTATCCTCAACAGTTTTTAAAAAATAAAAAATAAAATTTAAAAAAAAAAATCCCAAATCCATCAGAATTGTAATTCTGATGTAGGAAAACTCAATATTGGTGCACCAGTGCATTTCTGAAGAGAGCCTCCTATCATCACACTTGCCACTCACTTGTACCTTGAGCAGTCCCAAAATGAAACTGAAGCAGATGAAGTTCCAGGAACCCACTTAACTTCCTGCAATTGCTAAAGAGCATTCAGTTCACCGGGCCAGCTCTTGTTGTCAGTAACCACTCTTATCAAATACCTTCGATTTGGTTATTAGCTCCTCAATACCAATTTTATCTATGTGGTTCCACTGCAAACACCCTTACTCATGCAGAAAAAAACTTGATCTTACCTTGAAACTCAAACATAGTCATGTAATCTGACAGTACATACAACTTTCATCAAGTTTAACAGCTGTGGGGATACAAATTTCTGAACGTGATGATAACTATTAAAGTGTTGGATGGTGTCTGTGCATACATATGAAATAGTTCTCTCACAGAACGAACAGATAAAATTGGCTAAGAAAAGTAAGCGCAAAATTAGCTACTTTAGCTATTAGTTTGCTCTCATTCCAACGGGCCACCACTACTTATGTATTTGCTTTCTTTGCAATCTACACACAGTAGTGTGCTTACAGGATTTCCAGCTAGAAAAGAATTTAAAAGATGGCCAGCAAGGTCAGAATTCAAAATGTTTTGGTGACTTCAAAGGAACGCCCAAACTTAATACGAAAATTCAATTAAATAAAAGGAACAGCGTATCATATCTTTCAGGATACCACATGTTAGCAGACACGTAAAAACTAAAAGGAGCCCAGCAGAGAAGTACAGATATCCGGAAAACATTCAGGATGCTAAATACAAAAATAAATTTCAAAAGGAAAGCAAAATCTGTAAGTTACAGCAAACTATAAACTGAGTGAGTTAATGTGATGTCATTTCAGGAAAAAAAAAAAAAGGAAATTCTACCTTTGGAAATACTAATAGTACTGCATTATGTTTGACATTGAGACCTTCTTTTTCTTTCACTTCACAGGCTGAAAAAGGCTCAAAACTGCATGAAGAATAAAATTCTGGGCACCACATTTTAAGAGCAGACAAACCGGAAAGAGTGTCACAGAAAAATGTACAAGGCAGCTAGAAAATACACCCATGAAGGCTAAGCCATTGAGTTTATTTAGTCTAGGAAAAAAACCAACTCTCTGGTGAAAGTAAGGTTGGATTGATATATGTTTAAAAGTTGAAAAAAAGTCATGTAGGCTGCTATAAAGAATATACTGTTCAGCTGGTCTCAATGCTTTGCGTATTTTCTTAGTTCTAAATGTCTGTTCTTAAATATATTAAAGGGAAAACTTTGCTGCTTTCTCCTCATTCTTCAACCAACATTTAACAGGCCAATGATTCTGGCCGAAATGCAGTGATTTTTGTAATGGCTGAATTCCTGACAAAGCCAACTAACTGTCACATGACTGTTAACATTTATCAATTAATATGCATATCATTGTAGAATATGTTTGTAGGCAAGCAGTACCAGAACACTAAAATCTAGTTTTGCTATATATTGCTATATTTCACTAAAATGGCAATAGATTATCATAAAATGTATATCCCTGGAATTGTGCAAATACACTTGATATTTTTCTCATATATATCTCTCATATATAAAATGCATTTTTTTATATGCCCAATCAATTTTTTATATATATATATATAGACACACACAAACACAGCGCATACTTTCTTGCTAAAACTGCTATTAAGTCAACTATAAAATTCAAAATTTTTGATATAATAGTCAGTGAATGGGAATAGCACAGCCTTTTTGAGGGTATGATTTAATACTAGGACAAAATGGTACTTACACTAGGCACAACAGTGACTAACTTACAGTGAAGGTTTTTTTCATATTTACTGTCAGCTATGAGTTTTTCATGCTACTTGGATGAGTCATAGCTATATGAGTAACACATCAACATGTCTTGGAAACAGTAGCTCAAAACAACAAAACCACAGGAGGTCAACAGCATACACAAGTTGACTACACACTGAGACCATTCAAATTTATATTTAACAGAATAGGCACAGCAATTACAAGGTAAAAGTACGATATTATTCTATGCATCCAAAATGTAATTTTTATACTGTAATTTTGGAAATACAGTTTGAACCATCACTGGCAATATTTATGAGAAGACCACATAGCAGACCCTACTCTTAAGAGAAGGCCCTACTGAAATTGCGGACACTGTATTTAGACTGTATTTCTGACCATTAGGTTTGTTCCAGAGCTGAAAGCCCATAAGAAGATGTTCTGCTCCTACCCACTATGTACTTCATCATGAGATTTCAAGTTTTGCCCATAGTGGTTTAGCAACTTGGATGAATGTTACAGTCAATCAATACTACATTCAGATTCTGTTTTGCAAAGGGCAGCTGCGACGCTAAAAAAATGGACTATGAATCAGAGACAGACTCTGTGAAAGCCTCTGTAGCCCCACACTCAGTCCATACACTAACGAAATTTAGCAGCATAGTAGAAAGCCAAGAGATATATAGAGCAGAATAGTAGAGCCTTGTTAAATAGTGACAGAATTACTTTTGAGCAGATTGAAAACATAATTTTCCATATCACTGATGTTATTCAATTGCTTAGTTTATGCTAAAATGAATTAAGTTTCATTTTGTCCTTAAAAGAAGCACGTTTCTTTTTGAATGAAAAATAGAAATCCCTATAACAAGGTCTATGGACCTTTTTTCTGTTCCTTATTTAAATATGTTTTTAGGTTTAAAAAGGTACAAAGGATCTCTCAGAAGCTAACAGTGGAATAAACCTTCTGTAATAAAGGATTCTAATAAATTCTAATAAATAAATACTTCGAAGCCAAAAGATATTTTCCACTAGGTGATGCCGAATTTGCCCCAAAAGGCGAAATAGAAACTGCAGTCTCAGAAAATAGAAACTGCTCATAAAATAGAAACTGCTCAGAGACTAAGTTTTCAAGTCCATAAGCAGGAGGTATTTATTAACAACGCGTTGGGGAACTCTCCAGGCTGCCCTGGACAAAGAGTTCTGTCGGTTAGCAATCAGTGCAGCTTTTTTATACAAGTTTGAGTGTAGGTTACATCATCTTTACATGCATATTCATATCTTTACATGCATATTCATATATAGACGGAGTCTTCCATTTTGGGGAGTCGTCTGGTGGGAGTTCCAGTGCCTTCATCAGGGTGGGGGATCGTCTTGTGAGTCTTCCTCGGATTAAACTTCTGAACTCTTCCTAATTTGGGTAGCTTCTTGGTGTACTTGGCAAGGTCAGAGTGACCTTGGTTCATCCTAAAATTGCTGAAGCCACTACTTCATGTTCTGGTGTTCCTTCCTATCAACTCGTTCTGTTCTTTCAGACAATTTATTACCTTCGTGATTTGGTAAGATCTAGCAAATGTAGCCTGACTGACCACAAACGGGGCCTGCAACTACTCAGAGCTATGACAAGAGAGGATGCAGGAATGTAGGGAGTAGTCCTGAGACCAGCACAATGATGTCTTGAAGCAGCAAAACAGTATTGTTGACCTTGTTAGGAGATAGGGGATTCAAAGAAGGAACCCATCTTACATTTTAACTCCTTATTTCTCGAAGACTGCTTCCTTTTGAGCCGTTTCATAAGTAAATGCAATTTTACGGTTCCTTCTAGTTTTCAGTAATTTATCACTTACTACTTCTCATGGGGGTGGGGAAAACCCCAAAGAAGTAACCATGATGTTTTGGTATTAATCAGCAGAAGCTGGGAAACTTCAAGGTGCTTGCCTTACGTAGCTGGCCTTATAAATCAAAGATGGGTTTTTCTGAGGCCAAAGGTACATACTGAGCTTGTGAACTGCTGTGACAACTGAAAGTATCGCTGCCTATTTACTAGAGGTCAAACCCTCAAACAGCTTTCAGGTAAAAATTCAGGTTAGGTTAAATAGTGATATAGGTGTTTGAAAGACACAATATTATCTTCGTCTAACACAGATTAAGCAGTACTTCATAAATGTTTTCAGCCACAATGCTGCATCTTTGCTTACTAAGTCACAAGCGGCAGATGGGGAGAAAAATTTCAAAGTCTGCCACTGCTGCAATTCAGAACTAAACATACCTTTCCATAGCCTGAGTATCACCAGACTAGGAATGCCAATGACTTGGAGCAAAAAAACTTAAAGCACCGGTTGGGCAAGAACAACATATGTTCTGCAGCCAAAGATCCAAGAACACAAACATTAAGGGTTACTAAGAAGAAGCACTAGTTAAAACTTGGTGAATGAAATGCAGTTTTATGCACCGTACTTTGTACAGTAAGTATGGGTGTTGTGGGGACTTGAATGTTACTAGTCAACAAGGCTCTGAAAGGGAAAGACAAATGAAAAGGGAGCTACATCGCTTAGGTATAAAAGCTTCATACAAAGTAGATGCCTTACAGTATCATTCTTGCAGAAAAAGTAAGAAATCCTGTTGACTGCTGACAACCACTATTCTAATAAATTTTATTTAAAGTATTTAACTTCAGCATAAAAACCTGGAGTCCAGTTCAGTAATTTTTTAAAGAGTAATTACCTTCCTTCTCCTTAAATAAAGGGGAATGGGGGGAACAAACCCCCACCTTAAAAATTCAGTCTTCTTTCAAGGAAAGAAACCTGAACCTAACATACCTCAGATATCTTGAAATTAATGCAAAACTTAATGTCTACCACAGTCTCTGTCAGTAAAGTCCACATTAATGTAAATTATTAGTTTCTACATGAATACAAACATTTTGTTTCTCCTGACCAAAAAAGGAGAAGAATATTTCTTCCAAATGGGAGATTTCCCCAGTCTTCGAAGGAAAAATCTGGGGCAGTGGGGAGCAACTGCTCAGATTGGTGTTGACACTTTCTTTATGTATAATAATATTTTTAGCAGGAAAGTGAAATTTTATAAATTTTATTATTTTATCAGAAGTATGCTGTAAAAAAAAATATTCAAAGGTTCTTTCCCTGTCTGTAGGATAAATATCCTAGTTTACTAGTAGCCTTTCAAAAATGGACCATACAAGGCAAGAATTTAAAAACAAATCAAGTTCATCTTCAATATAATACCAAGACAGGATACAAACATCCTCAGCTCTTAGCACATCTATCTTCTCCATGCTCCTGTCTCACAGAAGGGGAACTGAGACTGTATTAATTCATGGTACAAGACCAGAGTGCAAAAAAGAAATAAAACCATCTCCCCCAAGCTCCAGGCTTTCACTCTTAACCACTGGAATGAAAAGCACAGAATTGTTCCAACCACAAGGCAGACAATACAATACAATTTGCAGCCTTTATTCTATTTTCATAACTGCATTTACAGTTCAAACAAAAATAGGAAGAGTTTTCAAAACCAAACGTACAAGTTACACTTTTACAAAGCAGATATTCCAGGGAGATAAATATAAGAACAAGTGCTAAATAATAAACAGAGTAGGATGATTCCCTTATACAGGGTAACTCTGTTTCAGGATCAAAACCAGGTTAGGAATGACAGTCTGTCTTCAAAAGTCATATTTAATTTTAGCAAGTTCCTTTTCACAAATTCATAATTTCTTGCCAGTCTTAAGGCCAATTTATGAAAACCTTCCTTGTGTTTTTAAAATATTTTCCATCTTTAACACCAAGTTAAGTATAAAGAACACATTCTTTAAATATTCAAATTATGGAATTATTCAATTTTTCAAAGCTATCTTTTAAAAAGAATTTTTGTTTCATCCTTCAATTATAGTGTGCATATTTACTAATTTACCACATTTGAGGTGCTTAACATCTGATTTTCAGCAGCAAAATCAACACTGTTTTAAGATCCATAGTTTCAAATATTGACTTTTCAATAGGAATCATGCATCTGCCAACCTAATCCAGTTATTTAGTTTTAATGCAACTAGAGAACTTGCAAGCATCCACATTTAAAAGCTTCCAGATTAGCACAATAAGAAACACAGGCATGCATCAGCCTTTTCTTGCAGAATAAAGGGCTTTCTTGCAACACAGTTTGGAATCCCAGTAAAAACAGCAGCATTTTGTCAATGGTGGATGTCTGACAGACACAACAGGCAATGACCCAAAGAAAAAATGTCAGTGTTAAGTTCAGTTTGTCAGTGAATGCTATGCACCTACATGTGCTCTGAACAGCTCAAAATATGGAGGATTTACAGACTTATTAATGCACTAGAAGATACATTTGTTTGCTGTTGTGATTTTGTTCTTGCTAACTGAATCTCATACACTACCACTGAAGTGCTGTTCAATCTTACAAAGAGTACTTTTAACAGTGAAAAAGCATGCCTACTTCAAAGATTACCATGCACATCTGTCCTTCCCCAAACCTGTCCTTGAGCATTCATTCTTTCACTTGAGATTGTCTCAAAACTGTCAAGTAGCCTCCTGGTCATCTTACTTAAAGATTTGTTACCAGCTCACCTACAACAACAATAACCTAAACCTTACTTTAGTCACAACGTTCTTCACTACTGCCTTGTTTCTTGGCTACTGCTGATTGCAGGATCCATCCTCTGTCACAGAAATTTGGGTTTCATCTTCAGGCACGTTGCCCTGTCTGTGGCACTCTATCAGAAAGGTGTACAACTTACCAGCTCTTTCTGAGTGTCAGTCCATCCATCCAGGTAACACTCACACTGAAGCTCCAACCTGTCGCAGCTCACTGACTGCAATGCACTTTTCTCTTTCCTTGGCAAAGGGAACACTGGTCCAACCACAGCCATTCACTATGCTACAAACACATACCCTTTTCCTAACTCCCTGTCCACCTCTCATCAGTCCTCTCTGACCCTCTCCACAGGCTTCTTATCTACCCAAAAAATGGTACTTGCTCTCCTTCTGAAGGCCTTTCATGGCATCTTTCTTCACCCTGTAGTAAGTTTTTAATTTTTGCTTCCTGCCAGTTCACAATGACAGCTTCCAACATACCCATCAGACTTTCAGGCAAAGTATCTGTAACATTCTCATGATTTGGAAGTGTGTACTTGGAAAAAGCACCACAAAAATCACCAATACAGACCACTTCTAGAAATTGTCCCCTTAAATCTTTTTCCCTATGAAAGCTACAGTGAAAGTTGATGGTTGATATTCTATTCTATTAGTGTCCAAACCACTGTGTATCATGCTCACTGATAGGGCGTTCCCCCTCATTATACTTAGAAAGTTTACATCCAGAGAGCCTGGCACTTCACATTTTTGATTCAATTCTGTGGAGCAAAAATCTCTTCATCTCTACCTGTGCAACTTAACCCATTAACTGGGAGATATTTCAAGCTTCTAAGCACTAAAATACTACAAGAATTCGGCCAGTAAGACAGGTAGACAAACTTCAGCATGACATTGCATTTACGTATTTCCTTGTCCTTAATTGATCCTTTCCTCTTCCATAGTATTTAGATTTCAAGTACTGTTCCATGATATTAAGCTGTTTCATGGATCTCCCTGCCTATGTGTGATACAGTAGATACATTTTGCCTATATGATCACTTGTTCTATGACACCATTTGAGCTCTTACCTTAGTAAAATTATTCAAGTGACCTAATTTTCTCATATTTGAAACGCCTTGTAATTTGGCCACATTTTGGAGAATCTCTCTCATATTATCAGCGGGTTCTGCAAAAGAAAACAGGTTATTAGCAGATACAGTTGAAAACAATAATAAAAAAATCTAAACATGCATTCAACATGCAGTTTCCCAAATATAACAGGTACTGTCCTAGTCTTAATTAAGGGTGTAGATAATTTTTATCTCAAGAAGCATCAGTTTGATTTATGCTTAGAACCACAATAAGGCATACCCAAATTTAGAATAAATGTGAAACCCATGGAGGACAGAGACTCCTATTTTAAAACAGATTTTAATCAGTACCTTGGATTTACAACTGACAAAGAAATCCATTTAGCATATGAAACTCCAGTCCTACATCAAGTAACTGAACAACTTTTTCTTTAATAACCTTGTAATTTAAAGACAAGAAGTAAAATTAAAGACAGAATAAAAAAAGCTAGCACGTTACTGCCACTACATATGATTTCTTTTTTCCCTCCAGACAAAGGACTGGTGGGATTTTGGGAAAATGGGACTATTTCCTGCTCGCTATATTACCCTCCATCTACAATCATCTGAAACTTGAGAGGGCTCGGACTTTCCAGTGACATGAGCAGTGAACTACAAGGTAAATAGGAGGAAAAGAGATGTTCCTAGTCCCTCTAAAGGTCCACCATCCCAACAACAAAAAAAACCACTCAGAATCACAGAATCTTCTAGGTTGGAAGGGACCTTAAAGATCATCTTGTCCAACCGTCAACCTAACTGACAAAAATAGACACCCGCACAACAAACAAGAAGCATCACCATCACTAAACCATACCTCCCAGCACTACATCAACCTGTCTTTTGAACACCTCCAGGGATGGTGCTTCAACCACCTCCCTGGGCAGCCCATTCCAATGCCTGATAACCCTTTCAGTGAAAAAATTTTTCCTAATATCCAGAAAACCCTCAAACCCTAAGATCCACAAATCAAGATTCAGACACCACTTGACGACCCAGCACTCTGCTGGGAAATGGAAAAGGACTACCAAACGTGGTGAGAACAGACAACATTGCCCTGCTTTTGAAAATGAGTTTGGTAGTTGAGGCAGAGTGGGACAAGCAGCACCCGGTTGGGCTGGGCACAGAGAGCTACAGAGTTCCTGTAGCAGAAACTGGAGTAAGCTCTGTATGTGGTGGTGGTGCTGTGGCAGGACAGTTTTCAAAGGGAGATGCTGGACTGTAGGATTGTCATGCTGTCTTGGATTAGACACTGTGTAGTAGGAACTACAACAATACTATTAACGGCATTGTAGTTTGAAATAAATGAAAGACTAACACTATGCTTGAGATGTGAATGGTTAAAAAGTATTACATTACCAAAAAAGAAAAAACTTCATGCCATAAAACAAAATATTTAGAAAAAGCCTTAAGAGTCCAAAGACCAGATATCTGGAAGGCAGCAAAGAGCACGTTTTTGTGTGGGGTGCCCCCTATAACTTCAGTAAAAGAGACTTTGCTGTTCATACTATGGTATGAACAGCTACTGCTGAATTTGCGGCGTACACACAGAGTATTTTACTTCCCTGTTCATCCTGAAAGGATATTTGTACAGTTTTTGTTATACAACGGAAAGTCAAAAGTGTCAGAGATGTAAAGAAAGCACCTTCTTCACTACTTCACTTCTCTACAAACCAAGCAGAGTTTTTTTTATGACCTTCTGTATTTTAAAAACTTAAAAAAGCAACAAGTTTGAAGAAGCAAACATAACTAGCAATCTCATCAGGATATATCCAGAACGTATTTGGATACACGTACAAGACCCTGTACGTGCATTACCATCAGGAATAAAAGACAGTATTTAAAGATTAAGACACCTACAGGTAGGTACCTGAATTAAGGTGTGTAAACCTGTAAGCCCACTGTAGTCAATGGAGATCTCGCCTATCAGCCAATGAAGTTGAAAACAATTAACCTGGCTAGCTGCAAGGTGCCTACTCAAGACTGTGAATCAATTGTATTGATTACACTGCTTATAATGAAACATTAGCACATATACAGGCATGCTACTGCCATGCCATATAATTGTCATTTTTTTCAGACAAAGGATCAGTGAAATTTTGGGAAGACACATCAGGCTCCTAAATGTGGGCGTTGATCTCAATCATGACCAGCTTGACGTGAAATATTCTTTTCCACAAACCTAAGTCACAGCAGTAAGTAAAGCCAGCTGTCTGATACAGAGCCGCAAGTACAGACAGGGCTACCTTGCACTGCAGAACAACATGTGCAGTGAAACCAAACATCCAGTAACTTTAAATTTAAACTGGAACATATGCATGCATCTCTTTGAACCCCCCTCAACACAGCCAAAGAAAAAAAATACCTTGGATATGATCACAGAAATTAGAGACAGTAATATTCTTATTAGATCCACATCAAGTTTATGATTCCTCTGCATAGTTTACTTCTCCAGGGCTTAACTCAGTTTGAGAGGTTTGCAATAGAATCCATAGAAACAAGAGAAACACAGAAGACAAACAGGTTGGGATAGTTATGGCACTACAAATAGTTTACATCATAGCCCCTCATTTCAAGCAAAACCGTTGAAGAAATTCCTCATAATTTTGTTTCTCTGAATACACAGTTTGGCTGATTTGTATTCTTTGGCCTGCCCTGGATAATGGATAGGCACTTCCCTGGCTCACCCAGCTTTTGGACCTCATTATGCCACAAGAAAGATCCCAGGTGAGCAGTCTTATAGCTCTCCAGAATGTTCCACTTCCAATTCCCTGAGGAACAAGCAGCAACAGTAACTTTCCAAAAGGACTGGAAACGTTTGTAAGTTTTAATTTTGAAAGTGCAGATGGCTACATCCTCAAGGTAAATGTCTACTGAAACTGAGATCACTACATGGACAGGAAAGATGATGAGACTAGCCCAGAAAACCTCTTGTACGTAACCGGCAATGAATGCTTCTATGCAGCTACCTGATCAAGTCTGCACTAACTCAGATGCGAGCGAGGCATGGTGTATAGAAAGGCAGCCAATTTGGATGCGAAGAAACCAGGACATGATGCTACCACTTCCCACATCAACAATTCTGTAGCAATGGTAGACATTTATAATAAGGCTGCCGAATTAAGATGAACACTAAATGCATTTTACTCTCTATGTGTTTGAAAAACTGCAGCTATAGCACCTTCTCTTCACATTGTCTTGTTTCTGCTGAGAAAACCTCTCATTTCTAGACAGAGGAAAACCATCTTTGCTGTGCTTAGCAGACCATGCAGGTATTTCCCAGAAGCTTTACCAGCAGATAACTAATTTGAAGCAAAGTGGGGACTCCAAGATCTACAGTGCTGTGAGAAAACTGGGAACACAGCAGACATTTCCACTATTGAATTCATAATATGAATACAGCAAGTCAGCTGGCTCACACTTTGATTACATCAACAACACTACACCTGTAGAAAAACCAAGACAATAAAGAAATAAATACCCTCTAATCACATAATACCTCAGAAAGAGCTAAGATTACAGAAGCCTTTTTGGTGAAGCTTTGTCAGTTCAAGTCTTGTTTTAAACTTCAGAAGAACCTTGTTGCAAAAAATCTCTTCCAGCAAAGTTTACTTTAAGTTAATATGTTACAATTCTTTTGTTAAGACTGGCTATCCTGGTTTTTTTTGTTCCAGAAATGCATGGTATATTTCAAAGAAGTAGAAAATGTACTTAGTTACTCAAGTGTAACTTACACATCCTGGTTTCTACCAACTAAGCCATGCGGCTGCCCTGTAATCAAAGATGAGATCCAGCACTGCATATCCTCCTGTCTCAAAATCTCATGCAACACCATTGAAGGACATAGTCTATTGCAGAAGTTGAAAAACAAGGCAGAAGATCAGCGAGTCATCTCCCAAAAGAAATATTATGGCCTTAACATTTCATTTTCAAGCTTAACAGCTCATGTTGGTGTTTTTTTTCCTTTTAAGAAATGGTTCAGACCACTTCTGCAGATATTTCTTAACCAATTAACCCTTACTATTTAGCTTTTCAGAAGTCCTTGCTTTTCTAATAATAATAATAATTAAAAAAAAAAGACAAAGAAGAAAAGCTACTTGTTTTAATTCAAAGACCCTCAAGAGTCTTTCTGTCCTGACTTACCTCATTCACTACTGAGATGCTGAGTCATCTTGAGCTGGCCCATAATGACAACCAAATATCTTCACATTCTTTCCCATGGAGCTTCTGAGGGTGGAGTTGTGCAAAATGACTGAGCTGATCTTACAGCTTTCTTCTGCCAAAAAATGCACAACCCCTTCCCTTACTTTTCTTCCCTCTACCCTGTCCCACTATATGACGCACCCTATCCTTTACACTACTCAAGTATCCATTGACTTCACATTAAAAAAATTCTGCTAAATGAGCAGAATACTTTCCATTCTTTTGGCTATGTCAGTTTTCTGCTGAGTTACCAAGTCAAACTAATCCTAAACGGCTACAAAAACCCATGCAGAAGTGACTGTGCCACTGATCCATTCTCAGGTAGGGTGGTGAAAGCAGGACGTACCCTTTCTGGAAGAGACTCATTAGAAAAAAGTCAAACTAACTTGTTTTTTGGGTTTTTTTACTTGCTCTTTTACACTTGGCAAATTGTCCCAATTAATATACACAAAGCCACTTTGCCTCACATCTCATCTAAAAATTTGTTGATATATAGAAAAATTTCAAGCCAGCATACCTATGCTCTGCAACAACAGTTTAGCTTGCTAAACTACCGTCTCATTTTCTGTTATCTGTCTTCTTTTTCTGGACAGCAAGAACTTTGAAGTAGCAGATATCTTTGTTCTGAGTACTTCTGTTACACTAAACACAGTTTCTCACCCACCACTGTTACACTGAATAATACCCAGTAAATATAATAGCAATCTTTAGCACAGAGTGAAATTGGTATGTTTAAAACCCTAGCTTCAAGAACTCTGTGATTCTCTATGCTACGTAATTCATAGATGCGTGTATATTAAAAATCTTCAAAATTGTGCTGTTGTTTGTTTTTAAACTCTGATGACCTTTTAGGGCT